AGACGTCGCTCTGACGTTTAGAATTTGGACGTCATCTGAAGACCAAATCCAGACAATGGCACAACGTGCAAAATGGTTCCAAGATTTAGACGTCATTATTGGACCTCTTTTAGACATTGAAATGACGTCCACATTTGTACCGCATCATTGAAAAAATACGTTAAACAGATGTCATTTCGACGTCGCATTGCGCAGTGGGGTGTTGGCAAGAGGCTAACAGGTTGTACGTCAACTTTTTACATCCCTTCTTCTTTGTTTACTACTCAACTGAAACTGATTTTCCAGTTTGACTGACGAACCCCATTAGCGGAGACAGCCTTGTTAACCCCGCCTTCTTCCCTGCTGTGGAGTTGTAGTTATGTCTCCTCTTCATGTAACCAGTTTAAAGCTGGATGTCTTGAGGATGAACTTCCCACTTCTTGTGCTTCTGCAACGTCATACGGCGATGTAAAATCACACGCTGTGACGGCAGTGTTACCGTGTTGCAGGATCGATTAAGACGCACAAAAGCAGAGCTCTGTTCGGGCGCTGTTGCAGCTGCGCGGTATCAAAAGAACTTGTTTATTCTGCTGTTTTAAGTTGTTTTGTGGTGAAGACCTCGGTTGCTTCTGCATTAAGATTATGCATCTTTTGACTCTCAGCCATGTCGAACAGCAGGCAAACAGATCAACCATGAATGGGCCGCGATTCACGAGCAACTCCTTGAAGTTTACGACCTTCAGATGAAACGCTCTGGAGTACAGGCACTTTTATCGACCGTTTAATTTTCATTTCAGCCACATCTAACAACATCTTCTACTGAATTTTAAACAGAGAGCTTTATTGTCTTACATTTATGGAGCAATGCAACCAAGGCTGGAGTTACATAAGCATACTTTACACATTAACACATTCATTTCAAACGTAAAGTGCGAAGGAAATGGACTTCCTCTGCACTCCTGATGTTATTCCGCATATTTATGGCATCTCTTATTGTCTCTGCCTCCAATAATATTTAGATGGAAGAGGACTGATAGGAGCCGAGTTCCAATAACAGAGATTAAGTGCTCTGGGGGTGATTGTGCAGCGTTTTTGGAGGAGCGAGGCGTCTGCCTAAGTAAACTCAGCTCAACACTGAGGAATTGCGCTCTGGAACGTGGTGGTGTAACCGGAGCGCGGGTTTGGGAATAGCCCAGGGGAACTGGGCTCAGTTTTCCGAAAAGCCTCTATCTTCTGCAACGATATGTAGTGTGATGTGTGGAGTGTTTGTGTGTGTGTGTGTGTGTGTGTGTGTGTGTGTGTGTGTGTGTGTGTGTGTGTGTGTGTGTGTGTGTTGCAGGGGAAGTGGACGGAGGGCTTACAGAACGGCTAAGTCAGGAAAACAAGTCTCAGGAAACCCTATACCTCGCTCTGGCACCGACACAGACACTCTTTCTTTCTTTCTCTCTCTCTGTCTCTCTCTCTCTCTCTGTCTCTCTGTCTCTCTCTCTCTCTCTCTCTCTCTCTCTCTCTCGGCCCTGCTGTCTTGCTGTGTGTGTCTGTCTCTCCTCTCTTTCTACCCGGACTTTGAAAAATAGAGCAGTGAAAGCAACAGCGGTCAGCGCAACAAGCAAACTGAAGCCCCCTCGACACGAATAGAGTCGGCTCGCTGAGAGCTCAACCGTCTTGAACTTATTCATTCATAATTTTGGGATATTTTTGGACCTATCTGTAAAATAAAAAGAATTAAAATCCCTCAAATCAGTCAGTTTAAGATTTTGTTGATGCTTCAGTAAGACGTGAATAGGATTGAACAGCAAAAACAGTAAAACACCGTTACTTTTACAGCTTTGTACTGTTTGTTTGTACGATAGGAATGTTTTGTCATTTTCACATCCTGGAGAAGAGGAAACGAACCACATGATACCCCCTAATAGACATATGCATAGATAACAGTCCGATTACTACTGATTGGAATCGAGGTGAGCTTTCTGCCTGCTTTTGCTCTCCATACTGCCTTTTTTTCCTCCTTTAACTTAAAGGGATATTCTGGCGTAAAATTAAGTAAGGGTCAAACACACCGTAACACCGAGTTAGACACCGCCTCGAGAGATGAATGTTGCCGACCGCTTGCTTCTCTAGTTATACCAACTTTAGTAACGACCGCACGATAGCAATACACAGCAGTCTGAGGAGTCATAAACAAACCTCAACCAAAACGCCACTCTATAGCCACAAATAAGCGGTCAGCAACATTCATCTTTCGAGCGGGTGTCTAACTCCTTGTTATGGTGTGTTTGACCCTAAATTAATTTTACGCAGGAATATCCCTTTAAGCTGACATATGATCGGTCAACTCAGCCTTGACTACAGTTGGAAACCAGAACTTTCTCAGTAAAACAAGCTTTAAATGTCTCTAAACTGCTCTGCACACTGTCGTCTCTCTGCCTTTGTCTGTTCTTGTTGTCCATTTTTCCGTTTCCACTCCTCTCTCTATCTCTTCTCCGTACTCACGCCCCCTCCTCTCCTTCTTCTTTATCTCTCGACCCCTCTCTGCACCTCCTGCAACAACCACAACCATCTCATCATCCCCCTTCTTCTTCCATATTCCTCCTTTTCCTCGTCCCTCTCTCTTCTTGTTTTCTTCCAGCTATCATTATTAGCCTCTTTGTCTCACTCTCTTTTCCCCCTCCTCTCTCCACCATCACCTTATCAGCTTGTCCCCTCTCTGTCCCCCCGCCTCACACACACACACACACACGCACACACACTTCCTTTGCTTCTCCTCTTCCTCTCTCCTTCCCTTTTTCCAGCTCCCTCTGTGTCCTCGGTGTGTCTGTGGGGGCAGCGAGTGGTCAGGTCCGCCTGCGGGCATCAACAGCCCACAGGGCCACTGCCTCAGGCGAGTGTGTGTGTGTGTGTGTGTGTGCGTGTGTGTGTGCGTGTGTGTGTATGTGCGAGGCTGATTGGCACAGTGCCCAGACCCACCTCCTGTGGTGAAACTCACTCCTTTTCTACGAAGCTGTCTGGACTACTGCCCAGACTGACCCTTACACACACACACACGCACACACACACACACACACACACACACACACACACACACACACACACACACACACACACACACACACACACACACACATGCATATGCATACACACACTAACACAAGCAGGAATTACACACAGATTTGAGATCGAAAACACCTCTGCTACATCTCGGCTAATTGTATGATGCATTTAAATGTGTTTGCATGAAAATTTGCCTCCTTTTATCCGTGTGTGTGTCTGTGTCTGTGTCTGTTTGTGTATGTTTTCTCGGACGCCTGAGTGCGAACACATCACACACAATGGGCCCCACTTCCACCAACTCTTATTCCTCATATTTTTGTGTATATTATTTAATTCAGGCTGTTTGCATTAGATTTAAACTGTATATTCAAGTAATGGGTCTCCTTTACAATAAAGGAAAATTCTGCGTAAATATGTACAAATAAAACTCCAGAGCTAACACTGATCACATCCTGCTGTTGTAAATGTTTAGACTCCTTTAAAGCTCCTATAAGGGGTTTTTGTATGTTGACGGAATAGACTGAAATTCATATTAATGCCTTTTCGTGATATTCAAAAGCAAACAAGACCATCAGAAATGAAACTGACAACTGTTTTCTGTAAGTTTTAAAGGTTGAAACCAACGCAAGGGGGTAGGTGTCAGCCATTTTTACACTTCTCCCTTAAAATATTCACAATTAGTGAAACATTGACGGTCATTAGTCAGCCACTGCAGTAAATGGACTCACCCAGATGTCTCCGTAGAAACAAGCAGCTGCTGGAAGAGAGTAGGTGAGGTGTGTTTAGTCTCTTTGCTGAAGAAATCAGGTTAAGTTAAAAAGATGTTTGGTGGCTAGTGCTGTGGCTGGGACCCTATATGTACTGTTGATGAAGTTAGGTGCTGTTCTGAGCATTATTTGTGGCTATAGAGTGGCGTTTTGGTTGAGCACGTGGCTCTCTGTATTGCTATTGTGCGGTCATTACTAAAGTTGGTATAACTAGAGAAGCAAGCGGTCGGCAACATTCATCTCTTGACGGGATGTCTAACTCGGTGTTATGGTGAGTTTGACCCTAACTTAATTTTATGCCAGAATATCCCTTTAAGCATGTAGAGGACAAGCTAAGCAAATCTGTCTTGTCCACAAGGGGGCGCCAAAGTTGAGACAATCAAAAGTTCCCTAAAGGAGCTTTAAATCTTGATGTCAATTCTCCAGCAATAAATGAAGTAGAGGTAGTACCTGTTCGTGCCGTACCATGAGGGACCACCACAGGATTTAGAGCTCCCTCTGCTGGCTGGCTTCAGTTAAGGTCATAATATACTGACTCAACCTGAGGCAGGCCTTTCGTAATAAGTACTAAGTATTTGTTTTTTAACTAAGCTTTGAGATAACACAGTTTGGTTGCGAAGTGATAAGAACTGCTTGTGTTTTATCAGTCTTGTGGCACATCTTGCACGGCTGTGCCACTCTTTTCATGTCATGGTTAACTAACATGTAGCTGTTGGTTACTATCTGTTCCCTATCACCTTTGAGCAAAACTCTTCCATCTAAGCCACCGGTATGTATCTTCCCCCTCATGCTCTAAGATTATGACCCTGTACTTTTATAAAATTCATTAGAATAACCGATTAAAAGGGAGATTAATAGATAGAAAAGCAGAGAGAAATATTGAAAGCCACCAGGATTTGTCCCAGATCCTTCCCCCAGATGTGATACTAATAAAAGCTAGCGCAAGGTCTGGCTGCTTGTTCCCTGACACTTGGATGCCAGCTCCTCTGTGGTTTCATCCAATGAGCTCACCCGTATTGAAAATAACAGTGACATCACTGTTTTGGCGCAGTGCACCTCCCACCCAGTCAGGAGTCCGAGGTAACCCGCAGCGAAGGCAGGAAGAGGCTAAAAATGAGCAGAAAGGAAATATGGAAAGGGGGAAAAGAGGGGAATATGTTTTTTATTGAAAGGTAATAAGGTTTTTTTATTGGCAGAAAAGGGGGGAGTGAAGGGTGAGGCCAGACTGAGTACAGAAAACTGAGACACATACGCTTTTATAAATAGATATGATTTTTTTTTATGTTGGCGTGAGCGATGTTTTGACTCCATCCTTGTCCATGTCTCTGGGATTTAACTTCTGTTGGAGTGAGTTTTGATCTTCAGTTTTTTTTTTCTCTCCTTTTTTCCCCCTAAAAGTCATCAGCTGACGTACCAGCTGCTCATCCTGACACCGCCTCCAGTGATCTCCTGACCTTTCAACTTTGACCCTTGTAAGAAACATCCCATCACCCTCCACTTTACATTTAATGACCAGTAAGACTCGTTCAGACCACCTGACACACTTTTACGAGGACGTTCGGACACGTGTGCCTGAAAGAGATGTCTAATAAGATTTTGGTTCTGTTGTCGTAAAACAAGCTTGTGGCTAACAAAACTGCAAATAAAGAGAAAGGTATGGTAGCGAACAAAGAGAAAATTTGAGGGGAGAAATATTTTTCAGTATTTTGTAAGGAGAGAAGTATAGAGGCCCAAGAATGGATCCCTGAGGGACACCTTTTTCTGCTAAATTAACACTGGTTTCAAGCTTATTTGTCTCAAGTGAGTCTCAGTTTCACTGTAGGTTACACAGAGGCTTTAAGAGTAACCTTTTTGTGTAAGATTAAACCATAATTACCAGTTTTACGCAAGCCGAAGTATAATGATAATAATGATAATAATAATAATAATAATAATAAGTGCTTTGACAAACAGTCGTAAAGCACAGAACATCAACTCTTGTGTAAATAGAAGATAACTTTTAGAGACATATTATGTGAGACAACAGACAATTGAATTTTCCCTCTGGGATTAATAAAGTTCTTCTTATCAGCACATGGAAATAAGAACAAATAAAAAACAAAAGCTCAGTTAAAAACAAGGCCTCCATATTACAGGCCGATTTCATTTATCATAAAGAACCCAGACAATTCAAGAACCCTACAACATAAAATGAGACCATGAGGACCAAAATACAAACATAGAATAGGTAAGAAAAAGAAATGTAATAAAAAAGTGAGGTAGAAATAATAAATAAAATCAATTAAAGGCCCAAAAGGTTATATAGGAAAATATTATAAGTAAAACAAAGGCTAAAAGACAGTAAGTCAAAATAAGAAAAAAGAGATAAAAAGTATAACGCCATGAAGCAAGTTTGTAAAAGTTAAAGCTCCTGTGAGGAACTTGTATTACATCTGATAAAACAGTCTTTGCTTTTCCCATTTTCAACATGCTTAAGTAGCTTCCTCTTCTGATTTTTATTTATTGTGAATATTTCGCTGACACCTACCCCCTCGCATCAGTTTCAGGCTTTGAGACTTACAACTTAAAAACTGTCAATCTTCTTCCTGATGGTCTTGTCTGCTTTCATGCATCATAATAATTAATCAGTACAAATTTCAGTCTATTTCTCACACGTCAAAAAACTCCCCACAGGAGCTTTAAAGTTGTCAAATCTGTCCTCAACAAGTGAAGAAGAAAACATCTTTAAAACTTTTGCTTCGGTTGATCTTCTCTGATGCGTTCAAGTACATTAGGAAATCTGACTGCTGCTGTGCTTTTGTCAACTGTTAGCATAAAAAGTCTATGTCAAATTACTGCTGGTGAGATCCAGAGTGTCATCACGGCTTACTTTTAAAACACATGTACACCGAACCACCTCCCATACTACAACCCCTCCGAGTACAGATTCTGTTCCTGGTTTAGCCGGTGAGGACTTTTCCAAGATGTCCTCCATCATGATTCGAATCGCCATCCCTGAGCTCACGACCTCCCTTTATTAACCTTGAGAGGGTTAACGTCGACTTCTTCCCCCCAGTGATGTCATGTTCGGTTGATGGGGCTGGGGTTGAGGGGGGTCTCGAGGGGGGGGTCTTAGTGTGTCTGTGCTCCAGTGTGTGTGTATGTGTGTGTGGACTTGCTGGTAGTAGGGGGAGGAAGACAAGGGGGATCCTATTTGTTTGTTTTGCCCTCCAGACGTGTCCAAGAGCAGATTAAGGGATTTAGCTTTGGGGGGGCTGCACAGGAGGGACTTAAACTCCTCACCCATTTACATCCCTGGTTAGTGAACACACACACACACACACATGCACACATGCACATGTTAAAAAGGGCAAAGAAATCAAGAAGTTTCCTTTTGTCCACGATAACACAAGCAGCAGCGAGGGGCGCATGAATGCATGGTTTCAGACTGGATGGACGGGTGATGGTTGAGGGTGAAAGAGGAAAAGGAAGTGGTGTGTTGACACAGTGATACCTCTTCCAGCCGTCTGATCTTCCCTTGTTTTAGTGCTAATCCCAACTTTAAGCACCAACAGAATTTAAGACCCCCAGAGCTGGTGGCTTTGTCAGGTTTTGCACGCAACGGTCTGCTTAGAGAACAGGAGCTCCTCTGCAGATTGTGCGGCGCTTACACAAGTTAATGTGTGTATTTTGGGATTTAACTAAAGCAGACATGTGGAGAGCATCACTAAGTGCATTTTCTCTGAGTGTTTTACTTAAACGTCCCGTGAAGAGCTCTTATCTGGTTATGAAACATGCTGACTTCAGACTCTATTTACAGATCAGACATCGAAATGTAGAGTCTGGGTTTCATTTCTGGTGCTGCTGAATCTAATCTGTGACTATCGACACGAATGTTTTGATCTTTTATCGATTAATGCTGCGTTCAAGTTACCTTGGAAGTCAGATGTTACAGCCGAGTTGACAGTGTTCCAGTGAACAAATCGGAAAACCAAGATGGACGCCTGTTGTTTCTAGCAGAGGTAGCTGATTTTCAGCTTCAGACTGGTTCAGTGGTGAGGGAAAATTACTAAGCAGATGATTTTCAGCCATGCCAGCTGGATATGTTGGTCACTGAGTTGGTAGTTGAATCCCCTTTGGTACTGACTGACATCTTAACTTCGCTATGACATTTAGGTTCTGGCTCGGCTTTCTTATGGCGCTGAAAATCGTTCTCTTAGTGGTCTATGTAAAAGTAGTAAAATTTGAATTCTTGAATTTTAACTTTCTGTGAAGGGAAAAAAGTGACAAATTTGGGGATCTAATGCTGCGTTCAAGTTACCTCGGAAGTCGGATGTCGGCGCTGGGAATGGCGTTAGACCCGAGTTGAGGGCGTTCCGGTAAACAAGTCGGAAAACTAAGATGAATGCTTACAGTTAGCCGTTGTTAGCTGTTGTTCACAAATGTTAGCTGTTGTTAGCCGTTGTCAGTTGCTGTTAACTGTTGTTAGCTGTTGTTAGCTATACCAGTTGTAAACAACACATAACACAGTATTTAACTCTACAAACACCATAGCTCCGTGTTCACAGTTAGACGTTGGGTAGTACATGTACCACTTATTTAGTTTCACAAAAGCAAAACAGAGGTGCTAATAAATAAAACATTACGAGAGCTTTCACTGTTACTCTTTACTGTTGATGCACTGCGCTGCCATCTTGGATTATGACGTTGTCATTTCGGAGTCAGTTATCCGACTTCAGGGGGGCGTTCCAGATGAATTTCCGACTCTGAGCTCGGAAATTCCGACTTCTAAGTACAACTGGAACACATCATTAAACTATTTAGGGCAAAAATACAATATTAGGTAGATACATTAGAGCTTCACTGGATCTAACAGGATGTTTGTGGATCGATTTTTCCGAGGGTTAGGGTTTGATAATATGAAGTCATTGAAAAATAAAAAAAAGCATGAAAACAATTTTCTGTTTTTATCAGCAATTAAACGAATTTGATGCCAATTAACTAACCAGACCTTCCATATTGTGGCCCCACCACCTCCTCCATCTAACACCAGCCTGCCACGCGCTCATTTATGTGTGTGTGTGTGTGTGTGTGTGTGTGTGTGAGTTTGGAGGGGGTTAAGGGTAGAGAGGCAGAGTTTTTTTTCTTACGGGGTGGGGTGGTGGTGTGGGGGGGTAGTGCAAACAAATGGACGCACGAACGCCAAGCTCAAATTCAACCGCAGGTCGGCGGGGCTGGGCCCGGGGCCTGCCGTAGTGCACCTCTTTTGTAATGTATATCAAGTTCACCGGGGGCCTTTTCATGTGACAGGCCATTGTTAAAGGGAGGCTAGCCAGCGTTACACTCCCCTCTTAACTCCGCCCACCCGACACGGGAGCAGGTTGGCCCGCAATTGTTTTATGGAAATGCGCGCGGGCCGGGCCGGGTGTCTGCCAGGCGAGGACGAAGAGGAGGAAAGGGGGGGGGGGGGGGGGTCTGTGTCTTCTGTACGAGTGTGTGTGTGTGTGTGTGGGTGGGTGGGTTGGAGGGTGGGGGGCTGGACGTGACGCCGACCCCTTCGAACGCCCCTGACCCTGAGCAGATGGCAAGGCAGGGTCTCTCCGCTGAGCCAGAATTAATAGCGTGTGCCATGTCACATTGTCTGAGACGGGCCTGCAAAAAACTCACCCCCCCCCCCTCCCCTCCACCCTCCCACTGCTATCCTGATTTTTGCTCCCTTCCTTCCTTCCTCCCTTCCCTATCTCTCTCCCTCTCTCGCCCCTTTCTTTAAATATTCCTTCAAAATAAATCTTTATTTGTTTTTCTCTCCTCAGACAAAAATCCTCTTATTTTCTTCTTTCTCTTCTTCTTTAATTTCTGTCTTTTTACTCACCTTTCTTCCTCTTTCTTCTGAACCATAAACCCCCCTTTCCTCCCCTCTCTCTCTCTTCTTCTCAACCTCACATACATCACATCACTTTTCTTCCTCAACTCCCCCCCCTCCCACCGCAGCCACAATCTCCCTCGCTTCCCCACAGAGTGCTCGCTCTTCCAGCCACTCGTTCCTCTCATTCAGTCACTCCTTCACTCGTTCATTCATTCACGTGCCGCCTCATTCATCCTCCTTTTGAACAGACACTCATTCACAGGTTTTGCCCACTTGCCGAGGCTTTATGGTGGGACAATTAAGGCACCTGCGTTTCTAAAGCTTCCCCGCTGAATGGCTGCCACCCCGTTTCCTCACCCGTCTGTTCACACTACGACCACTGTTCACTCGCTCACTTCTTCCAGTATCCGGCCACACTCACATGGTCATGTGCAGAGCTGCTGGCTCAGCACAGTCACTCCATGTCACTCAGATTCATCTGAAAACTTCTCTTTGTAAACAGTCGGGTTTGCTTTTCAAAATAAATGCTCCAGAAAATGGATGATGAGTGAAATCACAACCTTACAAAACAGTCGTGATTGGTAAGAGGTTTTTGACTCTCTAGTATACTGGTTGTATCTGAAATCACCAAGTCATCCCCTGTTCACTACTTCCTTTAGAGCAGGGGTGGGCAATTAATTTTTACATGGGGCCACATGAGAAACCTGAGCTGTGTTGGAGGGCCGAACCAACAATAACTTCAACTTCAAATACAGAAAAGCAAGCCCGAAATAGGAAACTACTAGTTAAAAACATGCCCAAAAAAGCGCACCCGTGACTCACGAGTTTAACACTTGACTTTTGAGAGAAACAAGCTTAAAGTCTTTTATAATAATAAGTGGACTTGCAACTTTGAGGCGTCTACGAATATTTTGCAGATGTTTAAACTCTGTTCCCGAATCCAGATCTAGGGTGTACTGGATGTGCTAGCATGATTGCTAATTTGTACACAAAGCATAGCTCAGTCAGCTCGTTTGGCTTAACAATGGTGATGGCATACTTGAAATGTTGACTCAACTTAACTTTTGGTCAACGTAGATGCAAGTTACGAATTTGTTTACAACTCTGACTCCTTACCATAGACTGTATAGACTATGGACAACTTGGTTCCGCCTTCCGCCAGTATACCGATTTGAAGTCGAAAGGCTCTCAGTATCCCCACAATTTTTCTCCACTTCCTGAAACCAACATTGCGCAGTTGTTTTGCACGCACTCCACCACTTGCGCAGTCCCACAAGCGGGAGCATATCCTTCGGGTGAGATACACAATCTTCGTACGTCCATAGGCTGTATCAAGAGTCAATCATAGAAAACATGAACCACCTAATAACTTTTAAAAATGGAGCTGTACAGAAAATAGAGGACTTGAGCACAAACCAGTGTTACAATAACTATATGTCAACATCGCAACCAAGGGGGAGAAAAATTTATATTCTGTGTAATAAATTTCTTAAGTTTGTCCACAGCCCCATAGGGATTGCTGGCGAAGGCGGGATTTATGACCTATACTGCAGCCTGTCACCAGAGTGTTCTGTTCTCAAAGTAGCTTCACCCAACAAGGAGGGAGACGCTGTCCATTCTATATACAGTCTATGCTCCTTACATTCACCCTCTGTAAAGTATGTATAGTATTTACAGTAAGCTCTAAACACATGTAATTTTGCTGTAAAAATGTGTGTTTAACATGAGTGGCAATGGCACCTCTTGGACTTTTGAACAAAGCCTCTAGTGGACACTTGAGGAACTGCAATTTCTTGGTTCATTTGCAATTTTCTCAACTTCTCGCACATATATATGAATTTTTAGAGAATTTATTATTTTTTTTGGGGGGGGGGGGAATCTAATGATTGTACTAGATGTAGGTTAAGGGATTACCAAATTAAGAGGAATTCGCCGTCAACCACAGAGCTCACTCATCTGTACGTGTGAGTGCAGACGTCCTCTATCTAATCTGTGGGTGTGGATCCTTTTCAAATATTTGCAGGGCCTCCTCTCTCTCTCTCTGTCTCTCTGTCTCTCTCTCTCTCTCTCTCTCCTGGAGCGGCATGGTGGCTGCCAAGAATGGGATGGGGGGGTGTCAGGACTATGATTGACCCCCGATCCCTCTCCTCCTCCTTTACTATCCTAATCACCAGTCCTCTTCCTGCCCCCTTCTGACCCCGCCTCCTATCGGCTACCAGACAGGCAGACAGCCTGGGAGATGGAGGAGGGGGAGGGCGCAGGAGGTCACGGCCTCAGCAGTGCAGTCACTTGGCCTGAGTGTGTGTGAGTGTGTGCAGTGTGTGGGCGTCTTTGTGTATCTTGCACTGTATCACCTCTCCCCTTTTGTGTATGTGTCGGAGATAAGTTTTTTCTTTTTTGTAGACGATGCAGCGTTGTTTGTGAGTTTTTCAAAGTGTGTGAGCGTGAGTGTGTACGTGAGGATAGAGCGAGTTTGTGGGCGTTGAGGAAGTAAAGGTCAAGGTTTTAGAGGTTCACTTGGCTGAGGATTGTTCCCTCCAACCCCCACCGCCACTTGTCAAATATGCTGCGGTTAACAAAGTGAAGCTGTCTATCCAAGCACTATCTCAAAACTATTGCAATACGAGGGAAAAAGCAGCGCGAATACACAATTTACTGTGTTTTACAAGTTCATGAGTGCATTAGTTTGAGGGAAAATGAGAGATAACTTCCTTGGATATCAGTTTCACAGGATTTTATCCCACTGGTGCAACAAAAATGTGTTTTTTTTTCGGTTTGCCTTGAGCCAATCCAAGTGTCGTGCACCCACTAATAACTGTCCATCATTTTTTCCTGGTGATAAAATACAGCCTGTCATCTGCTCTTGTTCATAAAACATTAGTATCCATTATTGTAACATTATCAACCCACTTCTGCTGAAAGCCTTCACCGAGCTTTGGCGTTTTTACTGACAGGGGCGGCGAGCCAAGCTAAACGAGTTATGCTCTTGGTTTGCAGAATGTGAAAATGCCACTAGGGTTTTCTCAAAGTGGAGAGCTTTACTTTTGTTGGAAGGTTCCACTGTTTTGACGTTTCGACCCTGTTCTTGGTTTTTGTGCCTTTTTTGATTAACTGACCGTGATATCGGATCTTCAGGCGCAGGAGCTGATGTTTCAACCACAACCTGATAACGATCCCTCAAGGACTCTTGGTGCCAGTTCTCTTACTTTCCACTTATGAAGATTTAGATCTACGGGGCATTAAAAAAAGGTTTTGTTGGGAGCTGTGTGAAGCAGATCAGATTTTCTAAGCTGAAACATGGACACGCACAGTTGAGTCAGGCTACGGTTAAAGCTCGATCAGTTCTTGTACCACTTTCAGCGTCACATTAAAGTCCCACTTCGATGTTTTTTACTACTTAAATTGTGATTATGAAGTTTTTAGCCAAAATTGCGTTACCTGTCATTTTCAAAGGCTTTTCTTCTGTACAGCTCAAGTAAATCATTAGCAATTCGCTGCTGAGTCGTGGGCGGAGACAGCACTGCTCTGCATACTCCACTCTATGCTAGCTTGCAGTCTAACATTGCTGGAGTAGTTGAAGTGGCAGGTAACATAGGAGCTACTCATCTCTCGGACACGAATGTCTTTAGGGACATCATGAAAGCTAATATCATAATTAGCTTTCTAACAAGCATTGCAATCAGCTAACGCACATGCTTGTTCTGCGATCATCCTTTCTACTTCTCCGAGTCTGGCCGGCATAGTGGGGCTCTGGGGGCGGAGCTTGGATTTCCTACGTAGGAAGTCTCACTGTTTCTGAACCTGCCATTTGGGACTGCCAGAGATTCACAGCGATTTGAATTTAGAAATACTCAGAAAAGCAATTTTGAATGATATGTCCTGTAGCATCAGAAAAATGCCAAATGAACACGTAGAGAACAAGAAAAACATGATTTTCATCGAGCCAGGAGTTTTTGTAACTAAATCTTATCGTACTTTTTTATCTTATTTCTTTCTTAAAATCGATTTTGTTGACAGAGGACTTGTCTTCTCACCAAAACCAAAGCATTAGTCCAGGAGTGAAGAGGGAGTCTCCTGAACAACTCATGTCATTAACCCTTTTCCCTTACAAAGCAGTACATTACTCTGGGGGTAAGCACAGATGGCACGGACTGAGAGTAGGCTGTGACTTCTAATCCTCGCTGGGTCCTTCTTGTGTAGAGCTTAAAGTCCCGAATCCTAGCAATGGGGCACGAAGCAAGCATTTAAACCACCTTAATCTTCCAGAAAACAGACGAACCCGGACGGTTAAATCTTGTTTATTGGCACCTTATTATCACGGGCACTGGTGTCTAACAGCTGATAGATCCCGGGTTCGAAACTACTTTGGATGATACCACAAGGGTCCAAACAATGCTTTTGAATTAACGCAGCGCAATGAAAGGAGATAAACCTGAACCAAAAAACGCACCAAGGCCTGTGGTGGTAGAAAGTGGTGGAAGCCCCATGGCAAGCAGGATTTGGGTTCGAATCCCTTCAGGGGTATTTCCTTAAATAGACCATGCTTTTGAATCACCATGATATGAAATGAAAATGATTGACTCAAATCGTATGATACAGCCCTGCAAAGTGGTGCCTAAGAAAATTAACGCTTTCCTGTGACATTAAAAACCCTACAAAAAGAAGCACCCTCCAGGCTTAACTGTTGAGAGTGGAGAAGACTGCAACCAGTTCAGGAGCTTTCCATGTGACCCGAGACATAAAAATTCTCCTTAAACAGATCTCTGAGTGGTTACTTTTTAGTACATTGATTAGACAGTGTCATAAAAACCTACATATGAAAGCACTGCCAGCGTCACCAGTGGTGTAATAGTTAAGACTCCTGCCTTTTCACTGAAAAGGATTCTGGGTTTAAATCCCCGAGGGTTGGTCCTCACATGGGCCAGGACAGAAAAGCCACCATTATGCTGTAGTTCCAACGGTTCTTTTGAATTTCTATAATCGAGTGTTGGTGTAAAACAGAGCGATAAAAGCTGACAGAGGGTAGAGGGGTAAGGAGCCAATCAGAGGTCTACTTTCAGTTGGCCAAGATGAGAGTCCTTGTATTTATTGGCGAGGGGGAAAACTTTAAAATAACCTGAAAGAAGAGAAATCATAGAAACCTTAAAACTATTAAAAAAAAACTGCCCAAAAGCTCAGAGGTGCAGCGGTTAAGATTCCCGACTCACAGCCTTGGAGTTAAGGATTAACATCCAGGCCTGAGCAGTCATAGTAGCCGCAGGGAAAGAGCTTTTTAATTTCCAGAATGAATCTCTTGTTCCTGAATGCACAGGGAAGTAGAGGAATCTTGAAAAGACAGTTCCAGGTATCTCAATGGTGCAATGGTTTAGATTCCTGCCTGGCAGTCCAAGAGTTCTGGGCTCGAATTGAACAGATTGCCTCAAACTGCAGCTCTGCACTGTGTTTTTGAATGACAAAAGCAATACGGTGAAATGAAAACACCATGCGACTGCTGCCTTTGAATGTAATGGCAGTGGGTTCGATTCCTGCTACAGGAAATTGAACCCAAATTGTGAAAATTTGAAACAGAGATAGTGTAAAGATCAGGAAGGGAGAGGAAGGGGAAGGAACGGAAGAACAAGAACAGACAAAGGACTAATGCTGCGTTTGAGTTACCTCGGAGGTCAGATGTCGGAGCTGAAAATGACGTCACACCCGAGTTCCCAGCGTTTTAGTTACAAAGTCGGAAAAAAGCAAAATCGGAGGCCTGAAACAAGATGGCTACATAAGTTATTTTAGCACTTGTCTTATATTTGGACAAGGCAAGCGCTAAAGTAACTTTCGTAGATGTAGCTATCTTGTTTCAGGCCTCCAATTTTGCTTTTCCTGACATTGTAACTGAAACGCTTGGAACTCGGGTGTGACGTCATTTTCAGTTCTGACTTCTGACTTCAGAGGTAACACGAACGCAGCATAACTCATCATTCAATTTTTTATATCCAATCAGGGGCTCCTTTCATTTGACCTTAGCCAGTCAGGGGCTACTTGGTATTGGCCAATCAAGGGGCTCCTTTTATACAGCCAATCAGGGGACCCCATTTGTTTAAACTTGGACAATCAGAAAGCTCTTTTAGTGTGACCTAACAAATGGTTCTTTTCTTGTTGCCAATCAGAAGCATCCCTTATTTGGCCAGTCAGAACCCATCTGAAAATTAACTAATCAGAAGGCTCCTCATTGTCAGCGAATCAGATCTCTCCTCACAATTAGCCAATCAGAGTGTGCTTCTATTTAGCCTATCACAAGCTTTCTGTTATTGTTGTTTTTAAAAAGTCAGGCAGCTAAGAGGGTTAGTGTTTAAGGCTTCTGCCAAAATAGTAACTTGACAAATCTGGAAAAGAAAGTAGGGCCTGTGGTGTGGTGATTATGACGGCTGACTCAGAGTGAAATGGTTCTGGGTTCAAATCCACCTCAGGAAAGTGGATACGGTTAAAAAAAAACTTCATATTTGTGTTAATATCGTTCAAAACGATGAACACATGTTTTCCAAATTAAATTCTGCATTTTGATGAACTCTGCTTTTTAAATCAAATTAAAATCCCCAAAGTTGGACTTTGATTTAAAAAGACTTTCAGAGCCAGGACAGCTCAGACTATCGATTAAATGAACTTTTCTTAAAAATGTTCCACCCAGTCATTTTGGTTTCTCTGTCTGTCTGCCTTTGTTGTTTCTGTTGATAAGCATCACATTAATGGATTTATTGGTTCTTGTGATCGTGTCTTATAGCCTATAATTTCGCTCTATTACTCCTGTTGTAAAATCTGTAAAATAAACTCTGGATTGATTGCTCTTGATTATGAATTTGACGAGGGTGCTATCAGCTATCACACTATCTGAACAGCTTGTAAATGCTTTCATTGTAAAGCCATAAACTATCGGATTCTGTTCCTGAAGTCGTCCTCCGGTCGATCATATTGCTTTTTTTTTCTTCCTGATGTCAGATACAGGCTGCGTCAAAGCTGCCAAATAGCGTGCTGGAGCGGCTCTCACCTTATATACATTTGGCAGCTTGAACTCACCGTGAACCTCTTCGCTACAGGAAAGGGGAAACGTCTCTTTCCTCATGACTCCCATTTGACTCTCTCTTTAAAAAAAAAAATAAAGTGCTTGCAAAACAGGCGCTGTGGTTCCCTGGATAGTCTGCAAACTTATCACCCTGTCATTTTTCCCCCCACTCTGGCGCGGTGATGTCTTCAGGACCTAATTGAAATGACAGTCATGTGATAAAAGTGGGCGGCTTTGATGAAGGGAAGAGGGGGAGTGAAGGCGTGCCCCCTCTTGTCCTCTCTATTTGTCAAGCTGTCTGCCCTTGTCCACCCCTGGGTTTCCCCTTGTGGCAGACAGATGGACTTAACGGGCGGACGGACGGACAGGGACGCCCTTCCCTCAGCTGTGAACCCAGACTAACACGAGCCAGGCTTGATTCATTCTTGACTTTTAATCTTTTCACGCTCACTAAGGGATTACGATAAGAATTATTTGCTCCCTTATTTGAAAAAGTCGAGTTTGTTTGCGGCTCAGGAGTTGCGTTTCAGATCCGTGTTCCTGTTCTCGCCAGTTATTCAAGACGACGTTATCGGCGTGTCTGACATCTGACCCGGTGTCTTTCGACCCACCTTCCCTGTCTGTCTCATTTGAGGAAGTTTCACCACACTCCTCTTGAATCAAGTGACTCAAAGTCAAAGATCTGCTAATAAGGAAACTCTGACGGCACTGCTCACTTTCTCACTTTCTCCTTCTGTCAATCATTTCACTTAATAAAAAAACACGCACATTGTTTTAACTTCTGCCTTTTATTTCGCGGTGAATGAAACAGTAGCAGCACTTCAGCTCAGCAGGATAAGCTGAACATGAAAACTGCAAGAACAAAAGTAGTTGATTTCACAAGTTTGGAAAGCCGGCGAAGGGTTGCTTCATATGTGACCCTTTAAGCTTTCTTAAAGGCCTTTGATTACAAACGAAACATTCATCACGAACATGTCTCGGTCTGAACCTTCACAGATAAAATACAGACTTATGATCTAGTGCGAAGGGGCGTTTCCACGTGGGAGCAAAGAATCGCTCTATCTCAATCTCCCTTTCTGTCTGAGCCACGAGCTTAAGCAGTCAAGTGAGTGGATTTATAGACCTGAGGCTTATGGCTTAGACACGATTGCTTGAATTGGCTCCATCTCAATTAAAATAAATGGTTTTAACTCCTAATGAGGGAATGGCGCATGGGGGGAAGACTGAGACAGTAATACAAGCTCACGACATGCTCCTTGGTTTTAATAAAAGCGTTGAAAATGGCTTTTCATTCAGCGGCTGAAAAAAAAAAAGCAAAGCAGGGAAAAATCACATGTTTCCAGATGAAAAGGAGCGCCCCAAGGAAGCCTTAAAACATACATTTAAGTGCTCTTTAATGCATGGTAGATGTTTACAACAGCCAAAGGGGTCATAGTTCAAATCTTAAACAGCTCTAAATTTAAAGGTTAACTAAAAGGGCCCCTTCTTCTTTCCTATTTCGCTCCCATTTTCTCTGAAAAGCTCTTGCACTTGTGTAGCCTCTCCTCTTTTTTTTTTTTCTTTACTGTGTTCAGCTGTAAAACATTTGAGGAAACTTTATGCTTCCCCATTCAGCCCAGAGTGTAACTGGAGGTTCTCCGCTGGCTATAAAAAAAGAGAAGGAAAGGAAAAATGGTTGAGGGCAGGATGAGGTCTTCGTCTCTGTGTCTTCACAGCGCGGGCCGCGGGCCAGGCACACTCTCATGCAAAACCTCATGCTTGCTACTCTTTTTTTTTCTTCCCTTTTTTTTTTGTCTTGAAGGCGGAACAGTGAAGCTCCATGAAAAATGAACTACATGACTGCAAAATCTGAAATTTGTCGTCTTCTTTTTGATGTGGAGAAGAGCGAATGTGTGTGGACAAATATGTTGTTTCAAGCTTGAAGGAGGATTATTTTTCGTGATTTATAGCGTTAAAGGACAAAATGGACACTTCTCTAAATTTATGTAAAATGTAACGTTGAAACTGCTCGCGTAGCTCAGCATAATAACTAATGCTGCGTTCGAGTTACCTTGAAAGTCAGAAGTCTGAGCTGAAAATGACGTCACACCGGAGTTGACGGAGCAAAATCGGAGGCCTGAAACAAGATGGCAACATAGACGAAAGTTATTCTAGCGCTTGCTTTATATCCGGACAAGGGAAGCTCTAAAATAACTTTGGTAGATGTAGCCATCTTGTTTCTGCCTCTGATTTTGCTTTTCTCAGACTCGGTAACTAAAACGCTGGGAACTTGGGTGTGGCGTCATTTTCAGCTCCGACTTCTGACTGTCGAGGTAATAAAACAACCTCCATAACAAAAAAGAATCCAAAAAAGAGCATCAATTTGGTCCAGCAGACTTGGTTTTTTCCCCATCTACATCTTATATTAGATGTCTTAAAACAACTTATACCCTAGTTGCTTAGAACATGGCTAACAATAGCAGAGCTAGCACCACCACCTCTTTGCTGGTTGTGGCCCACATGCATGAACCATGAAGCATAAAAATATGACAATGTGCCATTTGCAAATTCTTTGGATTTTCCCAAATGTGGAACCAGTTAACCAAGGTCGCAAACATCCACGGTCAAACCCTGGTGAGTATTTGTTTTGTGTTTGCCTTTTATGGCTGTCTCATACAGCCAAGAGCCGCTTTTTCCCATACAAAACAGCCGCAGGCTGATCACACACACAACATCTGACAAATAAGAGCACTGACTCGCCACCAGTGTGGTCTCAAAAGCCTTCACTTTTCTTCTTTGAAGTCAGAAAAACTCCCACTCGAAGTCACTTGAAAGGTGAACAAAGATGCCAAACATATTTAAATGAAGGCTGCGGAGACAACAACACACAGACCTACATGAAGGTTTACGGCTTTTTGACCCCTCCCAGATAAACAAGAATGACCTGCCTCGTTTGTGGAGGGGCCGGTAGAGCACACGAAACTTTTGTAAGTGTTCTCCGGCTGAGGGAGAAACTGAAGCAGACACAAACAGAAGGGCTTATAAATCCCATGCCACATTTCCAAGCATGATCATTCTAAATAATAGCCTCCCTTGTGCTTAGACTGAGGTTTGGGCTGTGTGGAGGGTGGTCATGGGGCTCCCCAATGTGATGGCAGTGCACTAATCTGCCCTGCATGGCCCGTTCACATGTGTTCACACCATTGTTTCCACATTCTAAACAGGAACTGCAATGTTACCCAAGGGAATTATAAATTTTGTGCGCAGAAACCCTCCATTAATTCCTGTTCTTGTTTAAAGTCAGCATGTCCTTGTAGTTTTATCACTTCTTGTGCTTGTTGTTGTTGTTGATTAGGGGTGATGTTAGCTCAGTTACTTGGAAGCAGCTTTGAGCACTCCCATTAATTTTAGCTTATTAAACTTACACGTGTGTGCTTATTACCCTTACTGTTTTAAATCTTAGTGTAAAAGTTGACAATGATTTCGACTGGATTAACAAATCAACTCTGTTGTTACATCCATTTTTTATCATTTGAGGCTTTTATACAAGATTAAATCGGTTTTATCTTTTAATGATTTTGAACGAGTCATTCATGCTTTTATTTCCACATGGTTGTACTACTGTAATGCTCTTTACGTCGGTGTTGATCAGGCTTCCCTCACGCGCTTACAGTAAACTTACTGGTAAATGAAAACATGGCCACATCACTCCCACTCCAGCATCCCTCCATTGGCTTCCCCTTCATTCAAAAAATTTCCTGTTTGTTTTTAAGTCTTTAAATGGATCAGAACCACAGTACATCTCTGACCTCTTCAATGTTTATACCCTCCCACGTTCCTTGAGGTCTGCCGATCAGCTCCAACTAGTGGTTCAAAAAACTCGTTGGGCGACTGAGCTTTCTCCGCTGTGGCTCCCAAATTAGGAGCCAAATCCCAAATCCCACTCGAGATTAAAACATCCCCCAGTCTTTCTACTTTTAAATCATATCTTAAAACTCATTTTTAGCTCAGCTTGAGAGTTGTGTGATCTCTATCCTTTTATGCCTTTTATGGTCCTTTTATCACTTTAATTTCTTTTATGGTTTGTGTTTTTATTTCATTTATTTTATTTTATTTTAAATGTTTTTACCTGCTTTTATTCATTCCATCTTGATGTTTTCTGCAGTATATAAATAAAGTGGATTAGATTTTGATTAAGGGTTTTTAAGTATGTCACACAATTTACTTTTACAGACTTGCTTTTATGTGATGCCATCTTTTATCTTTTATCTCTTTTACTCTATCTTATTTCGACTTTGTTTTACTTATTGTCTTTTCATGTTTAACCTTTTGGGCCTTATTCTATTTTTATCATTAATCTACCATCACTATTATTTTATTATGATTTTATTATCATTATTAATATTTATATTTACTATCCTGTTTCCTGCTTTCTACCCCCCTTTTTCTTATCTATTTTATGTTTTTATTTTGGTCCTCACAGTCTTATTTTATGATATAGGGTTCTTGGTTTCTTATAATGAATGAAATTGGCCTTCAATTCGGAGGCCTTGTTTTTAACTGAGTTTAGTTTTAACTGAGTTTTAATTTTATTTACATGTGCTGCTACCTAACAGCTGTTTGTCAAAGCACTTTGTAAACTTCTGATTTTAAAAGTGCTATAAAAATAAAGTTGTTGTTGTTGTTATAATTTTATTGATCTTTTGTTCAGACACATACAGAGAAAAACATATACACTAGTTAAAAACACTGAAATATGTTGTGTCTTTTTTCTCCTTTTTCATAGCCTGTCACATTTTCACATACTTTACCTTTACAAACAAGAACACACATTCTAAACACAAATATGAGTCTGCAGTCTAGCAAAAACACACAAACAAGCCAGACTTACACCAAAAAATAAAAATAAAAACACACCCTAGGAAGTCTACATAGTATACATGTTTATTATTATTTTTATTCTTTATCATGTTAAATTGAATAAAGGAGGCCTGCTGTTGTAATGTAGGTTGTTTTTTTAATTACTTGGTAATCTTTTAAACACATATTCAAATGTCAGCATTACTTTTAGCTTCAATATCTCCATATTTATGTACTTTTTTTTTGTTGCAAAGAACATGTTCCTTTTTGTTAGGATCTCAGTATGAGTGCCATCTCTTCAGGATGTGTCTGTCAAAGGAATGACTGTTGCACCCGGTCCCCCCTACTGCTGGGAATGATTATAAAACAAAAGTGATGTTATCTAGTTGTAATTACACACAGATGTTAATGCGAAATACTGCAGAGACATCATTTGAAACCAGAGTTCATGCTACAGACTCAGCGTGAGCCTGGGAAAACCGAGCCTTTCTTTCCTCAAACCAATCGGTGGTGTAATTTATTACCCGGTAAACACGTGGGAATAGTATTTCAGCGCCACAAGATAAACAACTACTCTACTTCACGCAAGTCTCGCGATAGGGGACGCTCCCTCTGCGCTCGTCTATTGTGAGAGTTTTCCTACTCTCGCGCGATCTTCGAAGTTTCCCACGCCTGTTGTTGTGGCGTCTGCCCTTTTCGCTCACTCTCTCTCCCTCTCTCTCTCCTTCTCTGTTGCCGCTACCCGCCGCCTCCCCCTTTTTTTTTTCTCTCTCTCTCTCTCTCTCTCCGTCTTCCTCACCCACCCCCTTTCTCTCCGTCTCCCTCGTCCCTACACCTTCCAGTCTGCTTCTGTTGTCTCGGCGGATTGTTGGGCTTGTGGGAGAGGAAAAAAGGATATCGCGAGTATTGGAGTTTTGGTGAGAGTTTGTGGAAGATGGCGCCTGTTGTGACAGGGTGAGTCTGAGATTCGGGGCTGGCGGTTGGGGAGCGGAGTTGAAGAGAAAACAAGTTATTGCCATGAAACTGTTGAATTTCTGTTTGTGTGCTGAAGCCCCGGGGAGAACGCTGTGTTTTGCCTCAGGTTTCGAAGTCATTTCTTTGTCCCGGTGTGTTTGCGTGCGAGTGTTTTTCCTCTGCTCAGTGAGCGTTACTCGCCTGGGTAGCTGACTGTTGCTGCTGCTGCTGCGGTGTTTGGTGAGCTAGCCCCCCGCTAACACAGACTTCACCCTCGGTGGTCTTTCTCTCTCTTAGACAACGGCGAACCGTTAGCCGCCGGGCTAGCTAAACACAAGCAGTGTGGGTATGGTTTTAAAACAATTTACCATCCAGTTGGAGTATTTTCACCTCATATTTGGGTCAAATTGTATTATTCCTGGTGCTGCATTTGTTTTCGAAACGTGGTCACCCACCACCCGGGCAAGCACGTTCATGAAGCGGATTCACCACCCGACACAGCTAGCTGTCCGATAATGGACGTAAGCTAGCGATATGTTACTGAAACACGTTGCGGCTTTGTGAGAAAGGCATCCTTTTTGCTGCTGTTTTGCATTTGTTTATGATTAATTTTTTTTACCTGTCAATATTGAAGCGCACACCCCAAAACAACGCACACTTTTATAGCTCCAGCTACCTTCGGATAAACGCCAGTGCAGGAAAAAATAGTGTTTACTTATTACTACAGCACGTAAACTCTGTAAGCAGCTCGCTGGTGTACGGAAGCCCTCAGCGGACATGTGTATATACATTTACTATGTTTGAAATGATAACTTAGTATGGTGAAAGCAGAGACAATCACAGAAAAATCTGTGATTGTTTAATGTATTTACGATGTATACTGATGTCACTAATTAGAGGGAGGATTGGCTGATATATCACCTTGTTATTGCTTTTTTTCTGCATAGAATATTCAACATTTCATACTGTCTTTACATTATGTGGTCGCCTTAAGCAGTAACATGTTTTAAATTGATTTTTGAATAGTTTATAAATTGTGTAATACATTTGCATACGCTTTAGGCATTGTAATATGTAACTAATATTATATTCCAAGCAATAAAACACTGTTTTTTTTCTACACATCATAACAGAATTAATATTATGATCAGGGTGTCTGTTTTGGATTTGATTTAAATGGGGAAACTTGTTATGACTTAAGGTCCCTTCACACCGGGACTGTTTTTGTTGTGCGATTATTTCGGACCTCAATATTTTTTTCAAACCCGTATCCTGACAATACAAGCATTCACATCAGAGATGTTTTCCCGTCCTGCGATATTGCGGCATTTATTTTTTGGGTTCACGGTCGATTTTTCTAAAGTTTCACATACTGTGTGTCCACTTCTGACCAATCAGATTTCGTGTTGTTGTGACATCAGATTCACTGGTATATCCAACATGGCCGACCGGCTGATTGTTTACGTGTCGGAGAACAGAGTGCTTTTTGATAAAAAACACAAATATTACAAAGATAACGACCTGAAGGACAACATAGCATCGGATTTCTCATATGACGATGGTTTGTGTGCTTTAACAGTTTGCTAAACGTCTTGTTGTAACTTTCATCTGTGCTAATGGTTGTTACCATAGTTTCATGTGCTTATCTTATCCCCTCTGATTGGCTATAAGTGCTGACCATTTGGCTTGAGCGTGTGATGAGATTTCCAGCTTTTCTAGCCAATCAGAGGCGAAGGAGGCAGGACTTTCTCCGGGAAAAGTCTTCCCTGGGATGCGTCTTTTCCCCCCCGGAGAGTCTCGAAATCGCATCGGGCTTGATATGTATAGTCAGGCCCGTCAAAATTCGCCTCGGAATATTTCGTAATTTCGCGTGTGTAAGGACCTTTAAGGTGATGTTAAAGTAACTTGACAGCAGCCACTCTGGTGATGCTGCCTGCGGTGTCTGCATACATCTTTTCTTGTAAGTGCAGGTAACACCAGAAAATTATCCTGTTTGTGACCCAAAAATATGAGACGAAATGAATCCATCACGTTAACAGGTTAGTTTGACTAAAATGTCTTATGTACACTTCAAGCAGGTTGAGCAGTGCCAGATGCTTGATTTTGAACAGCATAAACATGTAGATGGCACTGTTGTCAACTGAAGACATAACATGCATTTAATTTGTACCAAAAGAGAAGTGTATGAATATGTGAAAGTTGCAGAGTGGTACAGCTGTGTATAGTTTCACCATAAGACTCGAAGCCGGTTGACTTCTTGTTAACTAGTTTGTTGGTTGTTTTTTTATGCGTCATACTCAGTCAGCAAGAAGAGAGTCCTTGTGAGGAAGCTGAAATGGGGCATGTTGACATATGGTTTTGCCAGGACTTTGTTTTTGCCAGATGCTGGGGCACTAACAGTGGTCCAATTATACTGACAGTTATTATTGTTACTTTTCATCTTCAGAAAGCTATTCTGTCAACACAAGAAACCACAATCTGATATTTGAAAATAATGAGATAAATATATCCATTACAGAGGGCAAGCTTTGTTTTCCTGGGATAAAGACAAAAATAAGTTTAGAGTTAAAACAAAAACAATAAATGAAATATTGAGTGCGTCTTGTGCTTAACTCTGAATGACTGAAACTTTGCTGAGTTCGACTTCAACGTTGGTAATAATCAAAAGGACATTGTCTTTCAAAGCTGGTCCTCCAATGATCCCCAAATCGCACATACTAACCGGCTGATGTCACAAACCCTCAAAATACTTTTTTTCCCAAATCAAATTTAAAGTTTCTATCTCTTAGTTAGTAACGTTTTCCAACTTTTCGAAGAGCTAATTAGGCTTAGTGCAAATTCTGTAATTGCTATTAGATAGTACATCAGTGATAAGTGTGTCAGCGGAGGCTTTTATGCGGGAATGGTCTTTGTTAACGTTTTCGAACCGCCCGTTCGAATGATATTCAGAGAATGTCAAGGACATATTTCCGAGCAGCACTTTGGTCATTGCATCATCAGTTAAGTGGCTGTATTGTTCAACATAAACACACTGTAGTCTGGAAGCGATGCTGCCTTCAGGAAAGTCATTTGTCTAACTGCTTTTGCTCTGATTGCGATGTAAACCCAGAATGAAATAATTCGCCTGTGCACTAGCTAGACGCAGACCTACTTTTTTTTTTAACTCTTGAGGCTTTAATCCCTGCAGACAGCTCAGTGGGTGACAGACATTCGCTGGGCTTGTTGGAGGTGTGTGTATGTTAGTAGGAAAAGGGGGGGTGGATGTGCATGTTCATTTGGGGCTTTCCAGCAGACCTGAACTGATTTCAGTTGAGGGGGGGATGATGGAGGGGGAGTAGCTGGAAGAAGGGAGGGAGGGAGGGAGGGAGCAAGCTAGAGGGCAGGCGGGTCAGGTCTGGGTGGCTGGCCACCTGTCCAGATGATATCTCCAAATTCATGTGTATTTTCTGCGGGTCGGGGAGACGGGGGGAGATTAAGGGGGGTGATGTGTGAGAAGAAGATGGGGTGGGTTCTGAAAATTAAAGTGCCATAAGGGGTCTTTTGAGCCGATGGCAGGCTGTGTTCACAGTAACGGTTGGAGGCATCGCAGAGCCTGACCACAGCCTTCATGTACTGTTTGACTGATTCTGGTTTTAAACAGGGAGGGGCCGCACAACCAGGCTTGTTAGTGGTATTATGACTCTCTGGTTTTCGTATTACAGAGAAGCTGCGGTCTTATTTTCCTGTCTTTGAATTAAAACTGTAACTTTTAATCCTCTTCACAGTCAATTAGGTTAGGGGTTTATAAATTTGTAGTCTTCTGTTGTCTGGTATTTTTGATGTGTTTGGTTTCTTAAATTCAATTTATCAGTCGCCAATCTCCCAATAGGATATTGGCACAAGTGCAGGTGGAAGTTGGTGTATTCTTGTTTGATACAGCAGTTCAGCTGCTCAACAGTTTGTCTTTTTTGTGTGTTTTTTTGTATCATAATTTGCCAAATTTGTCAGGACCTTTGGCAGACTAGTTCAGCACTGGACTCTTCTACCACAGAGCCATGCCCTTGATATGGATACAGTGTTTCCCTGTGGCCGGGGGTGTGGGGGGGTGCTGAATGTAGGGGAAACACTGCTGATACATATGAGTCCGAGGTAAAACTATGTGAGAAAAAAACTAATTTTTTTTTTAGCCGTGGCGGTGCACCACGATCAAATGCATGTAGGGGAAACCCTGAGATACACCATTAGATTAGATCAGATACAACTTTATTTATCTTTTTTGGGAAGGTTCCCTCAAGGTAATTATATTCTGAGAAAAGAGGGGGATCTAAGATTGACCCCTGAGGAACACCAGGAATAAAAGTGGGCTAAGTGGGGATTAAGTTCACAACAAGAAACAATATTTTCTAATCCTGTGTTGTAGTTTGATATCTTCCGGCTGAAATTTGCATGGTCTTTCTTGTAAAATGCATTGTCTAGATAGCAGCATGCTGTTCCCAAACCCTTATGGTTCAGTGTTAGTTATAGTGAGTACTTACTCATCCCCATCATGGATGCTGGCTTTGCATCAATAACAACCTGCTCCTATTTAAAGGGGAGGATGCAGGGTCCAGGATTTCCAAAATAAATGTCATAATTTGATTTTCAGACCACAGGAAGGTTTTATATTTGTCCAGTTTTATCTGCAGATGTTGAAACCATCTGTGTTGTCCGGCCAACAATCAAAGTATCATCAACCATGTTTTCTCGACTTAAAACAGGCCTTGGGGGATTTAAATAATCTAGTATCAGCTGATTGATATTTTTAGGTGTAAATCATCTGAAACAATGTGGATAAATACTCTCTGTGTGCAGGTGAAATCCTGGTTATTTGCTATACAAATGTTTTGGCCCGAGTCAGGTTGTGCTGCAGTTTAAAATCAGCATGAACCTTCATATCTCCATCTTTCATGTAACTGAGAGGCAACAAAACAAAACAAGTGAAAAAAGTCGGTGTTCTTTCGTAATTTTTCCTCCTCTCTGCCAGAGAAACCGATGAACTGATAGCTGAAAGAGCAGCACTGTTCACCTGGGATGATAAAAGCATGAATCACTTATTTCAACACCGCTCTGCCTTTGCAGTGCCCCTGGGGGACAGGTTTCCATTTAGCCCTCCCCCTTCCATCCCTCTGCCAAAAAAAGAGAGAAGAAGACGCAGAAGAAGAAGGATTGAGTCTTTCAGGCCAAAAGCCAAACGTCTCTGTGCCGGTGTAATGACACCAGTGAGCTTTCTTCTCTGCAGACCTTGTGTTCGTGCATTTGTGAGCAGGGGCGTATGGTTTTAGCTCTGCGGCTATGTGGAAAGTGATCAAGCAAGTGTGTACGTGCGTGTGGGGTGTACCTAGACATAAAAGTTGATCTGTGTGTTAAAATGTGTGTGTGCACGTGCATCAGCTCCCCTGGGTCCTCTCCTCTTCCCCGCTTCCCTTTATGAAAGGAGAGGTTCAGAGGGAGCAGCAGATGTCGAAGCGCTGACCTTTATGGTGGCAAAGGCTCGGGTTGGAGTTAAAAGACATGCCGAGTTACCCCGCCTCTCCCTTGGCCCTCAAAGCGGCAGCTCTGTGTCCACCCACACACTCACAAAGACAAACACACACACACACTCCGCTGCCTTGCTGCATGGATAGGTTAACGATGGAGATGATACAAGCCACCTGATCTGTGTGTCACCTCAGTATCCTGCAGCTCCAAAAAGCTTCCCTCTATCCTCCCCGAGCTGTGAAAAGCTTCAAAGTGTGTGGCATGTTGAGGGGGAGAGGGGCACAAGCCAGGGGGGGTGAGCTGTACAGAAGTCACAGGCAAGGCACCAAAGCGAATACAGCACCGCTAGACATCTTTCAGGGGGGTTTATTCTCCTGCGTACAGTAGCCTATTGTTTTGGAAGTTCATGCATATCCATTACTTCACATGATTGAAATATCCCCCGGAGCCTATAGTTGCATTCAGGGTTCAGATTCAACTTGTTTGCTCGAGTGACGATGGGCCTCTTAAAGCACCACACACACACACACACACACACACACACACTGGCACACACACGCCCTGGTTGACTCAGTGACTTGATTCTCTTGTTTCCTCATTTAGCCTGTTTGTGTGTGTCAGACTGTCTCAGGGGAACAACCACAGGAGACACCCAAGGGGATAGAAATGCACATTTTTGTGTAATTTGGCTTGGGCGACCGCCAGCTTGGCACTCCTTGTTCTTGGTTGTCAGCCACTTGCTTGTGTGCGCAAACCAGATACGGCATCATTGCATTTCATGTATTTCTATTCCCTCACTGTACAAATAGAGAGCAGTTTTTTTCTTGATAGATGATAAATGTAATGTGTATGTAATTTGTCAGAGTTAATGATTGAACAAATTCCTTACTTCTTGCAGCAGACTTAGACAGTCACGCTGTATGGTTTGTAGACTACTTGGTCCTCTTTAGAGTTTTGAATCTAAGGAAAATCCGAAAAAGATCTTCATTTAGTTAAGTTTTTATGGTTATGCAACACTGTATTCGAAAATATTGTTTGTTGTTGTTAACTTATGCTGCATTCGAGTTATCTCCGAAGTCAGATGTCCGAGCTGGGAATGACGTCACACCCGAGTTACCAGCGTTTCAGTTACCAAGTCGGAAAAAAATCGGAGACTGAAACAAGGTGGCTACATCTACGAAAGGGGATGCTAAAATAACTGAAAATGACTACAATAACAAGCACCAAAATAACTTTCGTAGATGTAGCCATCTTGTTTCTGCCTCTGATTTTGCTTTTTTCCGACTTTGTAACTAAAACGCTGGTAACTAGGGTGTGACGTCATTCCCAGCTCAGACATCTGACTCCGGATGTAAATCAAACGCAGCCATAATCCCCACTTAGCCCACTTTCATTCTTGGTGTTCCTCAGGGGTCGAGCTTAGGTCCACCACTTTTCTCAATTACTTCTGTTTCATTCGTATAAAGACAAAACACGACAAAACTCGTTAAGAAACTCTTATGCGGATGGTTATTTGTTGTTGCCTTTGGGTCAGACTTAAGCATCTTCGGTCACTTTTTTGTTAACCTGAAAGGGTTTTCTCTTAACTTTTTACCCTCCAAAATCTAGGTAAGACAAAGTGTCAGTATCACATACTTTTATTGATGCACCTACACGACATTACAGTATTTGAGTTAAAAATATACAGTTGCTCTTCATTGATTTTAGTCATCACGCTACCTTATCATGACTGCCTTCATCATACAGGGTAATATCCAAAGATGTGTATTAGCCAAAGAAAAAGCTGACGGCAGCACAGAAGAAGTACTTAATGGGGATGTTGCATAGCAATAAAAGAAAAAGCCAGGACATGTGCCGGCCACTTACAAAACCAGAAAGAAGGAAGTGCTGTTTATCAAGATATTGTGACGTATAAATGTACAATTGTCTTGCAAAATACCAAATATTGCAGAAGAGTTGTGTGGTGATATTATAGATATCATGGGCCATGTATTGCATATCACTTTGAGTCACCCTGCGATTTCCTCCTCCACGTGTGTCTGCCAGAACTTTGTCTGTTGTTGAAAACCTATCCGCTGTTTCTAATTTCTCTAAAGGCGTTCCTCAGGGGTCACTCTTAGATCCTTCAGATATTAGCTTTCTTTTAGCCAAGTCTTAAGCAGACATCAAAGCGCGGTAAACATAGGTGTGTTATTTCATTCTGGTCTTTGTTTTGATTTCTAAGGGGTTTTTAATTATTGCCTGTAACGCTCTTCCTAAAATATTCTCAGCCAGAAAACTCGTCTCTCTTTTTGGGACGTGCTCGTTTAGTTTGTTTGGAGAGGCGCAGCGTGAATATATTTGTGTTTTTCTGTCAGTGTCTTGTGTTACTCTGTTTGTCTAAGTTCAGAGCTTGATAAGGGAGATTGATATCGCCCTCAAAAACCACGTCATGGAGGGCATTTATTTACCTGTGCTGGACTTGGAACGTATCAGACTGAGTTCATCTCTGTTTTCCATCTTTGGCACTTGTGAAAATCTCGCTGCTGTTTTCCCCGGCAGAGCAGGAAGGATCATTCTCATGTAAATCTAAAACCAGTGTGGTTTTGAAAACAGCCCTGGCGTCATGTTTGATAGAGGGCCCAAGTCCTCTCGCTGTTGTTGTTGTTGGCATCTCCTCCCCCTGCTTAGCTCAGACAGGAGAGGCAGAGAGCTAACATGAGGCGAACGCGTCAGGCGCTGGAAGCACGTACCTACCCGCTGACTCTTGTTTTGCAGCGGCTTGTCGTCTTTCTCTAATCACTCTCTTCTTCCAGGAGTTTCCTCGGCCCGTTGTTTGCAGAAATGCAGCTGCATCGAGGGAGCGGTGGATTTCACAGTGTCAGCAGCTTTTGCCCTCGCTGTCCCTTCACATTCAGGATGTTTCATTCAGAAAACATGAACTAATTCCCCCTGTCTGACTCCTGTTTGCTTTCATTCAGCTTCAGTGAGTGCACTCTTACCCACTTCCTATGTCGGGGCAGCTGAAATTGAGAGGAAAAAATATGAACAGGACCAACTGGAGTGTTTGTTCCTCTTTCCTTTTGTTTTCCTTCATTTTCATTTCCATTTGTTTGGGGTCTTGTTGCCGGTTAGATTCTTAATTCTCAAGGAGACTCATCAGAGAAATTAAGCTGTATTCCCTTTCATATCAAAGATAGTCGCCTTGTTATTCTCAGCAGTGGCAGCGAAGGGTTGGAGCATTGTTTGAGCGCCCCCCCCTTCGATGCCAGAACGTTCTGTCTGTTCCCTGACGAGCACACAGGGACGGCTCATCCATTCAGAGGAAGGTTACAAACATACACAGGATCTCCCGTGTTGGGAAAGCCCCTAACGAAGCCGCCTCCCACGCCTGGAAGCAAACCGCCACAATCACTGTGTTAGATGGAAAGGGAGTGGCGAGAAGGAAGATCATCAGTAGTAAGCGGGCAGTTGTAGCCTTGAGACTGTTAATGGCACTGTAGAAAGCATGCAGGATGCTGCAGAGCTGTAACTCACTCCCATCTTTATGTTAATGGCCTTCAGCATCTCCTCTGATTGATCTTTGGAAGCCTTTGAATTGATCTTTGACTATTGACTCTAACCTAACTATACCAGTGCAGATTTATAAACAAGACTCCTGAATTCTGGTGAGGAGATATTTCAGTTTTGTTGTATCCTTATGCTCCAAACCTTGCATGCACAGAATCAAAACCATTTTATTTCTGCCAGTTTAAACACATGAATCACCAAACTGACCACTATGCAGTCAAATGATACTTGCCTTGAGTGGATGTGATAGGATTGCGTCAGTGTTGCATCAGTGCAACAGGTCAAACGCCTGTTAACGCACCAAATAGATACAGACGTATTCGAATGAATGAATTCATATTGAAGACTTTCTTTGAGTCATGGAAGCTAACAAGACCATCAGGAACAAGATTTCTGATTTTATTAACACCTGGAATTGGTGCGAGGGTTGTGCAGCTAAAGAAAGAGCCCCCAGTTCTAGATCCATTCACAGACACATATCAACGTCAGTTTGCATAATCACTACATCAACTGAATCCCTTGCAGTATGAAGCTGCAATTTCTTCAAGTAGGAGTGATTTTGAGTTTTGTTAAGATTGAGTATCGAACGCTTACTTCTGTTGAACAATGAATTATGCAGAATGAAACACCAGATTACTACTACTTAAGACAACCATATTCAACCTGCATGAGTACTTAAGATGTGTCAGACATTTATTATTGAAATGTACAGTTGCACACAGAGTGCAGATAAAAAATGAAGTGATTGGACTGATATGTCAGTAGGGCTGGGCGATAAACCGAAAATTTACTGAAATCGAATGTCAATGTCATTTTGCCCATATCGGTATATTTGATGTCAAATAAATGAATAAATAAAAGTTGGTTTTGGATGTGTGTAGGTAGGCTATGGTCTAATGTCTCTTTAAGACGCTGTCCTACATCAGAGGCATGACTCCAAAGAGGGAGAGACAGGTGAGGAGATGGAGGACGGTTCAAAAGTTGAAGTAGACAAAGTTAATGTGGGAGGGGGTGAGCAGCTTATGGAGTCGTTATCATCCGTTTATCGTAATTGAGGTGAACTGCTCGATATGTCATGATATTGATTTGAGGCCATATCGCCCAGCCCAATATGTGAGCCTTATGTAGCAAAAGTGATCACTGATTACCTTTTGAAACTGATGGTAGCTTTTGAATCGATCTAAAAAATAAGCAATGCTACACCGGACAGTAAGACTGCATCATTCTGGTACTAGCACTGTTATTAGAAAACCTCACTTTTCAAACCCAAACACACTGATTTCTTCAAGCCTGCAGCCTCCAGGGGCAACACCACCACCATCACCACCACTGCTGCTGCTGCTGCTTCTGGCACTTGCCCAGGCAAGTGATGGCCTCCCCGGGGAAGATGAACAGTCTGCATCCCAGAGAAAGGTGTCAAGTCAGAGCTGCAAGGGGAAAACAGGAGTTATCGAGTGTCTTGGAAAACATTCAGGGAAAAAGAACAAAGAGAGAGAGAGAAAGAGCGAGTTTGGATTCCAGGAAAGGCACGCTGTTATCTCCGAATGTTTCTTTGCATTGTCTGCTTGTTTAACTAAGGCTGCCGGAGAGTTTGACTGAAGAATCCGCCTGGTGGCATTCCTGTGGCCGTTGACGTCAGGAGGTTTTGGCCTGTACTTTAGAATCACAATGAAGTAATAGACGTGTGTGTCATTTTGTGGAACAAGTCTATTGATTGTGGCGAAGGAAACAATGCTTTTTTTTCCATCTCGGGGAGAGAGGCTTGTTCATGTTGCGGTCGATCGTCTTGCACTTGTGGCGGCAGCTTGATGTTCTCCAACGTTGCTGGAGATGGTCTGTGAGGTTTTTACATGAGCTCATGGAAGGAAGGAAACTAACTCGATTCCTTTCTCCTCTGGTTTATCCTAGAAGGTTGCCAGAAAAGTTTCCCAGTCCATCACTCTGTCGGTTTTAGGCGAAACAAGCCTGAAATATTTAAACCAACGCGCCAAGTTGTCTGTTGGACAAATTGACCCAAATTTGCAGCAATTTGCAAGATATTCATCACTTCTGTGCACCAAAATCTGGTCGCTTTTTAGTGTTTTAAATTGTTCTCATCTTGAATTAAATGAGGATGTGAGTGGTTGAGATTTAGGAAACCCTTGTTTGTCTCACATCCTGTAAACGACACTATATTTTAGACAGATAGCATGTCCGAAAAGAGGAACAGTCAGCAAGAACAACCAAAACCAGACAACACTCCCGCACAGACAGTCATAGCCAAACAGCACAAACACGCACATGCTCACACACAACATATGCGTGCCCCGGTCTCTACATTTGGTTTGGTTCTTGGAGGATCATCTCACAACATGTGGGCTAAAGGTCATGTCTCACCCTCGCTCCGTCTTACTCTCTGTTTCTGCCAGGAATTCTATTTTTTCTCCGGGTGCAGAGCAGAAGGTCGTCTGGGTGGTTTTTAGGAGGCGAGGGCAGGGCAGGACGGTGGTTAGTTAGCTGGAGCTGAAGGAGGTCCACAGAGAGTGTGCTCCATCTAAGACAGTCCTGTTTGACTCTTAATACTCCTTAAAGTCTCTCAATATTGTTGTTTATTTTTAACGTGAAGCAATCAAGCAGATTTTTTATTATGAATCATAAAAGGGAATATTTTCTTGTTCTTTGCAATCTGCAAACCAACCAAAACATCTGCTATAGCTGCACCGTTACATCACCATCATGATAATTATAAGAAATATAGACCATTTTTTTGTAGTGAAAGCTGCACGTTTGGCTGCCTGCACTCATCAAAAGAGGAAGTGTGCAAAGCCTCTGTGCAATCCTGGAAATCATCAACAGTTATCTGTTGATTTATGTTGTTAAATGCACATCTGCACTTAAGTGTGGCCATGATCCACTCTTAAGATGTTGCATGATGTGAGCGTGTGCAGTGACATAAATGCACTCAAGCCTTTCAGTAAATATGCGCCATGTGTCTGCAAGCCTCGCAACATCTCCTCTGATTGTTTGCAGTTTGGAGACAGCTGCTCTGATGTTGTAGATGTGCGAGTGTGTGTCTGTGTATGCATGCAGCATATTCATGCACATGACTGTTCACTGAGCGGAGGGCACAGAATGACTATCATAGATGCTGACTGGCTGTGAGCGCTGCACTAGAGGCAAAAATACACTATCTGCAAGGGGTATGAGAAAAAAATCGATAAAGCATAGTATCGCAATATTATTTTCATCTCATTTACCAAGTATCAGTTTTTTCAAAATAATTGTTAAAATGAACTCAAGTGCATGATAATGGAAAAATAAAATCAACTGTTTTTAAGTGAGATTGGCAGAGGTGACATCTTAGATGCAACCAGGGTGTAAATGTGATGGAGCTGACACAAGTTTTGCAAGATGTGCTACATGAAAATAAAATACTGTGTAAATAAGAAACATAAGGAAAGACAAATGCTAAATTTGCAAAGCAGTTGAAAAATTTGTATAAATCGCAATATACTGTATTTTACAATACTCACTGTATTGTAAAATGTCAAAAAATCGCAAGACTATCATGACAATATTGTATTGTGGCCCAAGTATCGCGATAACATTGTTTCATGGCCCAGTTATCGTAATAATATTGTATTGTGGCCAAGTATCATGATAATATCGTGTCGTGGCCCAAGTATCATGATAGTATTGTATCATTGCCCAGGTATCGCGATAATATGGTATCGTGTCCCAAGTATCTTTATATATTGTATCGTGATAATATCGTATTGTGGCCCAAGTATCGTGATAATATTGTATCGCGGCCCAATTATCGTGATCATATCGTATTGCGGCCCAATTATCGTGATAATATCGTATTGTGGCCCAAGTATCGTGATAATATCGTATCGTGGGGCCACTGGTGATTCCCACCCCTACTATCTGCTTTGTGCTGATGTTTTGGATTAAGGTGCGGTGAAGTCGAACGGGAAGTTATTTACTTAACTTTTGAAAGTTCCTAATTATGCATCTGTATAGAAGAATTACTCATTTTTAAACTATTTATAATCCCTTCCTGAGCCTTGATAACCAAGTCAGTAGACTCATTATACCTATACATTTTTACTCCGTTGTGCTGCACTCGCTGTTTCACTTTACCCGCTCCACTCCTGCTTTGTGAGCTGCAAACAAAGGCGGCGCACAGAAAAAAGATGTTTCTATCAGAAATCCTTTGTTGCTAACCGCCGGCTACACCTGAAGCTCCGAAATGCCAGCTCCCAGAGGCTTCTTGACGTCACGGTTTGCTGTTTACTTCCAGTGTTACAGCGATGTAATGAATGATTTCTGCAGAATCCTCACATTGAAGACGCCAGATCCCTTTAAAAAAAACTCTGATTTTGAGTTTTCTTCAGGGAGTCAGACAAACAGGATGATGCTTTTGATCCCCTGACTTGCCATCAGGCTGCAGCTAGCGTGCTTATCACACCACCTGCTCCCTCATTGATGAGTCCTCTGCAACAAGAGCAGGAGCTGCAGCAGTGTTGCTGCGGTGCGGTCGATGTTGACGACTCACAACCCCCCCCCCTTCTCTACCTCCACCACCACCTCTGGGTTCCCTCTCGTTCCAGCGGTGAGTCATCAGCTCAGCAGAGAACGAGAAGAGGGAGGGAAGTGGAGCGGGAAGAGGGGGGTTCACTCAGGGTTCAAGGCTCCTCTCCTCGTCCCTTCGCTCTTCTCCTGACAGTCGCCCCCCCCTCTCCTCTGAGCACATGACCCGTCTCAACCCCAAACCCCGACCACTCTGTGCGAGTCTTTGGCCACAGTCACACTTGTCACATCAGTGCAGCTTTTTGACTCTGAACGTCTAATTTTATGAGATCACATTGCTGCGTGTCTTTGCACTTGGCCTGAAACGTTTCTGCTCTGCGTCTCCTGCGGCTGTGTTTACTTTTCAACAGCCTGCATGACTTTGTGCTCATCTGCCTCCTTTTTGACTTTTCTGATGTGGACTGTAAATCAGCGAGCAGCTCGAGAGCTTGTCTCTTAGCCAGATGTTAACTTTTGTTGGATTTGTCCTCAAACTACTTCTGTTATTGTTGTTATTGGATTATATTCAGTTTTACGTCAGTCTAAACTCATTTGGCTTGTTTTTTTTGTTTGTGCCGACTTGTTTTCGAGTCTTAAGAGACAAAACAACTAGAATAAAGTGAATAAAATCAAGAAATGAACTTTGACTTGACTCTGAAGGTTTTCCTTTGACCTGTGATTATTCATCTTTGCCCGACTTGTGACTGTGTTTCCGATATTCTGTCTTTCTACAGAGAAAGCACACTCATTACCCGAACTTTGAAATTAACCTCACCAGTTTCAGTTTTTCCGAACCCAGACGAAAAGTTTCTCTCTCCAGCGTTCAGTCAAATCTCTTCCTCGTCGGGACCATCTCAGGACCGGTGTTATCTGAGGACTGAATGGAGCCAGGTGGCAGGCAGGACACACATCACAAAGGCGGCTTCATTAAAGATACAACAAGCATCAAGTGTGCGCCCGTGTACACGTGTGTCGGTCCGCTTTGGCTCGGCTGCGCGCACTGGAAATTTCATTACTGTGTTCTGGACGTATTGTATATAATGTACTCGCTCCGTTCGTTCCAGCTCCTACGCCAGATTACACAGTGTACAGACGGCACGCTGGTGTGTGTATGTCTAGATCTCGTATTGATTGCATGCCAGACCCAAGTTTTGAAAAAGTCCGAACATATGGAGCATTTATATCAGAGCGTGCGGTGGAGAGGGCGAGAGGTGGAGGGAAGGAAAAAGAGGGGAGAAGGAGGGAGGAGGAGGAGGAGGAGGAGGAGGAGGCCTTTTCTTTGGCTTTTCTGCCTCTGTCATTAAGCTCTCCCATGTCAAAGACAGATGGAGCTGGTGCCCCGTGTGTGTGTGTTTGTGAGTGTGTGTTTGAAGGCAAGTGCAGACTGATGTGACCCACCCAGATCTACACACACACACGCACGCACAACATCCAGCCCTGCCCTTGATTCTGCCTCCAGCGGGGCATCTTGGGGCAGCTACCAGACCTCTGCCATCTGCAGCCAGTCAGGCCTTCAGGGTCAGACAGCTCATCAGCAGTCACCTCCCAACGTCGAACAAAGTTTCGCTCCTTCTGCTCATGCAACATTAAACTTCTTATAAAGGATCATTTTCGGGCTTTTTGTGATTCCGATCACACCGGCCGTTTGTCTTTTGTTTCCTCTCGCTCTCTCTTCTCTTCGAGCAGTTTTTTTTTTGGAAAGTCAACGAGAGAGGATTCATCTGAAGAAAAGGAGATACTCGTTTAACTCATTTTCAGTCTACGCTTTAGCACATCCCCCTCAGATCAAGATAACTTGAGTGTTATTTAACAAGAGGTCAAAAGAGGTCTTTTAGGACAGCAGCGAAGATGAACCTTGATACCTTTTAATTCCACACAAACAGGATTAAAGAGTTAAATAAGGCAGCTACTTTGTCTATAGGGGGCGCCAAAGCTAACCATGCCAAATGTTTCTCACAGGAGCTTTAAATGACGGTGTTTTTAAGTAGATAGTGAAGGCAGAGTAGAGTAATCTGTTTGGCCACCCATATGTCAGGGCCTCAGCTGTGCCAGAAAGTCTGGGTAGAGCTGCATAGTTACTGGGGCTGGGCGATAAACCGAAAATTTCCCGACGCCATTTTGCCCATATCGCATGTCAAATATATAAATAAATAAAAGTTGGTTTTGGATGTGTTTAGGTAGGCTATGTTCTTATGTCCCTTGAGACGCTGTCCTACGTGTCATAGACGTGACTCCACCCCTTCCAGTTCGTAACAAAGAGGGAAAGACAAGAAAGAAGAGAGAAAGACAGGTTGTAGACAAGTTGGAGAAGACCAAGTTAATGTGGGAAGGGGTGAGCAGCTTGCGGGGAAATTATCGTCCATTTATCGTTATCGAGGTAAACTGCTCAATGTATTGTAATATTGATTTGAGGCCATATCGCCCAGCCCTAATAGCGACACAGACAAACAGTGGGACCTGGGTGCAGTTAGGGGTTGCTGTTGGAAGACTAAATGATCCACCTGTACTTACAGGGATCTGCCTCACCATAATAACTGAAATAGTTACAAAATGAAGTTGAATTTTATCCGTTGGGTATTTTTTTTTGGATGTTTTGTTGCTGGTCTATATGCGGTATATTCTTTCATCCACTGTCATCTACGATAAACAAGCAAATAAACTTTGACCTCTGCTGTTTTCCCCTTGTTTCTTTGCATTTCTGTCCCCCGATGTTAGCAGAAGCATCTTTACCAAAGTGACTCTTCCGTCTCCACTCCACTTTGCTACTGCGGTTGTTGGCATCCACGCTGGCACATGGCAGGCAGCGGTGCCAAGCTGAGCGCGAGCCTCCAACTGAGACCACATCTTAGTCGCTCTAACAGTCCCCTCCTCTTCCTCTTTTTTTTTTTTTTTTGACTTTTTTTTTTTCTCATTGTGCCTCCTGTCTCACCCGCCTCTCTGTCAGGGGTTGACTGAGGACAAGAGCGTAGTGCCCAAACTTGGCCGCCTCCTCTGCGACAGTTTTTTCTCAATGATTGAATATGTGCCTGAAAGATGCATGCGCAATACCCCGACTGCAGGCCACACACACAGAGCGGCATGCTGCTGCAGAGGAAGTGTGTGTGTGTGTGGAGGAAAAAGCTAATGTTATTGCTTGCTGTGTGTTAAAATTGTGACTGTGACATCAGCGCAGAAGAATTTTTTTTTTCCTCTTTTTTTAAAAGGCTGCCAAGACTGATGTAGCCAGAAGGTTTGAATTTTTAAATCTGCCTCACTTTCTCTCACTTGCTTGGTGAGACTTGTTATTTCCACCCAGTCTGGTCTTGATCGTTTAGTCAGACTTTCTCTCTCTCTCTCTCTCTCGAACAGTGCTGATTGTTCACAGTGAACCCATGTGAACACCAGATCACAGACCTTGCAATTCAAACCGAGAAACTTGACTTTAGTTATTGTTTCTGGTGAATATCACTGAGCGTGTTGTTAGCTGTCAGGTCATGTCAGGTCAGGTTAGATGGTTGCCAGCTTCCTCCTTCTATTTGCATGTCGACTTGAGTGCCACCTGCACCTGCCTGAATGCACACTCCTCTAACTCGGCTACTTCAAGTCTCTTTTTATTAAGAAGTGAAAGCTTAACTTTTACAAACTGTTGACGTCAGTGATTTATTCTCAAGTTCAGGGAGGGGTGCAACCTCGAGTTTTCTGCCTCATACTCCATTGGGTGTCAATCTAGGAAGCTGGACTGAGACCTGGCCCACACTAGACCAAAACATCGAGTCAAATTTGGCATTAAAAGTATCAAACACATCAGAGCTTTTCTGTTTTATAGAAACTGACAGGATTTTGATGATAAAACAGTTGAACTCGGGACTTGAACTTGAAGTTTTTTCACAGTTTGGCATTAAAAACTGATGTTATTAAATGTTATTACATGTGTAGCTACAGATTAGACAGACTTTTGACCTTTTGTATAAAACAAGAAGACTTTTGTCTGCTTGTTCATGCTTGTTAGCGCTCACTGCTCACTCTGCCCCTCTGTTTTACTAACACACACCTGATCCTAGGGCTAGACAATAAACCGACAATTTACCAAAACCAAAATGTACGACAATAACTGACATCATTTTGCCAATGTCAATATATCTGGTGTCAAAAAATAAATAAATAGAGGTTGGTTTTGGGTGTGTGTAGGTAGGCTATGGTCCCTTTAAGATGCTGTCCTATGTCAGAGATGTGACTCCACCCCATCCAGTCCGTAACAAAGAGGGAAAGACAGGTGAGGAGATGGAGGACAGTTCAAGAGTTAGAGTGGCTTGAGTGGCGGTTGAAGTAGACAAAGTTATTGTGGGAGGGGGTGAGGCAGCTTGTGGAGTAGTTATTGTCCATTTAGCCATATCGCCCAGCCCTACCTGATCCTCTTCCTTTCTATCTGCTTTGCTGCAAATGTTGTTCCTCACTCGCTTTTTAATTGTTGAGATACTCTTTGTCATTAGTATCAAGCCTCGTCAACATATGTAAAACTTTTAAAACTTGTGTTAGCTAAACGCTGAAGAATCAGCCTTTGTTATTTTTCCCTCTACAAATATAAACAGGAAGTGGTCAATGTCACTGTAAAAAGACAACAAAGGGAGATATCATGTCAATTCACACCACTTTCACAAGAACGAGACAAAATTTGAAGCAATGTTAGGGTTTGACCACAGGGGGCACCAAAGTCAACGCAGCCAGAAAATCCTTAGAGGAGCTTTAAACGACCAAGACATCGGGAGTTTTTTCTTACTATTTAAAAGCTGTCAAACACAAAAAATAACAAACGCACTTTCACTGCTAGCATCCAAAGCCAAATTGTCAGCTTTTGCTAATGCCAGTGCAGATGTTTTAGAGGTTTAAACTACCAAATTAGCACAAAGGAACGCAGAGGTCTGTTGAACCCTGACTGTCGGTGAAGGGAGAAAATATTGTGGCCCCAGCTTGCCATTTAAATCCAAAAATGATGTCTGGTGGCAGAAAGGAAAATTTTTCATGTTAAAGTCTGATTACAGGGTCAGCAATCTGGCCTGCCTGGATTGTGAAAGGATGTAGATATGCAAATGAGTCAGTCAGGATAAACTCGGTGTGTCACAGGTCAATGATGGAGTAACTTCTTCATTTAGCAGGATGCAGATGCAGTTTTGAACTTTGTCAGAGGAGAAAAAACTCATTTTAATATTTATCAATGAAACTTGACAGTGTTGAGAAATCGAGCATTGATAGATGTATCTCAATATAGAGCTGGTACTGGTGCGTGTTTCCTCTGTTGAAACTCGCACAGATGAATAAGCTCAAACCTTCAAATGTAGCACTGCCATATTATTAGGAACATGTACCACTTAAACTACAGCTGTAGACCAGTCGTTCAGTAAATGAAGCTGTGATTATAAAGAAGTCAGGGTATTGTTCGTATTTTTGTGGCCGTGGCCCTGGAGGCCGGTGGAGCAGCGAGGGTGAAGCTGAGCGCGGTGTTGATAATGAGGCGTACAGCCACTCGCAGGACTTGTGATATCTGCTATCAGCCCTCAGGCTGAGAAACCAGACACCTTTTTATAGGCCCTAATCCCTCTTCTTCCCCCATCACACTTACACACACACACCCTCGGCTGTTTGTGTGCCCTCCTAGAGTCCTGTGTGTAAATGAAAAGAGGTCCACATACACCCAGTCAGATGTGTGGTTTTATATTCACACAGGGCCTGTTTTAGTGTGAAGGGGAGGCTCAGTGGTGTAAGATTGAAGCTTATCCTCTACAAATGTAGCCTGTTTAATATCACAGTGTTATTTTACGGCCAAAAAAAGTGAGTTTTAATTAAAAAAGAGGCAATAAAAGTCAGCCGACCGCTGTTGTTGAACCACATTCTCATTTTCCTCTGAGTCAAACTGATAAAAAGCTGTAAAAATGAACTTTTTTTTAGCTACCTCCATGAACACGCTGCCTGCAGGTTGACCTCCAAGGTCACACTCTGACCCCTGACCCCCAGCGGATGAATGATGGCGTCTGCTGGTTGTGTTTTGCTCCCTTGGGGAGCGCTACATCTACAAAAGCTGTGAAATGTAGACAAAACATGAAAGTGCACGGACAGATGGGTCAAATATTGTGATTTTTTTTTAACACCATCAAAGAGTCAAAGAGACATTTACACATTAAAGTGGATTCAAATGAGCTTTAATTTTAACACCAGCCAGAGTAAATGTCAGCTCTTTGCTGTTTCCGTTTGTTATCTTGCTCATTTCCGATGATTTTTGCAATCTTATATGTCAAACATGAATTTCACAAGATTGTTGAGGGTCTTTTTTTCTAATCTGGGTGCCGTCAGAAGTCTTTGTTGAGTAACACAGAAAAGCATAGTCACCATCACTGCACATCACTGTGAACTTTGAACTTAAGTCGACTATTGGATTGAGGAAGTTCTTGAATCACTCATCAGATTAGCTCTTTTCTATGTGTATTTAATTATTTCTCAGCGGGGCGAGTGAGGATCCCTAAAGCCGCCGTATAGTTTTGTTGACATAGATATGATTTATTTATGCAGCTGAAAAAAATAGTCCTCCCGATTCCCTCGGCGATAATGTATCCATGGCAACAGATGCTTATTAGCCTCCTAGCCGTACAAATAAACATTTAAGTGAACATTTATTTTTCTCAGTTGGAAGAACAGAAGTACAGTCCATGTCTCACTAATTGCAGGATTATTTCTCAGTCTCTACAGGATCGAGTACACATCAATCTAGGGCTGGGCGATATGGCCTCCAAATCAATATCACAATATATTGAGCAGTTCATCCCGATAATGATAAATGGACGATATCTACTCCACAAGCTGCTCACCCCCTTCCGTATTAACGTGGTCTACTTCAGCCGCTACAACTTTTGAACCGTCCTCCATCTCCTCACCTGTCTTGACTTCTTTTTTACGAACTGGATAGGACATGAGACCATAGCCTACCTACACACATCCAAAACCAACTTTTATTTATTTATTTTTTTGACACCAAATATACCAACAGGGGCAAAATGACGTCGGTTATTGTCTGTAAATTTTTGGTTTATTGCCCAGCCCTACATCAACCCCAAATTTCTTGTCTTTGTTCCAAACTGTCTTATTCAATAAAGGCTCGAAGCTACAAAAGTAATAGCATCAAAGTGAACTTGGCAATTGAAGGCAACATTAGTCAAGGTGAACAGGACTTATTCATGTTGACTTTTATAATCTAAAGGCTTTGACTTTAACTCGTCTAAAAAATTAGGCTTCTTGGGTTACAGAGTTCTTCAAGTGTTTATCATGGCAGGGTAATTGTTGAAATGTCCTTGAAGTTCATAAATTTTGGGCAGAAACAGTGACAGCATTAGCCGACACTTCCTAGCTTGCATGTAGTGCGGTCCGACTCCTCGCCAGCGTCTAACCACAGAGTAAAGAAAGCGAAAGTCTACCATGAAGGAACAGAAAATTCTGAGGAACCGAGGGGAACAAAAGTGAAACGGAAAGACGACAAATTTTGCCACCAAAGATGATCAAACAGGACGTGAAAGTGAGCGGCAGCTTGGCTAGCAGCCTCCTCTCTGTTTACCCTCTGAACTGGTTTGACTTGATTTATTCAGCGGCGCAGATTCTGGTTTGAGTTATGTGTTAATGAGATTTGAAGAGGGGGAGACCTGTTGCTGTAAAAACCTCTTTGTAGTGATGAGTGAATGTCGTCCTGCAGCCACCCTGGACATTTAAATCAAACCTGATACTGTATTTTTACTGCAGCCATTTTACAGCTGAGGATACCTACTCAAAAAGCCTTGAATGCGGCTTTGACTACGGATGGGAATTGATAAGATTTTATCGATATCGTTGCCTTAAAGATTCTGTTTATCGATTCAATTCTTAAACGATTCCCTTATCAATGCCTTTCTTTGATTTAAAAAAAAGTAGACTTTTAATTCAAAATTTTATTGAGCTCTCGGATAACAGAAAAAGATGTAGTCTAAAAATAATTAACGCGTCCAGGGTGTAGGCGAGAAGACTGACACAACAGCAGACTGAGTGTTTTTCAGTTCTGATTAGACACTAGTGTTGAGATGTCTGTCTGTCATGATAGCATGTACTGAGTCGGGGCCAGTACCAGATAGGAACATTAACCTATAATCCATAAACGTAAGGTAACAACCGAGACCTAATGGTGCTGTGACAGCAACGCGACTGAGTTTGAGACAGTGAAAATACATATGGTATGTTGTATCTGAACAGGTTAGCTTACGAGCTAAAGTTACTTAGCACAGATGAAAGTTAAAACAAAGACGTTTATCAAACTGTTAAAGCACACAAACCATTGTCATGTGAGAAATCTGACGCTATGACTCTCCACAAGTTGTCCTTCAGGTCGTTATCTTTGTAATATTTGTGTTTTTTATCAAAAAGCACTCTGTTCTCTGACACGTAAACAATTAGCAGGTCGGCCATGTTGGATATACTGGTGAATCAGACGTCGCGACAACGCGAAATCTACTTTGTCAGAAGTGGACACACAGTATGTGAAACTTAAAAAAACTCGACGATGATTCGAAAAAATAAATGCCGCAGTATCGCAGGATGGGAAACCGTCGCTGATGTGAACGCTTGTGTTGACAGGATACGGGTTCGAAAAAAATATTGATGTCTGAAATAATCACACGAAAAAAACGCTCCCTGTGTGTAAGGACCTTAACCCTGTAAATAAATCAGTCTGACTTTGGTGACCTTGTAAAGATGTCCTCTGCTCTAATCTTTCATTATTTAGTAATATCAGTCTTTTATCAAACCTAAGACTTATGAATCTCCACTCGACACCACAGCATGGAAAAGTTTGCACCAAAAACTTGACTTTGCTCCCATTTGATTTATTAAACATGTATCACATAGATGCTCGAGCAGCGGCGCAGAAACTGTGTGTGCATTTGCTTCCCCGGCATAAGTGTGTGTGATTTTTTCCAAACTTTGGCGCACACTGCTGAGGACATGTCATAGTGTGTGTGTGTGTGTGTGTGTGTGTGTGTGTGTGTGTGTGTGTGTGTGTGTGTGTGTGTGTTTCTGAGCCTTCGGGTGTTGACGTGTGTTTTTTCCTCCGCTCTGTTTGGACTGTCAGTCACAGCTGTCAAACACATCCCCGTATGAGCGGCAGGCCGGGTTCACACTCTCTCAATCAGCCCCCCGTTGCGTGCGCGTCGGTTGACGCGTGTTCGTGTGTTGGCACGCGGACGTGGGTGGTCGACGCTTTATTCATAGACACCGCCATCGCTCTCTGTCACTAATACCTCATGTGTCATCGTACCTGTCAGAGTGTCAGAGAAGAAGCCCGAGTTTTCCCTCCACGCTCCACTAAGAGGAGGATTTTATTCTCTCGTCTCTGTTCATTCAGTGGAGCTGGGAGAGAGCATATTTCATGAAAAGCAGCTATTAAGTTGGAGTTTCATCACCCGGACTTGCATGAACTGTATAAAAAGCCGATAAATCTGCATGCACATTTGAAATGAACTTGAACCCGAGGTCAAATCTTTACATTGACAGTGATTGCAGCTTCTTTGAGCATGCACGCAATAACAGATCTGAAACTAGAGTTTAGAGTTGCTAATATTTTGACAGCGCAGTCCTCTTCATGACCTAAGTGTTTGTGGTTTTGTGTGTTTGCTCTACAAAGAGGCCTGATGGGAAGCTCGGCGTGTCGCTCTGGTGTCTTTGAGTCATATCTGCCATCGGTTGGAGGTGTTGTGCTTTAATCAGCCGCCGCAGAAAGATGGTCTATCACCCTCTGGCTACGGCTGCTGAGAAATCGAGTGTCAGAATCTGTGTCAAATCACATAAATGGACGTAAACATGATCAATTCAGTCACAAAAGGTTTTAAAAAAACTTCTCTGATGTGAATATTTGGCATATTTGAACATTTTCGTGCTCTCTTTCGTCCAATAACAGTCGAAGCATTTCATTCCCCTCTCAGTGTATCGATGTTGGCAGGATGAGGGAGCTTTTATATATTTTCCCATGACTCTCAGGATAAAGTCGAGCTCCGCACAGCATCGGAGTAATCCATCACCATGAAAGTGAAGCTGACAATCCGGGTTTGAAAAGTTGCATCAGAGTTCAGATCTCGGGCTGTAAACTTTGACTACATGAAGGCTGTTCCCTCCAACTGTCTGTGTGCAGACAAACGTACAAATGACACCATTAGAGTCGGCGTGTCAGACATTTTTGAGCGTCTGAGAGTTTCCTCATTCTGTCAGTCATCAGTCTGCAAAGTAAGGTGGAGAGCAGACAGAAACTGGTTCTCTTTGTTTCCAGTTTACAAAGTAAGTATTATGTATAATTAGCAGGGCCCGACCGATACAGATTTTTTGAGGCCAATGCCGATTGTAAGGAGGGAAAAAAATCAGATTGCTGATTAATCTGGTCGATTTTTTAAAAGTTTTTTATGAAGTTATAAGAAATATCTATATCGTAAATACGGATGTAAATGTGGAACATTTTTGAAGTGAAACCGAATCTTATTCTCTGCATTTTATTTCTAAAAATATCGTCGAAAATCAGCGAATTTTGGCCAATTACCAATTAGTCTCAAACAGGCTTAAATTTGCCGATTTAATCGACTCGCCGATAAATCGGTCGGGCCCTAATAATTAGGGCTGGGCAATAAACCGAAAATAACCTACGTCATTTTGCCCGTATTGGTATATTTGGTGTCAAAAAAATAAATATGGATGTGGGTAGGTAGGCTATGGTCTCATGTCCCGCTGTCCTATGTCAGAGACATTACTCCACCCCATCCAGGTGAGGACAGGTGAAGAGATGGAGGACGGTTTAAAAGTTGTAGCGGCTGAAGCAACGGCTGAAGTAGACGAAGTTAATGTGGGAGGGGGTGAGCAGCTTGTGGAGTAGTTATCGTCCATTTATCGTTTTCAAGGTGAACTGGTCAATATATCGGGATATTGATTTGAGGCTAAATCGCCCAGCCCTATGTATAATGCACAGGTGGTTATGTAGAGAAGAATCCCTGCAGGGTTAGCAAGACCTGAATGTCTGTGGTTCTTCATAGTGATCAGCAACTTAGAGGTAAACTTTGTAGCTCTTCTGCTGTTGCCTGGATCACAAGAGGGGATTTTTCTCTATCTGCTAACGTCTCAGGCTGATCTCATATCCGTCCCTGCTGACTCATTATACATTGAAGTCTAGACCATCAAAAATTACAGCATAAAAATCCTCACTTATCTTATCACTTATGGTCTTGCTTTCTTTCTAATTTCATAGTCTGACTGCTGTTGGTGTTTTTTGATTTAAAGACATGCCGTCTTCTCTGAACTCTGAGTTCAGGACTTCCTCTTCCTCCGCGGCTCACATTCACCATAAATGGGATCACTGTCGGTGCGATCTCACCCCGTGCACCAGCCTTGGCACACTTACCCAGTGGTAACCATGCCAGGCTAAGCTAGCAGAGAGCTGGCTGAGCTGTTTAATTTACCTATCAGGTTCCTAATAGGATAGTCATGGTAAAAAGAAAAAGGCCAATTAAAAAGTTCCTGAATACACCTGAAAGAGGAACCAAGGGGAGTGGTTTTAAAGTATGATCTGTTTGATTGGTTGTTTGTCAACCCTGTGATGGAGTATGACCCTCCTTGCACTAAACTCAAGCATCAAAATTTACAGTATAAAAAATATTAATCTTGTTACTAATAGTCTTATTTGCTTTTACACATCATAAAATTACTTCCATGTTAATTTCAGTCTATTTCATAAATGTGAAAAAACTCCCTACTAGAGCTTTAAAATCCTCCCTTCACGTCCTGTGTGATCCATCGTTATCTTTATCATGGCTTCAAACTTGAAGCGTCTTAACAGTCTTGGTTACAAAGTGTGACACAAACACTGAAACAAAACAAAGAAACCAAACATTTAAAAAAAAAAGAGAAATTAATCATGTTGTCATAGAAACCAAAACACAAACCAGAGAGCTGATCTGTACTGATGAATGAGGATGTGCTTCAGGGGACATACTCCGCTTCAACTTCGATATAAATAGACCCAAGTGACTTTTAAACTTTGTGAGTCCAAAAGTCTGGATTATTTGTATGTTTCTGTAGTTTAAAATCACTTAACTCAGATTAAATAATCCGGTTTGACTTGTTCTTGGATTGTCAAGTTAACTCTTTAAAAATCTGTTTTTCTGTATTTTTTCACGTACATCACTCCCGCTGATTTAGCTCCTTCACAATCCGAAACGCCGTAGTCTGTGTTAATATTTTCCTGCTCAAACTCCCCCTCTGTGCCTCATGGTAGTGAATCCTTTCCTGTTTGATTTCTCACCATCGCTGTTAGCCTGCAGTGTTTGTCCTCCCTCCTCTCTCCTCTCGCTCGCTAAAATCAATGATAGCAGCAGCAGAGGAGGAAGAGGAAGAAGAGGAGGAGGAGGAGCGAGACGCCGCTCTCCTCATAACTGAGCTTCATCTTCCTCCAGCAAAGTTTTCTTCAGAAACTATTACTGTGCATCAGAGTCAAATTGCTTCGGTTTTGTTCTACTTGGCAAATATTTTCAGTCGACATTTATTTAATAAAATATTGTTGCAGCTTTGATATTCATTGACTGACTACCTCTCTCTTTATCAGCACAACTAACATCTCTCAACCAACCAATCAGAATCCGGTATCTATAAATAAATGTGATTTTTATACATCAATTGATCCTAAGAGACAAAAACTAGGGCTGGGCGATATGGCCTCAAGTCAATATCACGATATATTGAGCAGTCCACCTCGATAACGATAAATGGACGATAACTACTCCACAAGCTGCTCACCCCCTCCCACATCCAAAACAAACTTTTATTTTTGTATTATTTTGACCCCAAATACACCGATATGGCTTGTATCGTAAATTTCAGTATCTTTAAATTTTTGGTTTATCGCCCAGCCCTACTAAAAACTCTTCTCTGGTGACTCTGACTCATTTTAAACTCAAACACTTAACACATGACTCCAACACATCCCATATTTTTGTCATATCATGAAAACACCCATCATAAACGTTTGTACTCTGAGTTTGTCATATAATAATGACCTAACTTCTTCAAACTCTTCTATTTCACAGTAAAAATCTTCTACTACTCTGAACTTTACCTGTCGTTTCAGAGCGACAAATCTGCCCCATAAATCTGCAGATGCATCAGTCAGCGCATCTCTCTTTGTCTCTGCAGCTCTTACCTGTCTGTGGTTTTCCTGTGTTTGGTCGTCTTTGTTTTCTTGTTGGCGTTTGTGTCTTGGGCGGGTGTGAACTCGCGAGCGCGATGCGAAAAGAGCGGTTTTGCGCAGAACTCTCAGACCTAAAACCTTTCACACCTCTGACCAGCTTTGTGCGTTTGCTCCATACCTCACCTTTTCATGCAAAACCACCGTTCCTGTCCGCGGTGTTTTCGGAGAATCTGGCAGAGAGGGTGAAGGTCAGGAGGGAGATTTTTGATGCACACTTTTATGTGTTTCAAACATTCAGACCTTTCCTCCCTATATTCCTCCTTCCTCTAAATCCTTGCGTCGTTCCCTTCCTCCCTCCTCTCCTCTCCTTTAATCTCATAACCCACCCTCTCCTTGCTGTATCTTTTCCCTTTTCCTCCACTGCTCCCTGAACACATCAGAGGGGGGTGAACGGGGTGAGGTTTACAGGAGGGGGGAGAGAAGAGAGCCGTCTGGAATCCATTAGCCGGTGGAGGCATCAGTGTTTCTCTGTGGGAACCTTATTGATCGCCCTCTTTTCTAATCACTCCTCCTCCGCTCCCTCCTTTCTGCCTCCTGCGCCAATCATACTCTCAGTCTCTCTGCCCTCCATCCCCTCTGCTTCTTTTATTTTTGCTATTTTAATCCTCCTTCCTGTCTTTTTTTTCTTCTTCTCACTTTCACACCTTACCCACGTGCCAAAACCCATAACCAACAGTGACACATCATCAGCGTGTTTGATAATGGCATGGAAAATCTATTATCAGCAGCCTGCAAAGCTGCCACTTCCTACACGGGGGGGAAACTATTTAGTCAAATGCGGTTCCTGTCTTTTTGAAATGTGCACACACCTTTATCACCAGGTTCAGCCTTAACTCTGAATTTTGGTGCATTGTTGCATCACTACAAAATTACAGTAATGTGTGCTAAAATATGACAGTGATGTTTGGTCCTTAAGAAAACATGATCCTGCGTCTGCAGTGAGTTACTCTCCCATTACATCGGCATTAATATCTGCGTTTTGGGATGTCCTTCTAGGGCTGAGCGATAAATTGTTTTATGGTTGAATTCACATTTATGGTTTTGGTATATTTTCAAAAATAAACATTTAAATTCTCTCCATTAATTCTTCTGCTGGTCTCCAACAGTTGGCCCTGATATAACCTTTACCTTCTCTAATTAAAAAAGCATTTTTCTTATCACCTGTTATTTTAAAAAAAAACTTTAAAAAAGTCAGCTGCTGGAGTTTTAGTTGAAGTTTTGTACCGTGAGAGACAATGAAGTTTCAAAGTGACATCAATACCTGCCATTTAAAAAAAATCTCTGTTTTTATTGATTATTTATCATTTATTAATTATTTTTATTTTCACCTTAATATTTACCCTAGAATAATATTTCTTAATAATTTCAGATTGCTGGACAGAACTCCAAAAGTCCCTTTACTTTAAAGATGTAAATGGAAGAAGAATTAAAATAATATTAATGTTGTTACAGTGTAGTTCACTATTTTTTGAATCAACAATATTTTTATTGGTTTTATACAGACATACACAGGAGACACATTACAAACACTCTCTTTCCCTCAAAACCCCGTCTACAGCTGGATATTCTTATTACTTTGTTTAAATAACTAATTCTGGAGCTATAACAAAAAAAAAATAAAAATATAAGTACATAAATCAAAAAAAAAAAGTGCAAGTAAGTGCTGGGATTTGGGTTTTAAAGATCTTGAAATACATAAGATGCTATTTTTTTAGTGTTTTAAAATTGTATTTTGTCAGACAGGAAAAAAAAAAAAACCTGTATGACATCAGTATTAGATATTCGCTGCCGGGAAACCTGCTCCGACATTATTGGTATTTGCATCAGCTGTTGAAAAACTGTAATCCGTCAACCTCTAATCTCTTCAGTTTTTTGGAATTGATTCATCGTGGGTGATTTTGAACAAACCCAAGTGTTTAATCGCGTCTTCGTCATTTTGTGCTTTTATTTCAATGAGAAAAAGTGAAGGACTTAAAAGTCGTAAATTAAGGTTTTTGAAAAAAAAAATCGTATTTAATTTTAGTCCGTATCCTCCAGCCCTATTTCCTATATGATCACCTTTAAAACCCAGTTTAAATTCATTTGCATGACTGTTCAAACAAATATCAAAAACGACCTAAAAAAACGTATAAAATTTGTTATTTCTGATGTAATCATCTCCATTTATATTCTTTACTTTTAGCTCTTATGTTTGAGTTAGTTTTTTAAAAATGAGTGATGTTGAAAATGAGTGTGGGCAGGACTGTATTGCATGTGGCCTATCGCTAACGTCACGGTTTTACCATCAAACAAAGCCACTCACTGGAAAACTGTCATCTGAGCTGTAATATGTTTCAAGTTTACGGCCTGTTTCTCTTCATGTGGTGTTGGAGGTGGTTTCCTCACTGTGTGTCAGGAAAAGGCAAAGAGTTTCAGCCGTGACTCACGCACAGTTTTCAGGTTTTTACTTAAAGCTCCTGTGAGGAACTTTTGGTTTATGCCAGCTTTGGCGCCCCCTGTGGAATCACTGTTTTTAGCACTTGTTGTTCAGCTATGAAATGCTTTGAAGCCGTAACCACAATGATGCAACACTCAGGTGTCTGTAATCTAAAGTATCTTTACTAGAACTGCACATCATCACAGAGAAATCCAATATGGGAATCATGAAATCTGCGAGTTCATACATGCTGTAAGCCTTGCTCTGAGAGAGAGGTAATGGCTCAGAACATGTGCCAGTAACATCGCTCTCTCCCCCTCAGCTGTACTTAATTTTTTAAGGTTAATTAACTTTGTGTTCGCTTGATTAGCAGCTGCCATCTAGCCTTCCACTTTCGGGAAAAACAGTGCAGAGACCCGGCGGTAGGGTTGCAAAACTATGAAGCTCTATTTACCCGACACGCAACACTTTTCACTCGGACCTGATCTTATCTGAATGCGCTGACATACTTTAAATAACAGAAAAATCCCCCGAGTTCTAATTCAGACTCAGACTGAGTCAAATCCACCTTCAGCTATTTTTCCCCCGTGGACTGGACGGTGCGTTAAGTCAAATGAGAGTCCTTCACAAACATGTTGTCACCTTAACACAACACTGTCAAAGCCAAAGTGTCAAGCATGTGTTTACGCGTGTGTGTTTAGGTGCACCGCTGTGTGCAGCCGTGTTTACTCTGAGTGTGTGTGTTTGTGGTTAGTAACCAGCCCACTCATGTTTTTCTTCTCACTTTGTGTCTTTGCAGGAAGTTTGGGGAGCGCCCTCAGCCACAGCGCCTAACGAGGTGAGCACACATGTACTACACTCAGCAGAATCTTCCCTCAGCACCTTGTTTTGTTGTCATAGTGGTATTTGTATGGTTGCCTGCGTGCAGACTATACACTGAGTTTTGGAGTACAGTAATTCATGACTAACGCAGTCGCCTGTGAAGTTCAAGTTGATGTTTGAGCTCATAATGAAACTGATAATGTGGACGGTGTGGAAAAGGTCTGAGAGCAGCCTTGCTACCTGATCAGGAGGTTTTTCAGGCTTCTCTTTGGTTGTTAAAACAAACAAAACATCAACACAGATACCGATACTGTTACCGATACAAACATCAACAAGTCTCAAGCTGTAGCATCACCACGTGTCAGGAGCTGATGGTCATTCAAAAGTAATGAAACCTTCTCTATAGGGCTGGGCGATATGGAGAAAAAGTTTATATATTTTCTTTAATACCAGTCAGTATCGATATATATATCACGATATAAAACCGTGCTTATTGGTTGCATGTCTTTTGCGATACAATAAGCTACAGCATCTGGGAGGTCTTTGCGTCTCTTTGGCGTTTGGTCGTAAGGCGTTTTGCTAGAGAAAGCAGACTGAACGGTCGGCTGTTTCAGCTGCACAGGCGCCATGGGCTCCTTGCGCCGAGGCAACATGTACTCGACATAATTTACCGAAATACCTCCACGCCACCGATGCCAATGTCGTCAACAATGTCGTCATCTGCATTTCTGTCGGGGGTAGCACTCATTTTCTTTTTCTCTCAACGACAGTGCTGTCGGCTTCACGTGTTAAAGTGCTATGGTTGCGTGTAGCTGCAACCTGCTATTACGCAGTTGTTTGCTACTTGGTTCTAATTCAGCACATGATTGGTTCAGCGCGAAGTGGACCTGGAGCAACTCCCCTTTTTATTGGCTAATCCTATAGTCTACCAAAACATGGCACGATGTCGACTAAAGACCGTGCTTCATATTGATATTGAGGAAAACTCATTTTCGATCTATATCGTTATCATTTTATCGCCCAGCCCTACTTCTATATATTGGTTGATATCGGCTCAATAAATCAGCCGACTGATATCTGTCAAAGTTAGGGATGCATGTCTACTGAACACAGAATAAACACAAATTTTTTTGCTTAAAAAAGCAACACCATCAGCATGTTTGTACACACGCTCACATGGAGCAGCTGTAATCCATCAGCCTCCGCTGTGCCGCACCAGTTTAGCTCTGCTGTTTCTGATTCCTTTGTCATTTTGCACATCGTGTTTGTCTGATTTGTGCTGTGCATGTCAATATGCCTCAAAAAGCATATTGACCATGTTTTATTTTGATATTGAGGAAAACCAATTTCCCATATATATCATTATATCAACTATCATTATAGTTGATATCGGCCCAATAAATCAGCCGACTGATATCTGTCAAAGTTAGGGATGCATGTCTACTGAACACAGAATAAACAGACTCATTTTTTTCTTTAAAAAAACAACACCATCAGCATGTTTGTACACACGCTCACACGGAGCAGCTGTAATGTGTCGGCATCCGCTGTGCCGCACCAGTTTAGCTCTTCTGTTTCTGATTCCCTTGTCATTTTTCACGTCGTGTTTGTCTGCGCAGAAATGAACAGCATGTTCTGCAGTGATTTGAGCAGAAACAGCCCAGGAAAAGCGATGATTCACCTTCTTCTGAGGACTTGTTGTTAGGAGCTGCACTCTGCATGCACTGCGGCGCTGTACGTTTTTCATTATCCCTCTCCTCTTATGTACGTTCCAACTCATTTGGAGCAGCGTTTTGGGTGAACACATAATGTTGATGGATGTTGTGGCTTCTGGACGTTTTGTTGTTTGCTTGTTGCTTTCTTTTGTTACAGTTTTCCCGCATGTGTGTGTGTGTGTTTGCAGAAACACGCTTGTTTTTTGCACGTGGCGCTCAGTGGGTGAAATGAGGGGTTGCATATCGCCTGGAACAGCCAAGCTTGGAGAAAAAAAAGGGGGCCCCAGCACCTTTTGATGTGTCCCCCTCTTCATTCATGTGTCGCCAGTCCGCTTATCCTCGTTGGCCTCTTGGTTTTGATGGCTGGAAATATGACGGTTTCACCCGGCAGGCTAAAACCTCCAACTATTACCCCTCTAACACTCTCTTTGTTTTGCACCTCTGTGTCTGCGCACTCTTGTCCCCGTTCTTCAGCAACAACATCCTCATGATTTTCTGTCAGGCGAAACACACAGACAGCTAAAAGGGGCTTTTTAGGGCAGCTACAGCTCCGGGTCCTGCAGGGCCGCCCTGTCAGGAAGGCTACTCGACTGGAAATACAATACATGACACACAAACAGTAGAAATGCGCACACACACACTCACACGCACGCCGAACACTCAGACCCAGACACACAAACAGACGCATGAACGGCCAGGCTGGCTGAGCTGCCTCCTCTCGTAGGGAAGGGTTTCATTCTTCCAAACAACATCTCCTCCTCACATGAAAAAACAGCATCTTTTAGTCATTAGCCTCCAGCTTCCTTTGACCTTTAATAACCTTTGCTCCAGGCTGTACTTTTGGCTGTACTCGCACACTTATACTTCCTTTTCTTTCCCCGTGCATTAAGACTTCCAGACCCTCTCTTCCCCCGGCTGATTGAGAGAAGCTGTCAGCCTTATCCCCCTCAATCACAAACAGTTGTTTTCTCTTTTTCTTCTTCTTCTTGGCGCGTTAACGCCGTGGGCGGGTTGACAAGTGTTTCTAAAACGAGGGGATGAGTATCCCCGGGACACTTTTTTCACCATTAATTGGAAAAATACCAGTCATGCATTACTTCCTGAACAATCGCACAGTAAAAGTGAAACTGCAAGTCAGAGACACTTCATTTTACAACAAATAAAACTGTTTTAAAAGCAGACGTTCACTGCTTTAACCAGGTAGTGAAATATCAGGTAGGGCCCGATCGATATGGATCTTTTGGGGTCGATACCGATTGTTAGGGGGAAAAAATCCAATTAATACCAATTAATCTGACGATTTTTTTAAATTTTCAATGAAGTTACAAAAAATATATATATATACTGTAGATATCTACAGTATACTTTATACTGTAGATATACTGTAGGCTACTTCTCTTCACAAAGGACTAGAAAAGCGTTTTCAACTACCCCGCCCCCTGCCGCTGATCGGTGCCTCTGCGTCTTAACTCACATTACTAATTTTGCTGCGCCATCTACAGGATAAGTTGGGGAACTTTTAAAATGGCGGAACATTTTCGAAGTGAAACCGAATCTTACTCTCCGCATTTTATTTCTGAAAATATCAGCGAGTTTTGGCGAGTTTTGGCCGATTACCAATTAGTCTCAAACTGGCTAAAATTGGCTGGTTTAATCTGCTTGCTGATAAATCGGTCGAGCCCTACTTTTTATCCACTACAAAATATCCAAGTGCGTGACCGTGGCAAGCCCTCGAAATTGGGTGTTTTGCCGTCAGACAGGAAGTAGTTTCTTTTTTCTCAGCAATGCCAGAGATAAATATAAAGGACAAGATACGCAATTGTGCTGTAGAAGCCTGTGAAGTTACGTGCTTACATGGCAGCCATCTTGGCAGGGGCATGTTCTAATGATACAGATTTTTATTTATTTTTTTGTTAATTTTAAAAGTAAACCGTATGAAAACTGGTGGAGAAATGAGAAAGTAATGAAAACAAGTCTTATTCTTCGCATTTTATTTTGAAAATATCTGTGAAAATCTGCGAGTTTTGGCCGATTACCGATTAGTCTCTAACGGGCTTAAGTTGGCCGATTTAATCTGCTCGCCGATAAATCGGTCGGGCCCTAATATCAAGACATGATATTTCATGAACCTGTTTGTTTGAGGCTGTTATAGAACCTCACCAGGGCCGTCTGGAGGTCATTCATTAAACATTAAACATGGTTTTAATGTCTTTAGGTCACTTCTGCGCTCATAAATAAAGAATAGACGGCTGATTGGTGGCGTCTTTGAATCTGTGGATGTGTGTAATCTGGCTTTTGTGATCCACACGGGCGGACGCTAATTTGCAGTCTGATCATCTTAATTGAGCTATTTCACACAGCGCATGTGTGTGTGTGTATTAGCATGGCCCTCTACTCTGTGCGTGTGTGTGTGCGTGTGTTCACAGGGGGGTCTTGTGACCAGCCGCGCTCCGCTGTAGACGCTGTGGCAGATGTAGGGGACAGATGCCTGTCTGCTCGGCTGCATCTGTAGCCTTGCTTAACCCACCCCCCTCTGCCCCGACACACACTCACACACGCTCATGCTCACACACGCCCGACCCCTGTAGCGCCTGCTGTTGAATTTGTGTCCTTTTTAAATCTGTCTGGCACATTTTTGTCTCACTTGTCACGCATTTCCTTTTATCCTTCCACTCCACTGTGTGTAATCCTCACTTTTTCTCGTACCTTCCTCACTTCACACCTCTGTTTTCTTTTCCTCCTCCTCTTTTTTTTTGACCTTTACAAAAACTAACTTCATATTTAATGTGTCACCCAGGTGTCATTTCCTTCCTGAGCATCACTTTGGGGTTGGATGTTGCACGTATGACCTGAATAACCACGCATGTTCGTTTTGCTAATATGCACGGTTGCAGTTTTAGCCCTCTGTGGCGTGCAGCTTGTGGTATCGCGTGTGTGTGTTTCAATTACTACACAAATGCCCATTTCTCCCACTTCCTGACACTTATGAAGCCTGTGAAGCAGAGCATTGATTTCCCCCCTTTTCCCCCATCATCCTCTATTTTTATTGAACTCTCTCTGTCCTATTCTGGCCTTTCAGAGCGAAATGTGTGTTTGTGGATCTTCTTTGCACGCTTGTATCTGCGTTTTTTTTTTGTCATTTTGTGTGTCTGCACGCTCACTCTTTCAAAGGAAGTCAAGCCATGCGCTGGTCACCGTCTCTCTCACTTCTGCTTCCTTTCAGTGCGCAGGAAGAGCCCTAATCTCTATCTTGTGTGTGTGTGTGTGAACATGTGCGAGAGGTGAATGATTACCCAGACGTCCTTTTATCCCTTTCAGCATCATTGATCCCCGCAATTCACTTACAGTTCAGCCTTTCAAGTTTTCCTGTCCTTTTATTAAGGTTACCTCAGTGCGTTACAACAACCTTGTCTTTGCTGGAACGGTTTCATATTTCCATTCACTGTTTTATTGATGCTCTGACTGACTTTCAACAGCTGAAACGAGCTTCAAACGGTTTTAAACAGTTCTTGTTTTCTTTTAACGCTGCAACACGTGCCGAGCATAAGTAAACAAGACCATTGGTGCTTTAAAATGCACCTGCAGCTAATCTATCTGGCATTAAAGCTCCTATAAGGAGTTTTTTGACATTCATGAAACAAAGTGAAATTCATACTGATGCCTTTTTAGGGCCTGAGCGCCAAGTAGTGCAAAAGACTGGAATGAGGGATTATTTTTTCATTTCTTTTCTGTGATTAGTTGCAAATTTGGAGCCCTTATCACTCTTGATTTTTTGTGGTTGCTTCAGACTTGGAGAAAATATGACAATTTGGGGTGTTTGAAAATGGATGGGATAAATCTGCTCCATGTCACCCCCAAGAGATTTTCAAAATACTATTGACATTAAGCTTTTTATCCACTACAAAATTTTATCTAAGTGCGTGACCGTGGCAGGCTCTCAAAGTTGGGTGTTTTGACGTCAGACAGGAAGTTTTTTTCTTAGCGATGGCACGAATAGAAGACTGCGAAGTGATGTGCCCATGTGGTAGCCATCTTGGCAAGGGTATGTGCTATTATGCTGCGTTCGAGTTACCTCGGTAGACAAATGTCGGAGCTGAAAATGACGTCACACCCAAGTTCCCAGTGTTTCAGTTACCAAGAAAGCTACATCTATGAAAGTTATTTTAGCGCTTGTCCGAATATATGGCAAGCACTAAAATAACTTTCGTAGATGTTGCCATCTCGTTTCCACCTCCAAATTAGCTTTTTTCCGACTTGGTAACTGAAAAGCTGGGAACTCGGTTGTGACATCGATTTCGGCTCGGACTTCTGACTTCCAAGGTAACTCAAACGCAGCATTAATACAGAACATTTTTTTTAAAATGTTTTAATTAAGTGGTTTGTATTAATAGCACGTTTTGACGTGGACAATAAAGTAAACCGCATGAAGATCGGTTGAGATATGAGCAAGTTATGAGTTATTTTGATCGTACATGTATTGCTTTTAATGGGAACGATGCCCGCACTAGCTTAGCCTCGCCGTAGGCTCGCAGCTCAAAGGGGCGTGTCGTATCTATATATACATATCTGTGAGCAGTGCTAAATCAATCTCAACCAAACTCACAACGCATAATGGGGATCAAGACCAGAGCATATTCACGTACTTATATTACATCTCAGTTATAGCACCTCCTGGTGGCAGGAGGACATGTCATGCTGTCACTCGAGCTGAATTTCATAGACCGGTTGAACAGATCTGCTTCGATCCTTGAAATGTTGATCTTGATGTTTCTGAGAACTAGCACCTCCTTATTTCTGACACTTGGCCACGATAGTAAAGAATTCAAACTCACGGGGTTTGAGCGCCGTCCAAGCTTTGTTTTCTGCATTTTTCTGTATTTATGTACAGCGTATACTGAATATGTGAATGAAAGCCATATGCTTCTTTACATTTACTGGTGACAGGCAGATCATTTTTGGCCCATCAAAAATCAGTCTCGGTCTAATCTTTTTACGCGTACTGTCAATGTTTTCCTTCATATGAACGGCTCTAAAGCATCCATGAGCCCTTATTTGGTATCTTTGTCAACCTTGGGTTCCCCTCTATATGTGAATGTAAACTCTGCGGGTTTGAACAATGCTTGGCAGCACAACACGGGTCTGTAAAGATGGACCCTCCACTGGGTTTTTGTTATTGGGTTGACTCTCGGATATTCAGTTCCACTTGATTGTTAGCACATGTGAGCGATCCGTGTCGTCCATTCAAAGGTTATACGGACAGCATTGATTATGAGGAGAGAGCAGATTACTGTAGATTCAGAGAGACTGTGAGTGAAAGCTTAATCTTAGGGTGAGGACGCATGTCTGCGTTGATCTCCCCATATTAGCCGCAGTGGTCTGGACCAGTTTGTTGAGCAGTGAAACAGTGTTAACCACAAGCCAGGGCTGTCGCACGAAACCATCCCCACACTGCAGTGAGATCCTGCTGTCATAACAGAAGTATGAAGCAATGCTTTTGGATATTTACACACAGTATTGGCAAAAAAGAAACTCAAAAAGACTTTGACGATCGAGCCAGAGTCATCAGAGCGGTTTGACGTTTAGCCTCATGGAAGGAAACAAATGAGCAAAATTGTTTTTGAAAGTTTGCGTTTATCTTTTGTTTGTTTTGCATACTGATGCCAGAAGAAAGCGCATCACAGTAGTCGAGTCTGGATTAAATAAATGCATGAACGATTTCCTCTAAGTCAGGAGGAGAAAGAAAAGAGTGGATTTTAGTCAACTGTCTGAGTCGAGCAAAGCAGGACAGAGGATAACTCTGTTCACCCTGGATGACTCCTCTTTACAAACATTTGCGACTGATTAGCTTTGTAGCTAGAAACAGAGGTGAGGGGAGTATTCAAGTCAAACAGGACACAATGTGAGAGACGCATCAGTGGTGACAGGTCTTAACACGGCGTAGAGCTGAGCGTCATCTGCATAGCACTAAATGTCTTTACCATGCCTACGCAGGATTTGCCCCAGGGGTATGTATACAGTGAACAAAAGGGGACCCAAAATAGACCCTTGAGGGACCCCACATGAGTGGAGGAGGCATTTCCAAGCACAACAGATAGGAAAGGGATAAATCCAGCAGCGCATCATTAACTCCAACATAGTTTCAGATGACTGATAAATAGGGCTGGGACCATGTGCTTCTCTCCCGATTCGATTCTTCTACAATTGTTTGGATGCCGATTCGATTTAAACTGCGATTCTACAATATTGTCGATTTTCTGGATTTTTAGTCTGTTCCAGGAACCATGTTTCCCCCAAAAATACACATCACATGTTAGTCAGTTTTTAAGATTTATTCTTAAATTAAAAAAAAAAAAAAAAAGATTTTTGAACAAAAAAATCACTTCAAAATTTGTAAAACAAAAATTGGGATACTTATGTGAATCGATCTTTTCTGCGACTGCTGATTAAAACAAATCTGGGACTATTTATATTTAACATGTTTGTTTTTTTCTTGCATATAACAACATGACAGCAGGGGCGTATCTAGAAGGTGGCCTATGCCCCTCTTGAAACCTTATTGGCCACCCCAGCATCCTAATATAAGCGGCCAATTTTCCTTTGCAAAGGTGTGACTATTTCAGCTGTGTTTTTGCTAGCTGCTTTCTTAACATTTCAGTGTCACACATTTTCCTTCGTTTGTCTCAGAATTTATACTTTGGACACAGACTGTATCGTCCTGTTGAGCTAAGCGGCTCCAGTTTAGCCCAGTGGTCAAAACTGTGTACTTCATATGTAAAGACTGGGCTCTTTAAAGTGGCTTCCCTGGGTTCAGAATAAAAAAATAGGAGAGTTAAACTGGGAGGATTCAAAGTTGCCATGACATCTCTTTGTGTTTGGTATTATTCATGGAGGAAGAAGGTGTGAGATGCGATTCATTTCTGTGCATGTGTCAAGAAAAGTCTGGATCCACCTCGCTGTAAAGGACTCTCAGGGTTCAGATGTGAACTGAGCAGTTTTTGTTTTCTACCATCTCTGTTATAACTCGGTTTCTAAGTCCCAGTTTAACCCAGTTTGAGTTTCAGCTCCATCATGAGCACTCGACTATCAGCCTGAGTTTAAATGGCTACGTGTGTGTGTGTGTGTGTGTGTGTGTGTGTGTGTGTGTGTGTGTGTGTGTGTGTGTGTGTGTGTGTGTGTGTGTGTGTGTGCGTGTGTGTGTTGTTTTATCTGATGTCACTCTTCCTGTGAGTCATCAGAGGTGTACGGTGTCATGTGCCCTGCAGGCCTGACATCAGCAGGTTCAGATCGAGAGGTCTCTCCGTGTCGTTTATCACCGTTTTAGAGCCTCTCCTCGGGGTTACTGAGAGCGAGTGAGGCAAGCATCCAGGAAGTGAGACTGGGGAGGAAAAAAAAAAGGAGTCGTCCTTTTAGACGCCTGATTAAAAAGCTGTTTTCTTCAGAGGAACAGGTGGCGTGTGTTAGTGAAGCAGAGGGAGAGAGGGAGCAGAGACTGAAAGTACAGTAGTGACAGGCGATAAAACGCGGTGCATAAAACCTCATCACTCTTCCTTCACACACACACACACACACACACACACACACACACACACACACTTATATTCACTGTGAGGGGGCCCCTTGCTTCTCATAACAAAGGCCATGTCTAACCCAAGTGTGCAGTGTGTGTGTGTAACTGTATTTTTATGTGTGTGTGTGTGTGTGTGTGTGTGTGTGTGTGTGTGTGTGTGTGTGTGTGTTTGCGTGAAGTCCTCAGAGCACCCAAACGTGTCAGGTGTCACTAACATCTGTGCCTGTGTGCCAATCAGGTCGCAGCGTTTTAACGTCCGTTTATTCGATGTGTCTTCTTTGTGTTCGTCAGCTTGACCTTTGACCTGCTTGCTGAACGTCTCCGCAGCTCTTCAGATATCACAATTACTGAGCAAAAATGTTGTTTGTGTAAAGACGGTGTGTGTGTGTGTTTGTGTGTGTACAAGTGTGTGGGCGGTAGAGGCCGAGTTGACAGAAGTAATTGGAGCTTGCAACATTTTTGACACGAGAGGAATCTTTGCTGGTGATCTCAGCTCTTTCTCTTCTTCGTTTCTCCCTCGATCCTCACTGTCCCTCTGAGCCGGTCATTAACGGTTCACCCCCACCTCCCTCCTTCATCGTCCTCCTCCTCCTCCTCCTCCTCCTCGCCTCTCTTCTCCGTGTCTCAAATGGACCCAGCTGGGGGAGAAGAGGAGAGCGTAGCTTTTCTGGCTCGCAGATTGTGCAAGGCTTTCCAGAGGTCACTGCGAGTGTGCTGTGTGTGTGTGTGTGTGTGTGTCTCTGTATGTTCTCATTCCATTCTTCACACTTTAGTTTTCACACACACACACACTCATGCGCGCTCGTACAGCTTCAACACACCCTGTATCACTTCACCTCCTCTGCTGCTCCGTTACTAAACGTCCCCTCTGTCTTTTGTTTTCCGCAGAGAAGCGATGAGGAATTACCTGAAGGAGCGAGGCGACCAAACTGTCATGATCCTGCACGCAAAAGTTGCACAGAAATCCTACGGCAATGAGAAAAGGTGGGTGACATGAGAACAGCTGAAGACTGATATCTCAAAATCAACAGTTTCATTTCTACTGTCTTGTCATTCTCATAACTCAATCCTACGTCAATGAGAAAACGTGGGTGACATGAGAACAGCTGATTTCAACCCCTAAAAAAAATTGATATCCCAAAGTTACCGTCTCATTTCTACAAAATCAAGTGTCATTTCAACTGTCTTATCATTCCCATTACTCAATTCTAAGCTAATGAGAAAAGGTGGGTGACATACAAACAGCTGATTTCAACCCCTGTGGAAAAATAATTGTTATCCCCAAATCATCAGTCTCATTTCTACTCTTATCATTTCCATAACTCAATCCTATGAGAAATGAGGAAAGGTGGATGACAAGATAACAGCTGATTTCAACCCCTGGGGGAAAAAAACTGATATCGCAAAATCAACGGTCTCATCTCTACTGTCTTATTACTCCATAACTCGATTCTATGGCAATGAGAAAAGGTGATGATACAATAACAGCTGATTTCAACCCCCGAAAAAACGAAAAGAAAAATGATATCCCAAAATCAACAGTCTCATTTTTACTGTCTTATAATTCCCATAACTCAATCCTACGTCAATGAGAGAAGCCAGCTGACATGAAAAAAAGCTGATTTCAACCCCTGGGGAAAAAAAAATGATATCCCAAAATTAACAGTCTCATTTCTCACGTCTTATCGTTCTCATAACTCAATCCTATTGCAATGAGAAAACATGAGTGACACGGAAACAGCTGATCTCTACCTCAGAAAAAAAACATAAAACGGATTAGTCAGTTTCATTTCTACAAAAACAAGTTTTATTTCTACTGTCTTATCGTTCTCATAACTCAACCCTACGGTTATGAGAAAAGGTGGGTGACATGGGAACAGCTGATTTCAACCCCTGTGAGAAAAAAAATTGTTATCCTAAAATCAACAGTCTCATTTTTAATGTCTTGTCATTCCCATAACTCAATTCTACAGCAATGAGAAATGGTGGGTGACACCAAAACCGCTGATTTCAACCCCTGTGGAAAAAAAAAAAACGATATCCCAAAATCAACAGTCTCATTTCTCCTCTCTTATTATTCCCGTCATGTATTACACTGACACTCAGGCCAAGCTATTAAACTTGATTTTCTCACTCCTGAAGCTCAACTTCCTCCTCCAACTGGTTTGTAAAGTCACCCGCTCAGAGTTCAGGCCCCCAGAGGGAATGAAAACACACCTTTCAGTTCTCCTCTGCGCTGTTCTCGACCCTCCTGACCTCTTGTATCACACGAGGTCGGAGGAGGAAGTCGGCGCTGACCTCCTGTGCGAGGCCGCGCTCAGGTGAAGGCCTCATGCACCCTCCTGAACCTCGTCTGTGTTTCTCCTCTCCTCCGCTGAACTCACCTCCTCTTCCTCAAACCTTTCCTGTCACCTTTCTACCTCTCACTGTCTCAATTTTTATAGTGTATCCCTCCCTCCCCTCCCCTCTTCTTCTCGTCTTTCTTATTATGCAACACCCCTCAGCTCTCCATCCTCCGACTGTTTTCTCAACTCCCAGAATCCTCGGAGAGCTGAGTAAAAACAGGGGAGAGAGAGAGAAGCAGAGAGGTCGAGGCTGAGATGGATTCCTCTGATAAACTTCGCAAATATACACACTCTGAGTTTCATGACCCCTCAGGCCCGCTAAACCCCGCATGGTCGAGCCGTTTGCGTCAAGTCTCGCACCCCCGATCGCTTCCGTCTGCGGCGTCACAAGGGAGCGAGAAGAAAGTAGGCGCAAGGAGAATGCAAATGTGCCCTCTTCCTCCTTCTTTCATCCGCCTCTTGTCTGTCTGCGCTTTTTATAGGAGGTGAAAGTAGACAAACACCCACAGAGACAGACAGCCGAGTTGCGAAATAGGTCGCTTTCCAGTTCCACACTGACGCACACGAATTTATCTGAAGTGGTGGAGAAATGAGTGTGTCTGAGGGGGCTAAAACTCTCACTTTTCTCAATGGAGATCCGCTCTAACCTTTTTAAAGTGAAACAAACAGAGAAGAGCAGGAAAAGTTGGAGTCTTAAAGAGGAAAAAGTCGACAGTTTTTTTTGTTTGGAGTCGTGTTTATTTGAGCAGATCTGTTTCATGCTGGACATCTCATGGTAACGTCTGATAAATGAGGCCTGACAGCTCGAGGAAAGAGTGTTTAGTTTTACGTTTCTGTATGCTGATAAAAAGCATCCCTGCCCGGCTTTTTGAAGGTTAGTGCAGCTCTGCCCTCTGCTGGTGGAAACTGGAAGATGCAGTAACTCCAGTTCGTGCTTCTTGACATTGTTGAACACATTTTTTTTCTCAGTTATTTTGTAAAAAACTGAAATAAAAGGCGGATTATTCTAGAAAATTTAGACTTTTTGGTTGCACTTTTTATTAACCCACCTTTGATAATGCATCATAAGCACTATTGTACAAATATGAATGCATTTATAAGGCTTTAGAGCTTTACCTGGTTATAAATGTTCATAAAAAAACTCACTTTATGTATCTAAAAAATATGTTATTTCTATGATTCTCAATTCAGAACATGCGTTATAACCATAGTTATGTAACTTCATTTTTTTAATTCTGTTGAAATTTGTCTTCAAGTAGCCAAAGTTTCTGAGCTGGCTATGTTGCTCAATTTTCTGCTTTTGAATCTAAAAGGAAAAATAAGGGAAAAACAAACTTTTATTTACACTATCAGGCAAAAATACGGTTGGTTTAAAGTGTTTTTAATGGTTTAAAAGAGGTTGTTTATCAAAGTTGTAGAAATAGAGTCGATTAGTTGACTCAATTAATCGTCTGATTTAATGAGTCGATTAATCGACCGATTTATAGACCAATTTATTGACACAATTAATGGAATCGATTAATTGATGGATTTATCGACTCCATCAATCGGCAGATTTAGTGAGTGGATTTATTGACTGATTAATCAGCTGATTTATAGACTCAATCATGTTACCTGATTTATTAATCGACTTGATTATCCACTCGATTAATCGGTGTGATTAATCGCCATGATGAATTGACAGTCTGCTCTTTGATATAAGCGGCATCATGTCAGCATCACCCAATATCCCCATTAACCTTCCAGATAAAACATGCATCTGACAGCATATCAATTATAAAACAGTAACTGATCAGTGTTTGATACAAACGCAGCTATCATGTCAGGAATGATGCTGTTTATTAATAATGTTAAAATGTACCTTGTATATCTCTTTGTTTTCTTACTAATTTAAGATAACACGGAAGTTATCTTAAGATGCTTGTGTCGATATTTCGCCGTATTTACTCAGGTCCTACAATTTTGTTTATTTTTTAGGATATAAGAAAAATACTGTGATATTGGTTGTATTGATAGGCTCCTGTTTTAGTGTTTTATGGTTTTTTTTTTTTATTTGTTTCTATGTTTTTAAATTATTTTTTAAAAACATTGAAACTATATTTTACTTTTTAATTCTACTTTTATTTTATTTATTGTTTTAATTGTTTTTTATGTCATTGTTTTGTCTAGTTATGTACAGCACTTTGTTCAGCTGTGTTTGTTTTAAAGTGCTTAACAAATAAAGTTGAGTTGAGTATATATCAGCCACCCTGCTGTCTCATTTTCAGTATCGGCATCATTGAAAAGCTCATATCTGTCGACCTCTAGTTGAATTCTGCGATTTGTCCCCACCTGTGCAGGTTTTTCTGCCCTCCCCCCTGCGTCTACCTGATGGGCAGCGGTTGGAAGAAAAAGAAGGAGCAGATGGAGCGAGACGGCTGCTCTGAGCAGGAGTCGCAGCCCTGCGCCTTCATCGGCATCGGAAACAGCGACCAAGAAATGCAGCAGCTCAACTTAGAGGGAAAAGTATGTCAACCGCAGAGACACGGTGGCGCTCTGTTATTACCTGCTGCACACCTTTCCTTCAGGCGTTCGACTGTTATGTTACAGGAAGTCTTTTGTTTGCCTTCAGTCGTCAAATTCCAAACAACTTTTCTGTTGTGACAAGGATGTTATTGATAGTTTAGCAGAAGTTTGACCCCGATTTACAGCAGAGAAGGTTGATTTAATATGTTCTCATTTTCCTCCTGTCTCCTCAGAATTATTGCACAGCCAAAACCTTGTACATATCCGACTCCGACAAGAGAAAGCACTTCATGCTGTCCGTCAAGATGTTCTACGGCAACAGCGCCGACATCGGTGTCTTCCTCAGCAAGAGGATCAAAGTCATCTCCAAGCCTTCCAAAAAGAAGCAGTCCCTCAAAAACGCCGACTGTATGTCTGCGCCCCAGTGTTCTTCTTCACTAACTTCAAGTTTAACTGTTAATTTGTTTGTTTTCATTTAATTTCAGCAGCAGACTGAGTGAAACTTGAGGGTTCTTTTGTTACAGTTTATTAGTGGTAGTGTTGTTACCGTTCTCTGCCACAAGAGGGCAGTGCAGCCTAAGACCTGTGAGTAACATTCATGTTCGGGTCTTCTTGTCTCCACAGTGTGCATCGCATCAGGGACCAAGGTGGCGCTCTTCAACCGGCTTCGGTCTCAAACTGTCAGCACGCGTTATCTCCACGTGGAGGGCGGCAACTTCCACGCCAGCTCCCAGCAGTGGGGCGCCTTTTACATCCACCTGTGTAAGAAACCCGATCGGCTACAACATCACAGAGCAGATTTAGAGAGAGGGACACAAAGGAGTTCTGAATGAAACCAACGCCGCGTGACAATAATCACAGACTTTCTCTTCCTGTTTCGTTTGCAGTGGATGACGAGGAGTCAGAAGGAGAAGAGTTCACTGTGAGAGACGGTTACATCCACTACGGTCAGACGGTCAAGCTGGTGTGCTCGGTCACCGGCATGGCGCTGCCCAGACTGGTAAAGAAACGCATCATTTCAATCAGATAGTGGAAAAGGATGATTCATAAAGTCAAAATATCCAAAAACAAACCTTAAAAAATGTCTTCTTGTCTCATTCCTCTCTGTTCCCCTTTTTTCCTTCCAGATCATCCGTAAAGTGGACAAGCAGACGGCGCTGCTGGACGCCGACGACCCCGTCTCCCAGCTCCACAAGTGTGCCTTCTACCTGAAGGACACAGAACGCATGTACCTGTGCCTTTCCCAAGAAAGGATCATCCAGTTTCAAGTCAGTCAAACACTTTCACACACTCACACGACGACCCCATGAGGGATGTTTGGTCGCTCTCTGATATTCATGAAGGTTATTTTCCTCCCCGTTCCCTCAGGCCACTCCATGCCCAAAGGAACCAAACAAGGAGATGATCAACGACGGCGCCTCCTGGACAATCATCAGCACAGACAAGGCCGAATACACCTTCTACGAGGGCATGGGCCCCGTCCATTCGCCTGTCACCCCTGTGCCTGTGGTAGAGAGCTTACAGGTACGACAGAAACCCAAGAGCGCCGCCGTGGACAGCCGTGGATTCAGAGCAGACAGGTTACTGAATAATTTCTCTTTTTTACCACAGCTAAACGGCGGAGGAGACGTCGCCATGCTGGAGCTGACGGGGCAGAACTTCACTCCAAATCTGCGGGTCTGGTTCGGGGATGTAGAGGCAGAAACCATGTACAGGTGTGTCTCTTTCACACATTTTCACTCTTGACTTGAATCAACCAGAGTCCACAGAGGCATCTATCTATTTCCAAGATCCAATATCTGCGCCGGACCTGCTCGATTTTTCCCTTTTTAGCATACAAATGGACTCATTTTAGGATGTGAGGACTTCTCATGGATCAAACCGTCACAGATATAGGCTAGAAGTTTAATGAATACGCTACGGATGTGAGTTAGTTAGATTTTCCATTTGCATTGTGAAAAGCTCATAAAGCGCTCTCTAAATCTGACATTATGCAGCAGATCCTGTGAAAGCCGAGTGCGAGGAATAAATTCTCATCTCTGATAAATCCCTTTACACGTCTTTTTTTTGTGCAGATGAGCAGCGCGCTCTTTTCGTTTTTCGCCTCTGTACTGTCGTTGCCACAGCTACTCCTCCCCCCGACATCCTGAGGTTTATGGACTGGTTAGATTTTTTTGTGTGTGTATCAGAACCACCCACTGAGCTTCCAGGCAGAGACAGAGGACAGTCAGACCTCCCTGCCGGCATGACTCGAGAATCAGATAATTTCTTTGAGTTGTTTTGAAGATTTTTTTCTGTGAGAGTGACATTAGAAATTCAGACGGGGCATGTTGGGTCAGAGATGCACTTCAGTGTTGCATCTTACCCCCAATTTTCACCGCAACCAGAAAGGGTTCCAATCTGGAATGGCAGCAATTTTCCGCCAATTCCTTCTGGATCTGTCGGTGTGGTGAAGTTTGTGGCGGACTGGCGATAATGAGTTGTCTCTATAAAGACAGCCGCATAAGCATATGAGCAGTAGATTGTGTCCTTCCAGAGGAGGAAATCCACCTCTAGACGTCTAAAATCAGCATCTCTTCATCCATGGTGTCATCGGGGTGAAACGCCTGAAACGCGCCTGAAAAGAAGCCGGATGTTTTATTTTGTGTCTGTGCCCGACTTCCTTTCCAGCAAGGGTTAGTCTGTGATGAACTTATCCGGCAGAGTCTAGCTATCCATAGCGGAACGGAAAGAAGCCGGTGGAAATTGACACATTAACTTTGAATGGTTATGATCAGCTGTAATCGGCGGATACGGCCTTTTCATAGCCGTGCCGGACGCGGTGGAAATTGGGAGTTAACCTCACGTTTAAGACCAGCTCAAAAAAGTGGTTTTTTTTTCGTGCGATTATTTCGGACGTCAATATTTTTTTCGAACCCGTATCCTGTCATTACGAGTGTTCATATCACCAACGTTTTCCCGTCCTGCGATATTGCGGCATCTATTTTTTAAAGTTTCGCATACTGTGTCAGATTCACCGGTATATCCAACATGGCCGACCGGCTTATTGTTTACGTGTCGGAGAACAGAGTGATTTTTGATAAAAGACACAAATATTACAAAGATTACGACCTGAAGGACAACTTGTGGAGAGTCGTAGCGTCGGGTTTCTCATATGACGATGGTTTGTGTGCTTCAACAGTTTGCTAAACGTCTTTGTTTTAACTTCCATCTGTGCTAAGTAACTTTAGCTCGTAAGCTAACCTGTTCAGATACAACATAACGTGTATTTTCACTGTCTCAAACTCAATCGCGTTGCTGTCACAGCACCGTTAGGTCTCGGTTGTTACCTTACATTAATGGATTATAGTTTAATGTGTTTATCTGGTACTGGCCCCGACTCAGTACATGCTATCATGACAGACAGACATCTCAACACTAGAGTCTAAACAGAACTGAAAAACAGTCAGTCAGCTGTTGTGTCAGTCTTCTCGCTTCTACCCGGTCGCTCGCGCTTGATGTGTAAAGTCAGGCGTGTCAAAATTCGCCTCCGAACATTTCGTAATTTCGCGTCATATATTTGCGGCGTTCCCGATGTGTAAGGACCTTTTAGGGGGTTGTTTTTTTTCCAGGGGCCAATATCAACTCTTAATTGTTGGTTATCTGTCCGCATGTGTCACACCTTTTATGAAGAAGGTCCTCAGTTGTTTGTTGACGTCTTTCTCTGTGTCGTTTCCTCCTTAGGTGTGCGGAGAGCATGCTGTGCGTGGTGCCCGACATCTCCGCCTTCCGCGAGGGCTGGCGCTGGGTGCGGCAGCCCGTCCAGGTCCCCGTCACGCTGGTTAGGAACGACGGCATCATCTACTCCACCACACTGACCTTCACCTACACGCCGGAGCCCGGGCCGCGGCCGCACTGCAGCGCCGCCGGGGCCATCCTGCGGGCCGGAAACTCCAGCCTGCTCAGCAACAGCAGCCAGGAGGCGGCCTCCGGCGTCTACGGCCCCAACAGCACCTCCAACGCGGGAGTCACGTCCTCGTCCTCCACCGCCGCGGCAGCTGTGGTCTCCTAACGCACACCAGGGGGCGCCACAACACAATATGCCTTGAGAGGTGACGCACCACAAGGCGTATGAAGACTATGGGAAATAATAAACACAAACTGGCTCACTCTAAAGTGCTGCGTTTGGATTTTTTGGATACAAAGAAGCTGAAATTTGGCGGGAGAAAGGAGCAGGGGAAAACCGGAAAGGAGGAGCGACATCACAACATTGTCAGCCAATGGGAATTTAAAACAAAGTGCTCCCCGCCACGCCCCCTCTCCTGTGGTTACTTCCGGGACCTGCCTATCCAGGTCTGGTGTTTGGAATGAGAGAAGTTCCTGCAGGCTCAGAGCACCAGCACCTTTCTACATTGAACCACAACAACAATACATCCAACGTGCACAAAGAAATCCCCCTCGAGAGGAAAGCGTGTTTTTTGGTGCCGCTCGAAGCCCCTCCCACTTTTTTGTTGATAATTATTCCTTTTGTTTGGGTTACTTTTGCCTCTGTTTGTGGTCTCCCCTGTAGGGCGGCTGGATGTATTGTTGTTGGAGGGAGCGCGAGGATGCAGAGGGACACAGAAAACGTGAGGACGAGATAGTTTTTATGGACCAAGGATCTTGTATAAGCTTTAGTAAAGGTACATTTTTCTCCATACCTTTTTGTATTAAACATATAGTACACTTTTGTTACCAAATAGTTTCTATTCTTCCTCTGAGCTCGGGCTTTGTTTCCCCCTTTTTTGAGGTCCAAAACCCCGGCCTGTATGTTATGTGACCTTACAAAAAAACGCCTGCTTTTTCAGTCTTTGGATGAACTGTTTTTTTTTGTTTGTTTGTTTCGTTTTGATACTCTTCGCTTCTTCTGTTGGGAAAAACAAATCTGAAGTCTGGGTTGTTTATTTACATGAGCAAATTTTTTTTTTTTTTTTTTTTTTAAAATGGGGAATAACCTCAGAGGGCCTATGTTTTATCATTGGTTTTTTATGAAGTCTTTAAAAAGAAAAGCTTTAAGCAACGCCTCTGCCTTGCCTGCAATACTCTATGTGCGCTACGTCTCCTTACACACATCAGTACATCTCACATGGAGCTGCGTTTGCAGAATACGTCAGAAACGAGACTTCCACGGTTACGACAACGACAACACCGCGTCATTTAAATGTACTTCAAAGATAGCCTTAGTACTGTAAACTCTTACTGTGCACACATATCTACAGTAATATCCTGTATCTGTCGCTCTATTGGTCACTGTTAACGTATCCTAAACTTAGCGAGGTGTCTTCCAGTGTGTGCTGTACTTCTGCTGGCATTTAACTCCAAAAAAAAAGAAAGACTTTCCAATTTGATGTGGCCTTACTGATAACTTCGATTACAACAAGAAAGAAACCATATTATCTCCTCTGCTGTTTACTCACCGTGGAAGAACCTGTGCACGGCACAAAAAAAAACAAGCTAACGCCTCGCTTCTTATCGCAGGAGCTCCGCTGCTCCTGAGCTCACCGCTGCAGCTCCACGCTCAAGCAGCCTTCTGAAGGACATCTACGCCTTCTTCTTCTTCTCTCTTCTTCTTCTTCTTCTTCTGTGGTGTACAAGTACAAATACGCCCGTTTTTTTATTCTCATGTGGTGCCCAGCGCCTCTCCACTTTTTTGGTACAACGTCTCACGAGCGCTGTAGAAGCTCTTTTCAGCCTTCTTTTCTAAAAAAAAACAAAAAAAAAACAGTCGGAAAAAAAAAAAACATCTCCTGTGGTTTTTATTATCTTTGCAGAAAAAAGCGTGTGTACATTGTTAAAAACTCACTGTCCGAGTTAGTTGCACTCATCTGTTTCCATGGCAACCGCTGCATCTCCTGTAGGAGCATAAAGGCCTTCTAAATGTGTATTATCGAAGACGTGCATTTTTTCCGAAACATAACAGCAATAGTGTACAGGTGATTTCATTGTCTTTGTCCGCCTGAGCACGAGTTCACCAGCCAGCAAATCTGTATGTAAGCGTGTGTGAGTGTGTGTGTGACTGTGCGTATGTGTGTGTGACTGTGTGAGTGTCATATATAGTTGCTGTGATGGAACATTGAGTCAGACTCGCTCCATTTTTCAAAGCGTGCTCTCCAAAAAGAAACAACAAAAAAAAAAAACAAAGAAAAACCTCCACCGGGGGTTTTTCTGTCTTCCACCGTGATCCAAATGTCTGCTAATTTTGGATAACCGTTCAAAGGCAATACTTGTGAATTTAAAGTATTACAGTACGACTGTATACACATCTGGGAAAAACAAAAATGAACAATGATACTGTAACTTGAATGTCTGCTTGATGAAGTATTTTCTTCTTACAAACAAACCCTTGAAACAGGAACAAAAAAGGATTCGCTTGCACCCTTAAAGACAAAGTAACCCCGCCCACCTGTCAGTCATTAATGTTAAATGTTTTATATTGTAATATTGATATTTTTTAAATTATTGGTACAAAGTCTCCCCTTGTCTTATGTCAAAAAAAAAAAAAGAAAAGTGCATTATTGCCCGTGCTGCCTAGGTTGGCCGGGGAGTGTATTTTTTTAAAAAAAGAGGCCACTTCCCGTCTATCCTGGAAAAAAAACAAACCCGGAGGAGGAAGTCGTCGGTGCTGCAGCGACAAGTGTAGCATCCAAAACCAATTTTGCGCTTCTTCTTCCTGAACCCTTTACTCTGCAGGATGGAGGTCCGAAAATCTTAACTGTAGATTTCTAACTTGAGTGTTTTCCTTTTTTTTTTTTTTTCTACGTTTACTAGCTCGAAATAAAAAGCGTTTTTTAACAAAGCCTCTGCATTAGCGTCACACGCACCCCCTTCCCCTCCTAATCCCCCCGCCCTCCCCTAGAGCTCGGATATTCTTGGGTTTTTGTTTACAAGTCCAGACGCCTCTTTCGAACCCCCTCCCCCTCTCCGCCTCTTCATCATCTCCTCATGCGAGTCTGAACAGAGCAGCTTCGTCACATCGGCTCGTGCTAATAAAGGGGGTGATGCATGCTGTTGAGAAAAAAAATGTGTCGCCTTGACAATCTGAGCTGGTTTACAGTCGATGTTTCTCTTAAAAGTGGTGTTTTTTTTTTAAGAGATCTGGAGGATACAGGAAAAAAAAAAGTGGTCGAAATGTTACATGACTTCTTACAAACACGCTATATTAACCTAGCGGCGAAGAAGCGCTATCACATTAGCGATGCTAACCGGTTTCTTTCTCTTTGTGTGTCTGGTCATATTTTGCTCTTCCAAAAGCAGCTGTTTCTTTATGTGTTTGTTTTTTTCTTTTTTTTTTTTTATAATAATGAGCTCTGAACAATGTATGTATCCTCTAATATGCCAAATGTCTTTTTTATAATGTAGATTTCATGCACTGCTAAACAAAAAAACAGGGCAGAGTGAGAGGCAGCTTTAAACGAATACAAAAAAGGAGTGTGGAGCCCTTCTCTGTCGCACTCAGCCTTACTTCTCCTTAAGACTATGTGGCTGTTTGCACTACAGAGCGCTAACCTTTCTCTTTTTTCTCTCACACATTTCATCCTCACTCTTTATCGCTCATGTTTATGTTTGTACATTTGGAGTTTCCCCCCCTTCTCCCTCCCGTATTTTTTTGTTTTCAATACACAGCCTGTTATGCTAGCTTTGCTACAGTCGGATCACTTTTTTGTTCTTCCTCCTCCTCCTCCTCCTCTTCCTCCTCTTCTTCTCCATGTCCTTTCACTCTCTTTCACTCTCACTGTATCTGTGTATTATTCTAGTAAATGGTAAGCAGAGGTGTCATTGTGGTAGTTATACTCAGTGCTCAAAGGGTTGCTGATGGTAGAAACCTGTGCCGTTTGTAACATTTAGCAATAAAAAACAAAGGGGACGGTGTTTTTTTTTTTTTTTTGATAACATAACGTTAGATTTGTTTTTGTACATATTGCAGCTCCAGATCATGCTCAAAAATCTGTATGTCATTAAAAGAAGAAAAAAAGGAGAAAAAAACTTGCAATATTGGCATAAAAATGAGAAATAAAAAAGTGATATAAAATCTTACTCGGTGTTACGTCTTTAATTTAAAGTGAACGTTTTTCACGCTGGTACAGAAAATGAAAGATTAGTACAAATAAACACAATATGGCAGAGAGTATCAGGGTCACCTGAAGAAAAAATGTGAGATTTTGATTATAAAGTCATGATGTTTAAAAGAATAAAGTTAAAGTTTTACAAAAGCAAGAATGCCAGAAAATAAAGGAGTAATTTTTTTGAGGATAGAGAGTTATGTAGAAGGCCTTAATTTTACAAAAATGAACAAAAATTATTTAGCAACAAAAAGTAGGTGAACAAAAAGCCCCAATTTACACCCAAAAAAGGTAGAAACGATAAAATATTTAGAGGACGAAAAATTGCAGTTAAATGCCAAACAAAAAAACACAAGACGGTAAATCCTATTTTTGTAAAATAATTTTGCAAAAAAAATTTGTCTGAGTTAACTTGTTTTTTTTTTTTGCTTTTTTTTTTCTTGTTTTTTTTTTTTTGTTTTTTTTTTACAGAAAATTTTGTTTGACAAAAAGTCACAATTCTATGCATATATATCAACATTTTGCAAAACAAAGGCCTAAATGTAAAAGTAGTTATTCTCCGAGAAAATAGTCAGGTGACATAAAATCATTTTATGGGAAAAGTCAAAAGAGAGTGAAAGTGATTATCTTATGATCAAATATTCAGGGACAAAAAAGTCGTAATTTTTATTTTTTCAAAGTCATGACAGTAAAAGTGATTATTTCAAGAGTACATAACTTGGGGACAACAAAAGTCATTATTTGATGATTTTAGGAAAGGTGACAGTATGAAGCTGTGAACTGGACGGCTCTTCTTCGGATTGTTCCTTCCTCTTGGTCTTCTGTTGTTTCTTAAAGTGGTTCTTTGTAGAAATGTATCATGACTTCATTCTTGAACCCTCACAATTGACTTAATTCTGTTGTGTGGCACACGTACTCTCTCATACTCTTAACCTTTTTTGGTGGTGTTTGGTATTTCGTTGATTCTGAGGGAGAGCACACAGGACTTCAGGGGTCCACTGAGACTGAACTGTGTGTTTCTTCCCATGAAGAAGTCTCTCTTGCTTGTCTGGGCTGTGACGCCCTCTGTCTTTTCAGATCCACCTTTTACCAAACCTTGATAAGGAGCTCTCTCTGAGTCTTTCCCGTAACAGTTTCTCACCGAGCTCTCAAGGTCTACGTTTAGAAATTCTCCTTATTCATCCAACAACATTCAGATGTGAAAAGTCACTGGGATTACATTCAGTCGTGTGTTCAAGAGGACTTCATCATAATAGGCACCTTTTCATGCACGAAAACAAAGACTTCAAAATAAAAGTACAAATTGGCACAACAATATTCAAACGTAAAAAGTTGCTACATACACGCTGCTATTTTTAACTGCTTGATTCAGTGGAAATGAAGCGAGTAATTCAGGGGGTTTACTCTGTGAAGTGAGAGGATACAGGTGGACAAAGTCTCACTGAATGATAAGGCCTTTCTTTAAACCAGAGTACACACACACACACACACACACACACACACACACACACACACACACACACACACACACACACACACACACATAGACAGTGGGTCAAGGACGGGAGTGGTAATGTTTGTGCACTCGAAGAGTGTTTTGAAGCTGCCGCGTACTGATAACTGCAGTGTGACAGAAGTCTGACTTTGAGGATTACATATAAAGACGATGAAAAAATTATGACGCTAAATTACAGGAAAATACCGTCATTTTTCAGTCTTTTTACTACGACTCCTGCCTTTTTCGTACTTCACAAATTCTACATAGTCCGTTCTGTTACCTTAAAGGAAATTTGTGCAAGCTGGATAAAGTTAGCTGCAATTATTTTGCTAATTAAGCTAAGTTGCTGCCTTTCTCAGTTTAGTATGGCGCTTAGCTTAGCATACACGCGTAAACACTGCACTTGCACAAACAGTCTCTTTTTTTACACCATGGGTTTAAGTACGGATTACAACATCACAACATCTAGTATCCATAGAGAGAAAGTTCCCCCTTGCAACAACTCTAAACTTTTGCTAGCTTAGTTGCTAGCTTAACATAAAAAGTTGTAATTGTAAAACTGTAGATAGGGTTTAGTTTACAGTTTCTATTTTGGTGTCGAAAAGTAAACTCACATTGCTATGAGTCTCGCTAATTGGTAGGTTTTAGCCTGGTTTTCAGTCGCTAGCTTAACATAAAAAAGTTGTAATTGTAAAACTTTAGACAGGGTTTAGTTTACAGTTTCTATTTTGGTGTTGAAAAAGCAAAAGGATAAGAAACTCCCATTGCTATAAGTCTCCCTAACAGGTAGGTTTTAGCCTTTTTTCAGTTGCTAGCTTAACGTAAAAACTTTGAATTGTAAAAACTTTAGACAGGGTTTAGTTTACAGTCTCTACTTTGGTGTCAAAAAGTGAACTCTCATTGCTATGAATCTCGCTAATGTGTAGGTTTTTAGCCTAGTTTTCAATTGCTAGCTTAAGATAAAAAGTCGTTATTGTAAAACTTAGGGTTTAGTTTACAGTTTCTATTTTGGTGTCGTAATTTGTTAAAGTTAAAGAAACGTGACTCTAAATTTTCCAATAGTTTAGGAATGACTGAAGTTATTTTGATGATGTGTGATTGACGTGAGAGTCAACCCCGGTCTACCATATTTTTAGACGTAAAAAATTCGAGTTAATGGAAAGACTATTTGGTCCTCACACAGCTAGATAATGGAGTAAACACTGGTTATGGTATAGTGGGCCCAAAAGAGGGAGTTTGTATTTTTCCATAGTTTCATCATCTCTGTACCCTTCTAGCTTCCGGGAAACATCTTAGGGTCCTAGTTCGCCATAAGACCGCGGACAGGCTGAAGTATTGTAGCTGCTAAAACACAAGTCTTACAAGCACTTTAAGGGCTTTACCATGTTTGCACTTCGGCTTGAGCTCTTATATTCACACACACTCACATCGATCCAGTTTAAGTCAGTTCACTCCAGGCCGAGGCTCGGACCCCAGTGTAGGTAAAGCGCGTGCTGGCTCCACTTGGTGGCGTGTGACCGTTCTGCTCGTTGGCCTTCTCTCCAGCTCGATACTTGCTCCCTTCCCCTCTCAGTGTCCCGGTTCCAGTCGACCTCCCTAAACCGCTGCGCTTCCTCAAACAGCTGCAGCAGGTGAAAGTGGCGAGCATGCCTTGGCGGAAACGCTTGTTCATGAAGCAGTAGATGATGGGGTTGACGCAGGCCGAGACGTACGAGAGCAGGTGGATGAAGGAGATGGGCGCACCTGTTAGGCGGTAAGCCGAGCGCCGGTCGAACGCCTGCCACGCGTTGACCACGGAGACAGGAGTCCAGCACAGGAAGAAGAGGAAGACGATGACCAGGAGCATGCGGATGACTCGCTTCTTCGCCATCAGGTTGGCTGTGGAGCTGTTGCCACACACTCGGCCTATCATGGGTGGGCTGCTGGAGCTGGGGATGTTGCTGGCTGTGATGCTTTTATTTTTAGACGGCTGCAGATAACAGCCGTCGCTGTCACCGGTTTTGATGCTGGATTGTCTTTCTGTCGGGGAAAAGGACAGAAGGAGACGAGTGAATAAAAACCTGCAGAGACATTCAACAAGCAAGCGCTGAAACTCGCAGGCTCATAACAAAGAGCCGACATGTGTATTGTATCATCACTTATTGCATCAGATCTGATTTTGACAAGCCTATAATCTCATATTTGAGCTCTCCTTATGTATATAATGGTATGATAATATATTTTAAAGGGATATTCCGACGTAAATTTAATTTAGGGTCAAACACGCCGTAACACCGAGTTAGACACTGCCTCAAGAGATGAATGTTACCGACTGCTTGCTTCTCTAGTTATACCAACTTTGGTATATCACTGGCCACCAAACATCTTTTTAGCTTTGCCTAATTTCTTAAGCAAAGAGACTAAACACAACTCACCTACTATCTTCCAGCAGCCGATTGTTTGTAGCGAGACCTCGGGCCAGTCTATTACACACTGCTGCGGGGTGACACAGCTCAAGGAAGAACATTTATGATCATTTCTTCATGGAAATACAATCAGACCGAGACGCTAAGTCAGTAGAACTACCGCGTCTACAGTGCAAAATTATTCATATGGTGATTATTAATTCAAGAAAATTATTAAGTAATGATCATAAATGTTCTTCCTTGAGCTGCGACACCCCATGGTAGTCTTATTGGACTGGCCTGAGGTCTTGTTACAAACAAGCGGCTGCTGGAAGAGAGTAGGTGAGTTGTGTTTAGTATCTTTGCTAAAGAAATTAGGCAAAGTTAAAAAGATGTTTGGTGTGTTTGACCCTAACTTAATTTTACGCCGTAATACCCCTTTAAGACAGGTCTGTAAACTCGCCTGAACATCAACCTGCAAACAGTAAAATCTAAAATATCCACTTCATATCTGTGTCTCATACCTCGGCTGGATTTCCTGTTGGATAACTCAAATTTGATGCCCCGATACAGCTCCAGGGAAATGAGTCCATAGGCCGTCATCATGACGATCCCCGGGATCAGGAAGAGCAGCAGCAGCAGGGAAACGTACCTACGAGGGGGGAATTTGGAGATGTAAGCAGATGCGTCTAATTAAAATCAACCCCAGAGCCAAACTGCTGCGCTCATATTAGAAACATCTGACCTTGAATTTGTGTCTTATTTCCTGTGAATGAACTGAAATATACTGTCGGATTATCTGAACTGACACTGTCGGCATCACGTTGACAAGAACAAAGGGACTGAGATTGTGTGTGTGCTTTTATTTTGAAGGGCCAAGCACATCACATTAGAGGGTTATCCCGAGTGACTGTCTCTCACCAGCAGCTCCAGACAGAGAAAATCAATAAAGAGACCATCTGAGTGTGAAGACGCCCCGCTGGGAAAGTAAAGGTATGACACTTCCTCTCGCACTTATTTTCAGCTCACCAGGACTGCTGGATGACATCGTTGGGCCAAATCAGGCGACACATGTGACCCGTGCTGTTGTTGAGGCGAGTGAAGGGCTTGAGGGTGCTTGAAATGGGGTAAGGCAGCATCAGGATGAAGGACGCCACCCAGGTGGCGGTGATGACCTTGGCGGCATGGGATTTTGTCTGCCATGTCCTGGAGGTCAGAGGGTTGCAGATGGCACTGTAACGCTCCAGGGAGATGGCCACCAGGTTAAATGTGGAGACGCTCACTGAGACACCTGTGCAGATTAAAATCCAAAAACAGACCACAGATGAGATGTGAGGGTTGAGCTCTGATTGGCTGAGAGTTTTGCAAAATACCTCATACCGTACGACTCAATCACACTCGCCAGTTCGCCTCTCATGGGACTTCATAAAGTAGTTTTTTCACCTGAAATGTTCCTGACGCTTACGGTCGAGTCACACCCAGACACGCTCACATCCTCCCAACATGTCACCGTGTTACCTTCGCCGCTGCCTGTGCTGCTGTGGCACATTTATACACGTCACATTAAATTTAACTGCTGAGCAACGACAGGCACATCCTCCGCTCCCTATTGCCAAATCAGCCTTAACACACACACGGGGACGATAACATGAAGAGCTAAAAATAGCGATACAAATGATGGCATCGTACAATCTGAGAGGAGCGACACTTAAACAGATGAACACAAGGACAAACGAGGTTATAATCCTGGTAAACAGCACTCTGGTCGCACCGCGTGGAGCAAGAGGAAGTGTGGAAGACGATGGAAATCAGATTTCCTTTCCTGAGCTGTAATGGGGTTAAAGTGAAATATTGGTACAGGTGTGTCATTTGTGCAGATTAGAACAAAGTTTCTCTGAGAGATAAACTTATTCTTTAGGCACAAGATAGAAAAAGAGGAAAAGAAACTGAGACTAGATCAGAATTTTGTTAATTTTCTGATTTGACTGCAGATCAGGTTTGGCGTTTTACTTTTACTAAGTATCTTAGTTTGGTAACAGGATATTTAAAGCTTAAAGGGATATTCCGGAGTAAAATTAAGTTAGGGTCAAACACATTGTAACACCGAGGTAGACACCCCCTTAAGAGATGAATGTTGCCGACCGCTTGCTTCTCTAGTTATACCAACATTAGTAACGACTGTACGATAGCAATACACAGCGGTCTGCCTCTCCACACACAAACCTCAACCAAAACGCCACTCTATAGCCACAAATAAAGCTCAGATCAGCACCTAACTTCATCAACAGTACATATAGGGTCCCAGCCATAGTACTAGCCACCAAACATCTTTTTAACTTTGCCTAATTTCTTTAACAAAGAGACTAAACACAACTCACCTACTCTCTTCCAGCAGCCGTTTGTTTGTAGCGAGATCTCAGGCCAGTCCATTACGGACTGCTGCGGGGTGACGCAGCTCAAGGAAGAACATTTATGATCATTTCTTCATGGGAATGCAATCAGACCGAGATGCTAAAATGATTAATATGATGATTATTACTTCCAGGAAATGATAAAGAAATGATCATAAATGTTCTTCCTTGAGCTGCGTCACCCCGCAGCAGTCCGTAATGGACTGGCCTGAGGTCTCGCTACAAACAAGCGGCTGCTGGAAGAGAGTAGGTGAATTGTGTTTCGGCAAAGTTAAAAAGATGTTTGGTGGCTAGTACTATGGCTAAGACCCTATATGTACTGTTGATGAAGTTAGGTGCTGTTCTGAGCATTATTTGTGGCTATAGAGTGGCGTTTTGGTTGAGGTTTGTGTGTCGAGAGGTAGACCGCTGTGTATTGCTATTGTGCGGTCATTACTAAAGGTAGTAAAACTAGAGAAGCAAGCGATCAGCAACATTCATTCCTCAAGGGGGTGTCTAACTCGGTGTTACAGTGTGTTTGACCCTAAATTAATTTCACGCCAGAATATCACTTTAAAACAAGGAGTTGAAGAGATGAAAGAGCAAAATAGGAGCAAAAAAAGCATAAAAACTGTTGGCAAATGTGACTGTCAGTTTAAAGATCGGCTTAAAGATGGGTCTGAAATTAAGTCAAGTTTCTGCTTGCACTATTTCACGAAACGCTGAAGTCAGATTTCATGTTTCAAGCACATTTACAACCTGATCTGGCCTGCCTCACAACTTTTTCTCTCTGCCTTCAACAATGATTATAGCTTCCCAGGATCATAAAAATATAACAACTGGAGAGAGGAGAGCAGGAGGAGGCAGGTGTGTGACCATGAGTGTCTGAAAAGCCAAAGGACGAGAGAGAGGCTATGGGATCACGAGTGTGCAGAAGCACCGTTGAGGTAATGACTTCCCCTGTCTGCATGAGACATATAATGCATATTACTGATGTCTGAACAGATTTCTGATGGTAGTTCTATAATCTCTGTATTTCACTCTGAGCCTCATCAGATTTAAACTCCTCCACTAACTTGGATTTGCTCTCATACCTTGTATTCTGAGCTCCTACACTCTGAAATATCAAACAAATGTGCAGAAAACAACAGCGGATGGGTTGCACAAAAGAGAAACTAAAAGAGCGAGAAAAACCAAACTGTTTCTTCAAATTTGGCCTCAGGTACAACTATACTTTCTGACAACACATGCTTCCTTTAACCCGGGTGGTTTATTTTTAGCTCGGACTCATTAAAACACAGGAGCATTTGAACATGCAGGGAAATGAACCTTGCACGCAACGTGACCCAAGATGACTTCAGTTATTGTCTCTCAGCAGAACAAAGAAATACAAAGAAAAACAAAGACAGAGGAGTTGAGTTTTCTTTTTGTTTAGGGCAGGAAATAACAAAAGCTGATTTTTTTAAAACTGTTTTTTAATTTCCTGAAATGGGCGTTTTTGCACCACACAAATAAAGATTGATGAAGTGATTGATAGTCTACGTAAAAGTTTAGTTAAAGCAATAAAAAAAGTAACCAGTCTTTTTTATAGGACAAACTTTAGCTTGAATTCGAAACCAGAAAATTCCAGCTACCCATAAAAAGGCCCCTACCAGAATCTAAACCCACAACCTCCTCAATTAAGTTTTATTACTGTCTTTATTGTCTTTTTTATTACAATGTGACAGTTCAAAAGCACAGAAAAAACTGTGGTAGGAACTGTAAAATGTTTGCTACCCAAGGCAGACCTTTTACAAGGACTTGAACCCAGAACCTACTAACCCAGAAACATCCATACTTTCTGTCTCACTCCAGTCCTACCTTTTTATTCTTTTCTGATTCAAAAGCACGGGGATAGGATTCAAGCCATCATCGCTTCACATAAATCAGCCATTGCTGGGATTTGAACCTTTTGCCTATGTTTCGTTACACATCAGAGTCAACCACCACACTCATGCACCACTGATGAATTTCTACCTCTACAGGAACTCAAATTCAGAACCTGCTCACTGTGACCCATCTGTGCCTTTGCTGTTCAGGGCTCATTAGTTCAAGGTTTATCTAATTTGTAGAACGGTGTGGTCTAAATCTAGAATATTCAAGCTCTGCAATGGGATTCAAACCTAGAGCCAATTTTAAGAACCATATCTCATTGTTGTCCTGTTTGTTGAGTTTTATTTAGTATTTTCTAAAATAGGAAAAGCCACTTTGGTCCGAGCCTGATTGTTGATTGATTTGCTTGAATCTAAATTTCTGGTGTCAGTCCCAACCATTATAATTTCTGCTCACCCTCTTTGAACCCACAGCCATCAGACTTTACAATTCCTTCATAAATAGAAGACTTTTTGAGACATGACAAGTGAGACTTAAGACAATTGAATTTCCCTTTTTTAAATTCAAAATATCCTGGGTACAGAGGTAGCTCCCATTTTCTGTAATGGCCAGGGCAAAAAGATTTGGAATCACTTCAATTTCAAGATACCAAAACCCACATAAAAGTAAACTCACCCATGAAGTACATGACCAGCTTGCAGATCCCGGTGCCGAATATGAAGTCCCTCATGAGGTTCGGGATGAGGGTGAAGGGGATACAGATCAGGGACAGCATCAGGTCGCTGACAGACAGGGACAGCAGGAACAGGTTGGTGACTGTCCTCATGCGCCTGTTTCTCACCAGGACAGCGATAATGAGGCTGTTGCCCAGGACACCGAGGAGGAAGATGAGGCTGTAGAGGACGATCCTCACCGTCTGGTTGATATCTGGAGGAAGCGGACATATGGGGACAAAATGTGACCTATCTCACTCATATTCTTATATAAATTTCAACTCCAGGAGCGAAATTTCACGATGATAACACTTTAATAGAATTCCTTCTGCGTGCTTTTACCGAAATACGTTTTATTCAAATTCTGTGGCCCCTGGCTTAAAAATTGCGCAACGCTATTTCTTTTCACTTGACACTGTCAGTCCGAGAGTGCAGTGACAACATATGTGTCACCACTAACATGACACACTGCGTTAGCCCTCTGGAGGACTTGAGCCATGTGCGTAATGCGCACTGACGCACAAACTAAGCCCTGAGCAGTCGCTCTTTTGCGCAAAATAGTTGGACTTGGAGCATAAGTTGATATCCAATTTTTCATCAGATAATCTAAAATCACTCATTGATGTTTTCAACACTTGATAGACGTGGTAAATATTTGAAATCACTGTACCTTTAGGTTCCGGAGACGGGTCCTGCTCGTTCTCGCACTCCGAAATGTTCTTAATCCCCAAATTACATAAAATCTTGTTCAGGTCAGTCGAGTTGAAGATATCAGGCGCTGTGAACGTCTCCATTTCGCTTCTCTCTGCTGTACAGCCTCAAGTCAAATCAGGCATATGAGCAGATTTCATTATAATCTTGGGAGAGAAATAAAAAAATACTCAAAAGAAAGGACGATAAGATCAAAGTTGAATCTCTCTTCTTGGCTGGTATGTTACAAAAAAAAAGAAAAAGAAATGGTGATTTTAATAGAGGTCTCCGTGCGCTCTCGGTGAGCTGTGGTGCGCTCCTCTAGCTGTGCTCAGCATTTCTGCAGAAAGCATGTGGACGGGTCGCTTTCTTGAGTGCTCCGCCCGCCTTTCGAGTCTGTGCGTGTCAGCATCAATGTCCCCCCTCCCCCCTTTTTTGGGGAATAAATCTCAATTGTAATTTGTTACTGTAATAATTTCAGTGATGGTGCACAACAAACAAAGAGATGTTGAACTGACATAAGAGGGATAATATAATAACTGGTCAACACACAATAAGGCACAGAACTGACCTGAGGCTGTTTAACTGACACTAAAGTGCATGAGCAAAATCTGAGTGCAAAAATGACTTGAAGGTGCAAGACTGGAGTAGTGTTGCATAAATGACATTCAGGTGAAGAACAAAGTATATGAGGCAGAACTGGAGAGGAGTGCAAAAGTGGGATGATGGTGCAATACTGACTGCTATTATTAATTGAATAAATCAGTGTATAAATGTTTACTTGGTTTGTATAACTCAGGTGTATTTGTGTCACCGTGGATTCTGCAGGTGCAGGACTGTCTTTGTGGTGCATTTAAGGCATCAAGATGTCTCATTGACATTAAACACATTAGAAACATTGAGGTGCAGAATCAGAAATAAAGTGCATTACTGACATCGCATCTATTCAGGTGCATTACAAAAAATAAGGTGCAATACTGACATGGGAAAAAAGACGGGTTTAGATGCATAATCAAAAAAGTTAAACGCATTATTGACACAGTGCAGCTATTCAGGTGCAATACTGAGAAAAAGTTGAAATACTAACTGATGGGTGCAGTGGTATCTATAAGGTGCAAAGTTGACATTAAGGTGCATTGCTAGAAGACTGGAAACGTTGAGGTGCAAGTTTAGAAACATTGAGGTGCATCAGTGACAACACAACTATTCAGGTGCATTGCTGAGATGGAGGCGCAACTTAGACTTGAGGTTGTATAACTGTTTTTAGGTGCATCACTAACATGAAGGTGCATTGGAGACATTGAGGTGCGTATACAAAAATTATGGTGCATTACTGATAAAGCAAATGTTCAGGCTTATCTTGGAGACACTGACTTGAAGGTGTAAAACTATTTATTTGGTACTGAACTGGCGTTGAAAGGCGCCTATGAATAAAACACATTATGATTATTATTATCCCAATTTTTAGAATGGCCAATGCAAAAAATAACAAACAAAATCCAACAAAAATGATACTTTTTTGTCAGCAGTAGCACTTATATTAGTGGATATCATGTATTAATCATTTTGTGCTTTTATTTTTGATTTACTTTCATTTTAAATTTTTATGCCACCACTTAATGTGGCATGGATATTCATCAGAATACAGAGAATCAAGAGTTACATGCTCAAAACTATCTGTTGTTATGACATACAAGAGTCCTCTTATATACCTTTTTTTTTTTGCTCCTGTCCCTCAAACAGCATGAGTAAGCAGTAGCCAAAATAACCTTTATTTTTCACTGCTTTCTGAAGAGATATCATCAAATTATTATAATAAGTATTCAGCTCCTAAAATACCAACATATGACCGACTCCAAAATACAGGATCTGACATTTTTTGGGGTGTTGAACTAAGTCCATCTCTCCACACATCAGAGCCATTACAGCATGGCCAATGACACTCCATATTGCTGCTGACATGCTGACATGAGACGCCACAGCAGGCGATATCATGCTCTGAAGTGAGTCAGAGGGAACCATGGATATGAATAGATACAGCTATAGATGCAGAACATCGCACTGTTAGTGTCCTCTGTCAAAGATGATTTTGGTCAACTTCATGAATCAATTCTGCCAAGGAAAAGATGTCAAGAGGGTCGGTCATGGAAAATTATAATTAGAAATAACTCTATTGCTTCCATTTGATATAATAATAATAATAATAATAAGAATAAGAATAAGAATAATGTCTCTGATGGTTTTGTTTACTTTAAGATTTGTAATAAAAAGGAACCAAAATGTTAATCAATAGTGGGAAAATTCTTTAAAGCATCTACTTGCATGGCAAAAAAAGTTGAGTGCATATGGGCTTTCAGAAAGCAAGAAAACAGCTACAATAACTCCCACCTTTGTAAAGATTTATGCATTTACATTTAGAGTGTTTTGTTATGAGCTGTTTTGTTTGTAGAGCTATTTTTGAATTGAAAAATGTCGATAAAAATAGAGATTTCCACATCGGAACTAAAGTACACGGTCCTTGTTTCCCCTGCACTGCGCTGACCGTCGTCCTCTCAGTTGCTAAGTAACCTCTGCAGGGGGCGGCTGCCGCATCATCGGATGCTGCTTGTTCAGTAAATCAAACGAAGACGTTTTCACTCGATAAAAACTAACCAGTTAGTGTGAGGAGGAGGATGGACGGAGGCACCGAGTTATCTCTGAGTATCGCTCACATCGTTCAGCGGCTGAAAGGAAGTCATTTACACTCTCAGATCGAGAGACAAGCTAAAGTAAGTCAGCTGCTGTTAGCATGTGGCTAACGATGCTAAACCCTGCAGGTCCGCTCTCAGTCTCAACAGAGTCACCAATTGATGAATTTATTGGCTTTTGTCAATGTCAGAATACAGAAAAGAAGCTGTAATTTATTAATAGATCTTCAGCTTTATTTAATTCTTCTCCAAATATTTTTTAGGATTGTTTACATCAACCTGAGATCAAATTGGAGTCCCTTAAAGATGACGTCCGCAGCTTCCTGAAAACATCAGGTGAGCACACCACTGTCTGATTTTAGTGTCTGTTACACTTGTGTTATGGTGAAAAAATGAGATTATATAACAGTTTTTATTCATTTTTAATGTTTTTCAGGCTGGGAAAGAAAGCTACAGAATGCAGTGTACAGGGAACTGCATGTGTAAGTGATATTCAACACTCAAACACAGTCAAACACACAGACACCTTGGGTAACTTGAAACAGTTGGAGGAAAAGTAAAAAAAAAATCACTTAGCGTTACTTTTCTTATGATACAGCAATTTACCAAAAAAACAAAAACTTTTTTCTTCAAATATTGGAGTAAAAAATAGTTGTAATGATTAAATAATATTATTGTAGTGACTGCTTTCCTTCAACAAAAAGGCCGCTGGGGTTTAGGTGCCCTTGCATCTGTGACTCGTTCAACTATCAGTCCGGTTTGAGTGTCAAAAAATGGTTTATTGTTCCAAAAAAGAAAAGAAAATACACTGATCCAGGTCCAAAACCTTTGCCTTCGAATGAAAAAGTGATAAGATGAAATGAGGTTAAAACAGGATGAGTGAAATGGTCAACAGAAAATTTTTAGAGCTTAACAGAAACCTATTGTCTGACTACACCGGTGAGATTTGAATAACCCGCCACACATCCCAAAACCACACTCCTCAGTGATGATCCCCAGAATTGACGTACCAAGTAGAAATCAAACTTTCAACAAATATATTTTGGCTCCTACAGTTATTTTCCCTCTTGAAAGTAGTCCATCTGTTAGCGGCGAATGGCATATGCCTTATAATGGGCCACGCCACATGCTAACAGTTCTGTTGGCATGTGGCGTGACATGTATACACCATTTACAGTGTTTCCTCAAAGGTTACCATGATGTGAGATTTGTGTAATAGTCTTACATTATCACCTGAAGTCCCTAACAACCATACTTTGAACACACACGAAAGATGGAGGAGAGAAAGTTGCTTTTTGGTTGTCAAAAGAGACAAAGATGCCTTTCTTTCAGTGAGTCTGTGATCAGATGTTCCCAGCAGCTTTTCAAAGTTTGCTATCAAGATATAACAGACTGTTGTTGTTGTTGTTTTTATGTGGCACTGACCAATCAGAATCAAGTATTTGGCGCAGAAGCTCCTCTATAATAAACCAGAGTTATGTTTTCTCTTCAGTCTTTGTCAGTCACTTTTATTACCGTCATTAAAGAGCTTGAGAACTTTTTGGACTTTATAAACAGCTCTGAAAAGTGTTTCTCTGTACCGTCGAGGGTTTGGACTCATCGCTCTCTGGAGGCTCTGACTGAGACCCAGGATGCTCGAAGCTCTGCTTTTAAAAGATGACAGATAACTCTGACTAATACCTCTTTGGCCATTAGGCAGCTCGATGTGCTCTTATAGGTGTTTAGATTAGGACGGACATTGTTTGACGCACAGAGATCTTGACTCATTCAGTGCGCCCTCAGCGTGCTCAGTGAAGAAGAAGACGGACAGGAGACAGTCCCGCTCTGACTCAATGCTGACTGACAGCCTGTTTTGACCAAAATTTCTGACATTTGTTTGCCTTTTTGTTTGACAGCTGCCCTTTCCCTTTCAGCAGCTCAAAGCTTTTGGACTTGTACTTCAAAATCACAGTAATTTTACACATTTCATGTACTTCCCTTTCCCCTGGATTTGCTTATTCCAGCCAGCTGCCTCGCAGTCACCCCACGGCTCCTCCAGAGCATCTTAAAGAGCCGCTGGCCTACATGCGAAAAGCACAGGTCAGTCAGTTTGCTCTGATCTCTGTCACTCCTCTGTTTTTCCTTTTCCTTTATGTTTTATTATAACCACCGAGGGATTTGTAGCATCCTGTTTGAAGTCGACTATTTCTGCGTGTGTTTGTGCTCTTTTGCTCAGGCCAGCTGGGAGAAGCGTGTCCTCAAAAGCCTGAACAGCATGAGCACAGAGCTTGAAGTGCCCCTGGCTCGCATGGTAAATAATTTGACCGTCAACTAACATAACGTTTATGTCCTTTGGTGAATAACAGTATTTTTTAGTATAATTTCAGAATAATGCATCTTATATTCTGCGTTATTATCATATGAATCAAAACTAAGTGAGCTGTGGCTCGTCTGGCACAGTCTGTCGAGCGTTTTCGACCCTCCTGCAGCTGTACACTGATGTGAACATGCATTTTTGATGTGACATATTAAAGCTTCTTTTTTCGAGCGGTTTGTTTTGCTTTAAATCTTCGCTTTCTGCCTCCAGAGGCCGGCAGCCGAGCAGAAGGAGCTCGCGAACAAATGGAACGAGATGGGCACAGACGAACCAGGTCTCTAGACACCACCCTCGACGGTCTGCCTTTTATGAACGATTAGTGTGGATGTGCCGCTCAAACACTCGTTTGTTTACATCAGCTTATCACATCTCACATCTGCCTTTCAATCTGTTTTATCGAGACCATTTTCCCGGGGACTGAACTCGACTGTATCAGATGTGAAAAAAAAAGTGAGAGGATCATGTAATCCAAATAACTACACTAGTTTACAACTGGTGGGTAACATAAAAATGGGCTCTAGAGAGAGGCTGAGTCACTTAGAAGTAAAGATGGGAATCGTTTTAACCCTCTCCTGGTTCACACAGAGGAAATAGTTTAGTAAATCTGGAGAAATGTTTGTACAAAGTGGCTAAAGCCAATAACTGATACTGGCTAGAGGTGATATTCGTGCCCTCAGGCGGCACTGTATTAAAAACAGGCATGACTCTGCGGTGGAAATCACTGCATGGGCTCAAAATCACTTCTAAAACACAGGAGAGGTCTGTGGTCCGACAGATCAATATTGACATCTTTTTTGGAAATCATGCATCATGTGTGAACGCTTCTTTAAAACTTGTCACTGGTTTCCAGTATAAGGCGAGCAAATATTCTTATCAAACGATCAGACATTTGTTATGCTGTCTCTGCACGAACATGTCCATGCTGGGAAAAACTAGTTCATGACTTCTTCAGAAATCTCCAGCCAGCAAGCACCAGCCAATCACAGCACAGGAGGGCGGGGTCTTAAAGAGCACTTAAACACTAACATAGAAAACTCCAGTGGTGAACTTAAATCATTACCATTCATTCATCCTAACCAGCTCAAGTCGTTGCTTTACGTATATATATTGAAGAGGAGTGTGTGGAGTGTCCTGCTATTAACGTAATAAATACTGGGATTGAGTTTGAAAAGAAACATCTCCTCAGTTGTAAACCAACCATTCAGACTCCCCTCAGTGAATTTCCGAAGAGCCGGGTGACCTTGTTTCTTAACAATGATATCACAGCCCCAGAGTCGTAGAATAACATTTAGATCGTACAGTCCCCTGGGTATAAACACTGTGAATTTAAAAGCTGTCCAGACTCTTTGGACGGAGCTGCGATAACGAGCAGCACCCATTCTCCTGTCCAAACCTCAGTGTGCCCTTTTTCTAACCCTGAATTTATGGCTGCGAATGAACACAGGGGGAGGAAATCCTGTCTTCTGGGTTCTCTAGGAGCTTTGTGGGCATGTTACATAAAATGTAAAAATAATACAAATCAAGTCGATTAAAATGACTTTATGGTTTGAGTCATATCTGCTGAGTGGGTTTTACAGCTGCAGGTAAACATTGTGAACATACACTAATAACTACATGCTCTGTTGTCTTTGTTTCTTTAAAGATTTGAGTCGCTTCAGGCCTGTCTATGCCCCGAAAGACTTCCTGGAGGTAAGCAGGGGTCTTACAGCTCAGACTATTTGGTGCAGCTCATTGCAGAGTTGACACCGAAGGTCTACTTTGTCCTCAGGTGTTGATCAGCTTGCGAAACCCAAATCACGACAGCAGCGAGGACATCAGTGCCAGGAGCCACTGGGGTCTCATCCAGGTTCCCCTAAACGTCAGGGATATCCCACAGCTGGTAGGAACCCATGAGGATATTTTTAAATGTCCAAGTTTGAAAATGATATAAAACAATCGATTGAAAATCTGTGGTGTTTTTTTTTCTGTTAAACTCTCAGAGACAGGCTTACGCAGAGCTCAACCTGACCACAGGTCAACTTGGGATCGACGACCACGCGCACATCCGACCAGGTATTCACAAAAAAGTGCAGATAGACTTCTTTTTGTGCTATCACACACAAAAGAGTAGGTCAAAGTTAAAAGGCTTTCTGTACAGGCGAAAAAAAGAAAAGCAGCTTCTTACAAGTCTTAGTTAAAAGAACTTATCTAGTCCCAAAATTTAAACGATGAAATCTTTGGTTGGCATAAACTGTTGCGTTCCCGCCTCCTTTCATAGCTCTCTTCAATCCAGACTTGGGTTTTAATTAGGGTGATTTATCCACGAGCCGATTAAATCGGCCAATTTTAGCGCGTTTGAGACTAATCGGTAATCAGCCAAAACTCGCCGATTGTCGCCGATATAAAAATGCAGAGAATACGATTCGGTTTCATTTCGAAAATGTTCCGCCATTTGAAAAGTTCCCCGAATTATCCAGTAGATGGCGCAACGACCTCATGACAATCTTCATCCACTAACTACCTCACAGCACAGCAGAGTGACGGATCTGAAGCAGGCAGCTCAGGGACGCACGGAGGAGAGTGGTCCGCCTCAACGGTAAATAAACCAGTTTGTGAAATACACAAGAAGTCAACAAGTTTCGGTTCAACCCACTTCACGATGTTCCCCGCTGTGGCGGTCTCGGTCACGCCGAGTAAACGGTGAAGCACCATGTAATATGCAAGCTAAAGTTAAAGTTAGCCAACTGCTATTAGCCTTGCGGCACTGTTAGCCGTGCCAGTAACGGTAGAATAAACAACAGTACACATTAGTGATAGAGCGACTTCTCTTACTGAGGCAGCTGCATGTCTCCAGATGAGACCGGACCGGAAATGAGTAACGTGAGTTAAGACGCGGAGGCACCGATCGGCGGCCGGGTGTGGGGGCGTGGGGTGGTAGTTGAAAACGCTTTTCTGGACTGAGTTTGATCAGTCGGTCTTCCTGTCGGCGTGGAGAGCAGTAGCCTTCAGTATATCTACAGTATATAGTAAACTGTAGATTATAACTTCATAAAAAAATTAAAAAATCGGCCAATGAATCGGTTATCGGATTTGTTTTTCCCTCTAATAATCGGTATCGGCGTCGCCCCCAAAAAATCCTTATCAGTCGGGCCCTAGTTTTAATATCAGCCGCCATGACACAGAAATACTCTGAAATAAATGTGTTTACCTGATGAACGCTGGTGTTTAATGTTGTGATATCAACCTGCGCTCCTCGTCTGTGCTCTGCCGTCTGGGTTTTCTCAGACTGTATCTTTGTTTCATCCTCTTATTAACAGTGTTAGAGTCTGGTGTTTGGACTTTAAATAGAACAGAACCCACCGTCTCTCTGTTTGTTAATCTAATAGATAACATTAGTTTGAAAAACATTGACTCCTGAGCAGATAGCGATAATGAATTGGTTTTGCTCTGTCTCTTCTCTCTCCTGTGCAGACCTGTTTGAAAGCGAGTATGTTCAAGTCGGGAAAAAAGGCAAGTGTTTGGCTTTTGTACTTTTCTGGCATCCTTACACTGCAATGAGGTATTAAAATCCCTAAATATGGAAGAATTTCTATGAATTCCCCCAACTAGCAGATCACAAAAAGGCTAACTGTTGTATTTATGATGAAAGATGATCATTACCGGTGCTGACTTTGGTTTTATTGCTCCATTTGACTCGATTTTAACCACACAGGCCTGGCACCATACTTCTAGTTTTTGTTTAACATTTCAACTTTATTTAGAGCCTCAGAAATCTGGTTTTATTTTTACATTAAAGAATCTTTTTCAGGACAGGAGTATCAAAAATATCCCAAAATATCCACAGTGAACCAGTTTTAAGAATAAAAAGAGGAGGGGTACTTATTTCAGACACTGAAGACAGGTAATAAAGACAATATTGCGAATGATCCTGTTGTTTTTGTCTCCGTCTCTGAGTGTTTCGTAACATTCACCATAATAGGAATGTGTGTTTTTACCATTTTTTTTCATGTTTATTAATTTTCAAATAGAGATGAAATCAGGAAACAGAAACCCAAACATGATGACGTCACCCTGCCCACTTTGGGATAAACCAATAGGACGTATTTACGGCGCCATTGGATAGTGTTTACATTCTGTCATGATATAGGTCACCCTCTCCGAGTCTTGTTTGGGGGGGAACAAACCTGCGAACAGTTACAGAGTGGACTCGCTGATACGATCGGCTGTGTCCCATTTCACATGCCGCTCATGTTTGCACAGATTATGTCATGAAACGAGCAAATCAGGATCAAGTCAGGATTTTGCGCACATTGTGTTCCTTCAGTGTTTTTATATTTTGTGCTATCATTACACACAGAGCGCCTTCAGACCCTATAAAAATACTCACATACCAGACAGGTGATGTAATCCCAGAGTTTAGAGTTTAGACTTCAATCAAAAGTCCAGCTGAAAGACAGTTTTTTTCTAGACTAGGATAAAATTGTAAACCAAGAGACAGACAGCAAGCTCATGTGTAATGATTGGACATGACAGGGGTCAGCTAGCCTTAGTGAGTCACTTGTGTTTGAAGATGGTTAGCCTAGCACAGATAGTGAAAAATATGTCGCTGCTGCTACAAAGAGATTCCCTCTCTGACTCTCTGCTTTTGTTCCAGTGCTGGCGGAGCAGGACAGCGCAGCAGCGCAGCAGTACAGCCGGCAGGGCTGTCCCACCGGGCTCCGCGCAGACCTGTGGGCCCTCATCCTTAACTCTACCAACCAGCCTCAGGTACTTCAAGCATACACACACACACACAGACACACACATATACATACACTGCTGGTAGCACCCTGGTGGCTTCTGTCAGCTCTCAGTATTTGTCAGACAGCCAATGAGCACACACAGCTGCAGTGATTCCCAAACTGCCTGTTTACTGCGAGCTCTCAGCTGCAGTCACGTCCCTCTTCGCTGTCTGATTTTATATCAAGTGTTTTTGGGTTTTACAGCTAATATTTCTCCAGTTGTGCTAAATTTATCTATAATTAGAAAACACAGTCTAACTTGTGTATCAGCCACTCTCCTGTTTATCTTAGCTAACATTGTGTACAAATGCCGAGACAACCAAGAGCTACGATGCAGCAGAGTTTGCCTAAACACAGCAGCTGCCTGACCATGCGGCAAAATGCTGCCAAGTTCATAAAACAATGCTCGTGACGGGCGGATTGATTTCTGAGGGGGAGTAACGAGGGCTGGAGAGTGTTGGCGAGGCTCTGGGTGGCACATAAAAAAAGTTTCTTAACCCAAAGTTTAATAAGACATTGGCGGTCCCTGACACTGTCCGTGTTCCCGCAGTGTTTTTAGTGTTCCACCTCAGCTGTCAAAATGAGCGTCTCTATTTCTGCTTTTCGCACATCCTCAACGCTTCCCCCTGCCAAGGTGCTTCACGGCTGTCATAGCAGACGTTTTTATTGCCCTCCTCCTCTCCACTCGCTCTGTCTTTGCTTTATTTATACGAACCCGTCCCAAACCGGAGACATGTTTAAGGTTGAACCTGGAGGCGGAAACGCGGTTTTCAAGCGCAGTTTAAGCCCCCTGTCATGAAAACCATAAAATTGATTTATCAGTGTCCCCACAGAGGATGAAGTTTGTAAGAGAAAGTGAGACTGCCTTTAACTCCATCATGTTAAAATACATTTACCTCTGTGTTTGTCTCCATTTTACATTTCAGGATGTGATGCATTATGAACAGCTAACAGCTGGAGTCATACAACATGACCTGCTGGTGGACAACCTTATTTATAAGGTAAAGCATTTCTTACCACCATCAGTGCTCACTTTTATGAAGCTGTATGATCCTTTAGTTTGTCCAGACTCTTTCCTGTTTTAATTTCTCCTCTTACACAATTTGTTGACAGGATGTGAAGCTCACTGCAAGTAACGACGACTACTACTTTGTATTTGAGGATTTCCTTTACCAGGTAACTGTCTGCTGTCTCACATTTAAAGCTCTTCATCTGTCATGACTCTCCGTTTCTGTGCTCTGACTTGCAGAAACTGCAGAAAACCTGGTTTCAAGTGGTTTTTTCTCATAATAATTTTAACAAACGATCATGAATAAATAAACGTTTTCAGTGTGACTTGGCTAAAAAATAGCTTCTCTGATTTTTGTAAGACTCGTGTCAAACACGAGAAGCACAAATTTAAAAGAAACTCTTTGAGGAGACAATAAAGGGCCTTAACTTTAAAAACACATCCTTTAAATTCCTCTTAATTTGTACTTGATCAATATCATTTTTTCAATCGCCGATACCGATAATGTGAATGCAGGGCTGCTGATGGTTTATCCATAATGCCGAATAACACTGTTGTTATTTCCTGCATTTTACTAAATAGTACAATTAAGCAGTATTTACTAAACTGCTTTACTTGAGTGAATAAATTCTATTAAATATTGGTCTCATATTTTATTAAACAAGGTCAGAGGAGACAATATTTGACTCAGTAAAATATCGGCACAAGTGATTTTTGGATCCCATCTAGCTTTTTGAATTTATCAAGAAAGAAAAACATACATGTTAAACACTGTAGTTAAAATATAAAACAGAAAATCATTAAATTCTCATGTTCATGATTATATTTTTTTTTAGCTTGAAACGTGTTTTAGATGAATTTGTAACAAATTGAAGAAAAGAGAAAAACAGTAGGTCATGCTTTAGATTCCATAACATCGCAATAGCAATATAAACCACATTATTCAATATACTCTAACTGAATTTATATGATATATTTTATATATTACAGATAATGGTGATATTGGCTGTGTGAGGGCTGATGCTGATTATGTCAAAATGCCAATAATCGGCCTGATTAATCAGTCTATCTCCACTCGAAATGCATCAAATTTATAACACTGACTCTCAAATTATTTCAATTTGTAATTTATATAATTTAATTTAATTATCATATTAAAATGTTTATGAATCATAATAATAATACGATTAAATACAGTATAACATAAAGTAAAAGGTTGTGACTCACTAGGACGACCACATCCTCTGTATCTGAGGTGTGTCTTGACCGCTGACCTGAACTAAAACCCCAGAATTACACCACAGTCACTGATCGTTCTCAGTAACTGCATCACTGCGTCTTCCTTCTTCTCACTACGTAAAGACTTGAACATCACACGTGAATTATCTGACCACTTCAAACATTCAAACTGTCAGTCCGCTGTCATCTCAGGACAGTTAGTGTATAAAAGTCCCTCTTCGCCCGTCGTTACTCACTCAGCCTGGAGTACAGCAAACACGAATCTGTTGTCATAAGCTTCTGTTGTATTCACTGCTCTATTTGCTCTGGGTGCCCAGTTGATAAAACTGCATAATTCTGTCAGCGACCAGTTTATTCAGGGCCTGTTAACACGTCATTATGACAGATGAGTACACAGGGATATAGCTAAACAAAGCTCTGACACCGCTGTGAATATTGACTGGAGCATCGGGCAGTGAAAAAATCCACTCAGGGTGGGTTGATCGAGGGCTTACAGATGTTATTTAAAAGTTACCCAAGAGGAAGTCGGACTACGCAAAGTTGAAAAAACACTAAGCTTTGACGTCAAGGGTGTGAAACCTTTTCTACACCTTCTTTACGTAATTTGTCAGGATGTACAATATTGATTCACCTTTATCCTGATATAATATCTCTCTGTATACGATCCATCACAAACCATCAAAACACACACTGGTAGGGCGGAAGACCACCCCTAATGTTGCATCTTATAACCCCATCAAGGTCAGATAAGAGCCTGTCTAGACACATAATGTAGCCCTGCTTCTCGTCCCCATTTGGCTCCTTAATACATTAATTTTATTTATCTGAAGTGGCCAACGGAAATAAAACCTGTTCTGAAAGTGACGCAGAAATGGGGCTGTAATGGAAAGCTCTCCCACTTCAACTGTCATCTAGATCCATTACAGTCTCCTTTAGTTCACCGTGGATGATGTGCACCAGGTGTGCTGCAGTAAAAGAGTTAGTTAATAGATATTTAACCAAGATATTACTGATAACAGGGAAGAACTTGGTTTATGACTGATACAAGACTCCCAAGGAGGACTAACTGGTCCCTCAACTTGGATCTGTGTAACTCATATCTTCAATTTGTGCTTATTTTGCTGACTCTTTGTTTTGCTTTGTCCATCCTGCTGGTTTTGTTAGTCAAAGGCAAACATAGAAGGGGTCAGGACTTATTTTTGAAATCAAGCGTGTAGTAGATAGATTTGGTATTGCACCTCTGAGGCTTTAGACCTCATATCATGTAGTCTCATCTTGACTTTCTACAATAAAAGTACATGTAATCCCCAAACCTTGTCCCTACAGGTGTTGCTGTGTTTCTCCCGGGACACTGCCGTACTGGATCACTTCAAATACAACAGTGCCACTCCTCCCAAGTCCTACATCCAGGGTAAGATGATTAAAAACACATTCATGCACACTTATGCTTACACAACCTCATTACACAGGTATTACAGGAGTTTCACTTCACTCAAATGACCTTAAACAACATATCCACACACAGGACATGGATAATAAGTAAACCCACAATAAGTTTCTGATTTAAGTGTGTTTCTGTTAAACAGGAAAAGTTGGAGACGAAGAATGTGCAGTTGTGTATCCTCCCAACGGTGAGACTTCAGCAGCTCTATATTCACACCATATTTATTTAAGTGTACATTTTCATGGTGAAAATGAAGTAACTCAACAAAAACTACACCTAAGATTGCATAAACCCTTACTTTACATGATTTTTGCTGATCCCATTTTGTATTATCAGGCAGATTGGCATATTTGTTTGACTCATTCTGCAATTTTTCCTGATTTGAGAGAGTTGCTTTAACACCAATATTGGTGCCATGCACCGACAACAACACAGATACCAATACTGATATCATGTATCAGTATCTAAAACTAATGCCTATATTTTAATCATGCTCTAATAACGCTATCTACACCAGAGTAAGAGTCTGATACCAATATTGATACCGTGCTCTGGTAATGACACCAATAGAGATACCGATATCGGTAACTAGAACCAATACCAACTTGGGTAACATGGTTGATAACCAAACCTATTACAAATGCTAGTTTGAGTATCCAATACCGATACCAATTAGGTACCATGCTTTGATTACAACCAATTTAGATACCAATACTGGTGTCAGGATCATCATCTAAAACTGATACTAATACTGATAACATACTTATATAATGACACCAATATAGATACCAATATTGGACACAGTATCAGTATCTGAAACTAATACCACTGAATTAACAACTATACAAGTGACCAATAGCAGTATAAGTATCCAATATTGGTACCATGCTTTGATAATGGCCAATACAGATAGCAATACTGCCTAATCCCAATACCAACACTGATAATGATACCAACACCAATACCAATCCTGGTAGGTGTAGACCAATACCAGTATCAGTATCATTATCCGACATTGATACCAGTTTTGTAATCATGCGCTGATAGCAACACCAATATTGATACTGCTTCCAATACCAATACTGGTATGTTTATCGGATTCTAATTATGGTGCCATGATTTGATAACAGTACTGATGCCAGTATAAGTATCATTAACCAACTTTGATACCAGTATTGGATCCATGCTTCCATAGCATTACCATCATGGATACTGCTACCAATACTGGTACCAATACTGGTATCTGATACCAATAATAGCACCATGCTTGGATAGAAATACTTACGCTTACCAGTAATGGATCTTTAATACTAATATTGGTACCATGATTTATGTAGACAAAGAAACCAATACCAGTTTTGATATTGGCCTTGATATCAGCATTTTATGGGTCCAATGAAAAACTTTAAGCACTCACATTTTTTCTTTTTTTTTTTAAATTAGTATATCTTTGCTTTTCTACTTTGCACTAACTGTAAAATTGAAATTTCACAGGTGTGATCCCCTTCCACGGGTTTTCTATGTACGGTGAGTATCCTTTGCTGCTCCAGTTCTCATGATCCACTTGGAGAAGAAACCGTTGGACATACGCCGTAACAGGGAGTGTGTGTTTGTGTGTGGATTTGCAGTGGCGCCTTTGTGTTTCTTGTACAACGAGCCGTCCAAGCTGTACAGCGTGTTCAGGGAAATGTACATCCGCTACTTCTTCAGGTTGCACTCTATCTCCTCCTCCCCCTCGGTAAGCCCGTAGAGATGTGCGCCCAAAAAAACATTGTGCATCATTTACTTTCATGCATGCACTGAAATTGCGCACATGTGCTCTTGCAGGGTATCGTGTCTTTGTGTCTGCAGTTCGAGCGGCTGCTGCAGACACACCTGCCTCAGCTTTTCTACCACCTCAGGGAGATTGGGGCGCAGCCGTAAGTCGACCACAAACATGTCTTTGTTGTCTGAGGGGTCAATCATCCTCAGATATTTGCTGCAAATCCATTGAAAGGACCAAAAATCTGATTTACTCTTCTATAAAGATAGTACATTAGTATGCAGTGCATAAGTCAGCTCTTATGTGGGTCATTAAGAAGAAACTACCTCTCTTTGTTTAGCTATTCATCACACGGTTTAGAAATTACATTCACTTTGAATTCTTTAGTTACAAGCTACTGCCATCTAGTGTTATGTTGCTGGAATCACAAAAAAGCAGACTCAGACATAAAGAGAGTTGATCACATTAAATAAATTCCAAACACACCTCTTCTAATCAATTTCAAGCTTTGGGATTATTTTATTTTACATGTTTTAGATTTTCAGACTTATTTTGAATCGGTCCTGTAAACATTTAGATGTTCTGCTTTTGTTCACAGGTTACGAATTGCCTTTAAGTGGATGGTTCGAGGGTTTTCTGGCTACTTATCAACTGACCAGCTGCTTCTTCTCTGGGACCGAATCCTGGGCTACGACTCGCTGGAAGTAGTCGCAGGTAAAACTCGTTCGAGCCCACGGACGTTTATTTTTGTAGCCTTTGCGTCCACTTTTCTGATTCATTATCTAACCCCACACACTCTATTTTCCCTCCTCTTTCTCCATCCTGTTCTTCACTTCAATGATTCACCACCTCCAGTCCTGGCAGCTGCCGTGTTTGCTTTCCGAGCCGAGAACCTGATGGAAGTGACATCACTAGCTTCAGCGGAGGTATGTCTGCCTCGCATCAGACCCCTATACGTGGGTGTGTGTGTGTTAAACTGTTTTCCCAGCCCTCTCCGTGTACCCCTACATACCCCTGGAGGGCTGTAAATAGCTGCCCATGAGCAGTACCGGTAACTCAGTCTCCTGCATGCACACGTCTGAAAGAATGGCTGGCTGGACACTTTTGAACTGTCATCGTCAGGCTGTTAAGACGTCTGCCGCCATAACATAGCCATTAATTAAACAGATGGAGACTTTTATTTTGAAGGGCTCTCATGCACTGCTGCACAACCATAACACACTATATGCCTTTTACGCTTGTACTTCTAAAAACTTTGACTTTGGGTGTGAAATTTCCGTGAAAAGAGTGCATCCTGTGATCATTTCACTCCTCCTCATGTTGCATTATTACAGTAACCAGTAACCTAACTCTTGCGCATGCTTGCACCCTATACCACACCCTTACTGGGCTCTCAAGATCGTATAACCAAAACCGGGAGTAAACCATACCATGACTCGCCTCACCCCCTCTCCGCCTTCTCCCCTTCCCCTGAGGGTGAGGGGGTTAAACTACCACATGACGCTCGGGGCGACAGTCTGATCTCGCTGTTCCAAGATGCTAACCGGCACCGTTTGCTTGCTCATTTACCACCTAACCCCCCCTTGAGAAGAGAGGAGATATCATAACATACTGCTCCTTATCTTTATATTTAGAACTGAAATATTAAACCCCCTCTCTGAACACGATAGGGCCCCTAAATTTAATCTCCCACCCATCCCAAAAGGACAGAGCAGGGGGAGCTGTGCGCTCTTAAGCATGGATTGTCGCTTCCCAAGGATCCTGCATCATCATCATCATGCATGCAAGGGGCTTTTTTTAAATCCTAAAGTATGTCTCAGGAGGAAGGGGGAGGGTCTGCTTTGCCTTTTAGCCCCTCTCCTGGGCGAAGGTAAGGCCGCCGCACTTCGGAGGGGTGTGGTTTTGCGACGACAAATGAAATTTGTGTTTTCTCTGACATGCAAACCTGCAGGCTGTCCTCGCTGACCTTTCAACTCTGAAGGTGGTGCCGCTTATCCAGATCTTTCTGTTCGCCACCGCCATCTGAGGAGCATGGGAACTACGGTTTAGTAATCGCATATATCTCACCGCCAGGAGGACAAGAAGACGCTCCAGGAATGGAGCTTTTAAATGCCATAAGAAGCAACTCTAACGCTATTACTAACAAACAAGAAACACCGGCTAAAGTGCACGATACAAAAAAGAAAATGAAGGACAACCTACACAAACACAACACCCTCCGTCTTGCACTTCTTCAAGCAAAAAGCCAAACCCCTCTTTAGCATGTATGCACCATAAATAGTGAATCTCCTGTATCATGTTATTAGATATTATACAGTATGTAATTATAGACCCGTGAGGTTAACTAACCTCCTCTTTAAGCCATATGCTCTGCGGGAAAGACGATACGCACGGCAGCTCTGGGATCAGCTGAGAGGCTCGTCTGAATGTGCATGAAGCTTTAATTGTATCGCGATGAGCGAACAACAGCAACATCTCCGAGCTCGGCTAATGAAGTGTTAATTAGAAGTGTTGCTCCCGCTTGTTGTTACACTATTAGATATCATTGTTGCTGATGAGGGAAGAGCTTGGACGCACTCGTGTGTTGATAGAGCGCTTAATGTGTAACCTATACAATAAAGAGCTGCTGCATACACGCATAATTTATAATATTTAAGAAGAAAAACGTGAAATCTGCACTCTGAAAGGACATTTAGCACCTCCAGTGCCAGCTTTAATTTAACATTTATTTGTCATTCTTAAGTTATGCATTAAATTCCTGAATGTATTTTCCTATTTTGTACTGCTTTCTTAAAAATACAGCCTATGTTACATTTGATTTAAAAGCAATCAGATCATTGTTTCCTTAGTCGACGCCAAGGGTTTCATCCAACACATTTTTATGTTATTGCAACCAGTGTTACACTTTTATACATTCAATAAAATGTGAACTTCATAGTTGACTTGTTTTTATTGCTGCCAGATCTTCTCCCCTCTGTGAGAGGGTAAATATTTGGACAGGGAGGTTTCTCTGTCGTGGGTCATCGTAGTATTTGTGCAAAAGCCACAAAGAGTATTTGACAGGTAGCGGTATTCAGAGGCTTGACCGTCCACCCCTCACCCTCCTCCTCCTCCCACATGAAGCATCTGCTCAGTTCCTCACTAGCTCCCTGGTTGCTGGCCGCTCTTCCTTCCCGCCGCCCCCTCTGTGGGCTGGTATCGAATTATGCTGCACTTCTCTTTCGTTGCTCCCTCGCTCCCGGTTCCTGCTTCATCTGCCACCTGTTTACTAGGACTCCCACGGCCTTTATCATGCATCTCCTCTGGCCCCCTGGGGGTCTGTTCCTCCTGAGGCAACTGTTTGCTGCTGTGCAGTTAGCTCTCACACACTGGACATTTTACATTGCAGGGAGATGAACACTTTTAAAGTTAGCTTGTAGAGAGATCTGCTGTGAACTTAGTGTCCGGAAAAGTGCTGCTCCTCATAACTGATGGCTTAAAATGACGCCTGAACTGTGCCATTAAATTTTCAACAGTATCCAACTAAAAAGCACAAAGAGATGAAATCAGCAACAATTAAAGGACCACCTCTTTTTCCACTTGAGGTGCCAAAACCAACACAGGCAGAAAGTTCCTCACAGGCGCTTTAATGTCCTTGTCTAAGTTGTCTGAGGATAAATAAGTATAGCTTTGCTGTTTTATAGTTAAAAAAAAGAGCAAAAATATTTTTAGATTTACTCTAAAGCTATCAAGGACATGTTATAATACAGTTTTATGATAAGATTTCAACAATACAATAAGAAAATGTCCAAGAGTTCAAATGTCTTTTCAGCTCATGTGAATCGGACGGCTTGAAAAATAGAAATGTGGGAAGAGAGAGGGAGTTACATGCATGTTTTAATCAATACTGTTGTATAAACACTCTGGAAAAGCAGCAAATTTTTGTATGAAAACATTTTCATGATGTAGTTTGTTTGTGAGCTGGTATTTCTAGAGAACGTTGTAGGGGCTGGTGAAAAGGTTATGTGTTGTTTTTGGACCAGTATTTAAGGAGCTATATTTGGATGGATTTTTTTGGTTCCACAGAACTGATTGTTGGGAAGACCCTTAAAACAAGGATAAATATTATCATGGATTGAGAGGTCTTAGTTTACTTACAGAAGAAAATACACGCTCGCTTACTGCCGTGTTTTACAAAGTAGGGGAGAGTGGGGTAAGATGAGCCATTTTTCATATTTCGGATCACTACATCAAGGCAACCATAATTTTGTCTCTAACTAGAGTATCTGTGTATATCTCAAGATGTTGTGCATCCCTGCAAACTAACAGTTGAGCCGTATCCCTACTACCCCCTCACTCTCCACCCCAGCCCTCCCTCACCTTCTCTCTCCCTAAATAACAGTCACTTCTTCACTTTTATGTGTATTTTTTATCTGTTATACACTATTCAACTGGTACCGTAATTCTTTTTATTATTATTGCATATAACTGCTGAAAAGCTGTTTTAACATGAGAATGCCTTTAAGTGATTCAGAACATTCACAGCTGTATTTTTGAAAAGAAAAAGAAACACAGAATATAATTTCAAGAGAGGTTTCCAAGTCTTTTCAAAATGCCCTAAGGAACCATTGAGGGAAAATCTAAGTTTTTCAAGTTCTTTCAAGCGCTTCTTTCACCCACCTACTGTGAGATGGAGGTCCGGTTTACTTATTTATTATTGTTTTATTTCCCGCAACATGTGCCTTCAAAACAGACCGAAAAAAGTGCAGCCCGGTGTAGCCAATCAGATTCTGCCATGTTGGGACACTACAGCCAATCAGAGCGCTCGGTCTCGGTGGACAACTTCCACGGCCCGGCGGAGAGAGGAGGAAGTGAAGAACAATGAAGTGGGTATCATCCTGCGCGTCACGGTATGACGCGAGGAGAAAACACGGAGTTTCACGGGATGAAGATGATTCTCCTACTTGTTTGGACGTGGGCCTTCAAACCTGGCAGCAGCGGTGGTGGTATACGGTAGCCCATAAACCCTTGCGTGAGAGCCCAGTGGCGGCGTTTTGGAATTGCTGCAATCTCCCCCAGAAACAAAAACAAACCCTACCAATGACAGCGAAGTCCTCGCAGCCAAATTAAAGTCCTGCCCCTGCCCTCGCCACCACCTCCTCCTCCTCCACCACCTCCACCTCCTTATGTCAAACCATTTTGCATACCGACTTCCTCCCTCTCCCTCCCCCGTCGGTCGGTCCGCATCAGCCGGCGAGCAGCTAATATGTCAGGCGGGAGGATACAGTATCACCGCCATGAGGAGTCCGTGAGGAGCTGACTGAAAAACTTCATTTGGAAAGTAGGCGGATGTCGTGTGCGGTTGATATAGGTCGGGGAAGGATTAGTGGAAACGGGGGACGAAGAAGCGACTCTGTTTTTTGATGCAATGGGATTTGCTACTTGGCGTGAAGAGGCGGACCTATGAGACGCTGCGAGTTCAATATGCTGAACCTGTACCCGGTGTTTGTATACTGTACGTGGAAGTACAGGGACTATTTTCTTCACGCTCACACGCATACCCACGGATTTTAAACAGATATTTGACATCAATTGAAGATTGCGGATACCTACGGTTCAATATTTTGCATATTTTTGCTCTTTTTTTGTTGTTCTGGACAGGGAATTCCTTCAGATAGGCTGCATGCGCTTTGGCTGTACGTTCTCACTACATGGTGGTTTTTTTATTATTATTTAAATTTACATGAAGACATGGGGGGCTTGCTTGTTTTAGCTGTATGCACCCCCGGAACAGCCTGGAAACACATTAGAGGCTATTAGTTTTATTTTGAAGGGGGTCTTCTTTCAGAGTAGTTTAACTTGTCATTGACCCACCATGAACTATTATTTTATCGGCATTTTTCACGCTCCTCTAAGGTGTTGTGTGAGCAGCTAGCCGGTGTAAACTATTACACTGCGGATTTTTTTTTAATATTAAATGGTGCGTTTTTTTCCAGAGGACACCACGCATTTCTACATAAAAGGACTGGCAATTTTTCATTTTCCCTCGTGAATCTGACGTTTTTTCGGGGTTTCCTTCCCCCCTCCATCCTGACTCCCCATCCCACGGATACGAATTGGTACATTTTTGCCTTATTTTCACCACCATGAGTTACATGCACAAGGTTTTGAATGTATTGCTACGTGGACTCGTCATCTATGCGGTACTGGGCTTGGAGTGCACTTACTCGTCTGATGCTGCAAATGTAGCCACCACAGGTAAGCACATGTCGTATGCAAGTGTCTCCAATGTATTTACGCATGTTCGGTGTTACCCCCCTCTTTACCCACATCCTCCTTTCCCAAGTGGCTTTCACGGGGAAAGCCCTACGCAGGGGGGTTTCATGGAAAGTGATGCATTTTGTGTCGACTGTCACCTTCCTACCCCCCCCTCCTTACCCACCTCTGTACATTGCCGAGGAATGCATGACATGACAGGAATGCAGGATGCATCCTTACAGAGGGCATGGCTATTAACTGGAACACATCTGTTTGCGTGACACAGATATATGTGGAATAAATCAGGATATAAGAATACAAAATTCGCCACTTACACTACAATCCTATTACAATTTGTTACAATCCCAAGCTTATACATGCTCATCAGTATCTTGTGTTTACATCAGTCATGCCGATTATTATCACAAGGCCACAGGTGACCCCCCTCCCCCCAACCTCTGAAATTCTGCTATTGACATACCCTAATGAGAGCAGGATTTCCATGTTTGCATCTGCTTTAACCAGGAAATATTGATCAGCTGTTCGTTTAGCAGGCTTTTGTACATGACCTTAATCGGCTTAGTTAAACAAAGGCCCACATGTACACGGCTAGTGGTCTATGGTTCTGGTTTATCAGAGGAGACTGGCATTTTTATCAAATAACAGGCTTTGGTGGTCCCTAAGGGGGTATGTGTCATAATACATTAAGGCCAGTTGTTGTCATATTACTGTTGGTGACTTTAAACCAAGGTCAAATATGGTTGATATGACTAGTAGATCGATACTAAAATGGTCATACATGTTGTTCTTTTTTGAAAATATACTTTACTTTTGCAGCACCCGTTTTTACGGCTCTTCTATTGCCACATTACCTGGCACGATTAACTCCAAACAACCTCCAAAGGATTTGAAGGACTTGTTTGACATGTTGGGGAATACCAATATTTCACTACCTTGCTAGTGGTGTGTTTCCAAGTCAAGACCAGTTACCAGGCAACTAGAGGAGAGTTAGTGGTCCCAACTAAGGTTGGGAATTAATAGGATTTTATTAATACTAATGTCATTATCAATCCAATTCATTATCAATGCCCTTATTGGTTCATGTTGAATATCTGGATATCGTTTTATTGCAGGTTTTGTAATGTTCACTGCTCTGCTGAAAGGGTAACCTTTTAAAGGTCAGCTGGTGGTAGATACAGCCCCTCACTGTTCCGAGTTAGACCATAACAAAGACAGTTATCGAACAACTGAACTCAGACGGTATCATTAAGTTTGTATGACTGTTTGAGTGTGTTTTGATCATGATTACTTCCTTGGTTGTGTTTTGTGCCGATGGCCTCTTTCAGTCTGTCCTGTTATAGTTTAGCAAGGCAACACAGAAGTAAATGTGGGGCAGCAATAAAGGAACTGTTGAGCAGAAAGGCAAAAGATGTGAAGGGCTCAAACTGGTTGGAACTGGAAGTTTTTATCGTGGTAATTTATGGATTTCAGATATTTCAGCATATTTTGTCTGTTGTGTATTTCACATAGATGCATCCTGATGTAGTGTGAGCAGTTTTGGCACAAAACTTTGGTCAATTACAGCATGTAAACTTCACCTTTATTAGACTAAATTTGATGACAATACTATTATAAATTTTACTTGAAGAAAAGTGTTCCACGGTGTGGTATCTGAACTTGTATAGGTTTATTTTCCGCAGAGTATAGTAACAGATGTGACTTATTAAACTGCCCTTTAAAATGGAGCGACAGAAGCTACAGGATAGGTAGCTTAAAAGCTCATTAACGCTGCAACCTTGTTATGAGCTCTCCTTACCCCTCTGCTTTACTAACACGCACCTGATACTCCTACTCTCAGCTCGCTCTGAAGCAGTTGCTTTTCGGCGCTCCCGGTTTTTGCTCTCAGTCGTGTTTCTTTGGTTATATGGAGGCCGAACTCGTAATCGTGACTAGAGTTTGATCAGTTGTCTAGCCCTACTTGAAGGTGGCTTTTATTTACGTTATTGAGAGAAATTTCCTCGGTCTTTATGCTAAGCTATAGCTAACAGGTTAACTTTTCAAACCATGTAGGAGGTTTTGCCCTTGAAACTAGTGTGTTCGTAAAATATTTACCTCCAGCGGATGTCCTTCACTTTACTCTGCAATGCTCCCTTGAAGGCAGATTACCAGTGCTGAGTCAAACAAGGTGTCACAAATGCAAATATGAGTGTTCGTTTTCTCTAACTGTGTTTAAAAAAGAATGAGGGTAAATTTGAAGTGTTCGTTTTGGTGTTTATTTTTGAACTTTCAAACTTCGGGCTGTTTGTACAAATACTAAATGAGTTCAAACGCTGACTCAGTAGGTTAGCACCGCAAGTGAAGACACAGGACCCTCTGAATGGAGGTGCGTACACTCATCTTTATATGCATCTTCATTGAACCTGAACCTTCCTGTCTAACACAGCTGCTGGAGAAAGTCATAAACCTTGTCTTAGACAGCTGTTGAGCATTCATGATTGTCTGTTTACAAGCTCTTTAAAACAAACCAGGGATGTCCTGTGCAATATCTATTGATTATCGAGGCCTATGACTGTGGCTCAGCTGTGTAAAAGTAGCCGAGAGACGATGTCAGCCCACTCTCCTTGCCCTCGGTGAAGTGTGGTGGATGCAGAGATTGTGGTGACTCAATACTGTGTCAGTAAACATGACTGCAGTGTTACCCATTTCTCAGCTGGCTGCCTCAAAAGGTCAGCTGCCTTTTTCACTAGTCTCAGTGGCAGGAGAGGAAAATATTAGTCTGTGTTTGTGGTTGGATGTAGAGCTGTGATAAATAATACTTGCTTTAGAAATCCAGTTTTCTCTCGACTATTCTGGTTATTGATCGAGTAATCAAAGCCTTTTTTTCTTTCATTCATGTAGCCCATATGCAGACTTCCTTTATAGATGAATCAGATGTAGATCTTGTATATTTTTTAACATCTTCTCGGCTGCTAGATGTGTAATTTTTTTCTTTAACCATCCTTCTTTAAAACTTTAGCCTGAGTTAAAATGGTTTGGATTGGAGACCGATTTTGATACCAATATTAGCGAGGCAAATCCATGGGTTACCAGCTGGTAATTGTTGATTATTTACCAATTTTCCATGACATTGTACAAAAGCATGAGGGGAAGTTCAGCAAAATCTGCTGCAGAGATTACTGACAGTGTTGAAGACTATCGAGCGCAGTCTGATGTTCAAACCACAAATTAACGCATTCATTGTTTTCCGCATTTCATATTTTATAGTTGCTACAGACTGTAGGTTGCCTTTAGCCCCCTAGCCAGTCAAGCTAGCTGGACCACGAGTAATGGAAAACTGAAAACTTTAATATCTTCAAAACCAATGTCTTATAATAAAATTAGTCCTGGTACAATGTTTTTTTGGGTTGTAAAAATGTTGAATTCTGTGCGCTCATTTTCAGTATATGATATAGCTAGTTTGTGCGGTATACATTGTCTTCGTAACATTACTACTGTCACAAAACCGTAGCATTTTGGGTAAATGTTTAGCATCATTACTTAACCACTGAAGTAGCTGAAAAAGTGGAGGCTGAATTTGTGATTCAAGGATGTTAACATGTAAAAAATATGGTGATGTTGCTGAGTGATGCATCTATGAGAGTGTTTTTATTTTGCCCGCACCCACAGAAACATGTGCACTCCAGTCAGTTTCTTTGTTGTCATTTATTCTGGAGTATTTCAGCAATTTCTAACCCTGATAATTGAGATTAAAGATGAGCCTGTAGTTACTGAGGCAGTTAAAGGTTCAAAGCTGCCATTTAGCGTGCTGAGAGTGGTCAGTGGGCGAAGCTTTGGGGGGTTGGGTTTAACATTTGGTGGGTCAGGCAGCTCCCTTGTGATTCAGGATCTTCAAAAGACAGGGCCAGTGAGAGTTTAGAGCAACGGGAATCTAGTTTTAAAAAAGCAGAGGGTAGTGAAAGTGGATGATTACCCAAGTGTATCAGCGTGGTTGTCATATTTGAAAGAAGTGGCCTGCTTTGTGCTCTGCACTATTCGGAAATGTCACTTTTTAATCTCACATATAAATACCAAAAGTATCCAAATACACTTGGCTCATGGCTCTTTTTTTTCTTACAGCCAAAGCCAGTTGTCATCAGATTCTGCACTACCCAACGCATCTTTATCAAGATCTAGGCAAGGTGTGCCGTCCAAAAATAGACAAACTTTATCTTTTAGGAAGTTCCTTCATCTCGAGGAAAAACAAAGAAAATCAGGAGCTGACTCGGCCGTTGAAGCCGGTGTTTGAGAAAACCAGTTGCACATGATTTGTATTGAGCTTGAGCACAAGATTTTCATTGTGTTTCTAACACACATGACGACGATGTTGAACTTGAATGACCCTGCAGGGAGCCGTTTTTGTGTGCTGGTGTTAAACTTAATTCTCAGTCTATCTCAGTGGGAATAACTGGACGTTTCAGGTCTTCGTCATATCTGGTCATCACTTGTTTTGATTCTTCTGAGGTCTTTTTCTTCTGTTATTGCACAGATACTTGCTTGCGTTGCAGTATGCACGAAATGATGATAAATAATGAACTTGGGCCTGATTCCAGACCAGGTTTAAACAATAAGAATCATAAATCATTCCTGTGGGAAAGAAAGAAAGCGTATTACATGGAGAAAGTAAACAAAAAGAGACATTTGTTTAGGAGGATGGGTTGAGTGGCGATGCGAACGTGGTCTTCCTCGGTTTTAATAGTGTTGTGTATTTAGCTTGTGTGGCGTTTCAACAAACAAAGCCCTCCCCCCCTGTCCGCAAGGAACATCCAGTCCTCAAATAATGTGCCTGCTGGATGATAGTCGTCTCAGATATAGAGCTCTCATTTAGCATAAGCTTTACATAACTTACAGATGCTGAAACTGGCCGCTGTAGGTTACATTACACAGTCTCAAATGAAGCAAAGCAAACACGAGTTGATCTTTCTCTCGCCCTGCATGTCACGTACTGAAACTCGACATGAGACACTTACTAGGATTTCACTCTGAGCTAAGTTTGGTGGGAATTCACAGACTATTGCTCTGTTTGTGTAGCTAAATCAGAGGTTATATTGACTATCTCAGGGCAGAGCGGCTGCATTAAGTAAGAGATTTGTTTAGAAAGGAGGTTCAACATTTAGTTATCTCACCAGTGCTTGCTTCAAGTACTGCAGGGAGCACAGGAATTTGCATTTTGTGATACTTCCGCCGTCGTCGCCGCTGCTGGCTGGCTCTCGTTCTATCAAACCAACACACGCTTGAGGAAGCCCAGGCTCTCCTACTTACAGTGGTGTTGGAGAGTTTTGGGTTCACTCCGAGGGCTAACAAGTGACAGAGTGTCAGGGTGAACGTGGAGTGAGTCATAATGTCCTGGTTCTGTGGTGTGCAGCTTAACAGGCAAAGCAATTTCCTCTCCTTGACTGGAACAGATTGTTCTGAAGGGTTCTTCACGAGCCTATTGAAAAAAAAAAAGGCTTTGTGCTGGAGGGAGAATTCAGGTTTAAATCCACGAGAAATGAGCTTCATGCCTTTAAACAAACTGACACTCTGAATAGTTTTACATTTGATGACTAACAGCACGTTATGTAATTTCTGATGACAGGGATTTCTCACTCCAACAAGGAACAAAAAAGTTGTTCGCTGACCCACTTAAGTCGTATGAGAGCGTGGGGGTATTTGTCTTCATTGTAAAAAAAAAAAAATCACTGCAGAGGAAAATCGATCATGCACCAGTCAGCCAGTCAGTTATACACGGATTATCATGGTTGAGGTAGTGTAGTTAGTTTTATTCACATTAATTAAGACTTTTCTATGTTGACGATTTCTCAATTCTTGAGATCTCTTAAAATCTCAAAATTGCAAAAAGAGACACTTTCAGGTAGGGGTGTTACGATACAACTATTTTACTTCCGATATGATATCGATATGATATCGATATTGTAACCTTTAGTATACCGATATTGATCCGATATTAGCAATGACTTGTGCATGACAAGTTTTGCACTCAGCTGCACCGTCTTTTTCGGACTTTAACGAAAAACATTGCCACATGGCCGAGATCACTCCTTCTCCTCGCTACTTTGTTAGTACCTCAGTACACACTGTTGTTGTGATCATGTGGGCTCTGCACACTGGATCCAGGCACTGCTAGATAGAGGTGCTGGAGGAGAGTCTGGAATGGACTGCTTGTGTCGGAGTGCTGATATTGTAGGGTGACCATACGTCCTCTTTTACCCAACCATGTCCTCTTTTTTGGGGGCTGTCTGGCCTTGTCCGGCTTTGTCTGGGAGAGTTTACAAAATCCGTTGAATGTCCGGGGTTTTGTCTTAAAGTTTCGAGTCTGAGATGCATGGACTTACTGAGTTAGAAGCATGTAAAAGACACTTGATCCGACCTGAAAACTCTCACGTAGTGGTGTTCTCTTTCTGGGGATTCAGAATATGGTCATCCTATGATTTTGGAGATTTTAGATGCGGGCTGATATAATCCGATATTAATCTTTTTTGCTGATATCTGACCAATATCCAATATCAACATCAGATGGGGACATCCCAACTTTCAGGCACTCACCCCAAGGTTTGCCACAGTTTGGTGAAGTCAAGCTACGGCTTTAGCTCAATCAAGTGATTCAACTAGACGACTCTCCTAGCACCAGTCAAGAGCTGATGTGTTGACAAAAGTATGTCTGCTTCAGCTGGCTACCATTGGACTGTCTCCTAGTTGAGTCTCCTAGTATTGTGTCCCATACCGAGATAAAATAACCAAAAATAGGCTGTCCGGTAATGCAAACTGTGGAGCGTATGCAGGATGTTTATGCTAGTTTATGCTAAACATTCATGAGAATAATGATCCTCGACTACAATATCAACATTGTGTGAAAGTTCCTCACAGTTAAAAACCAACACCACAGTTTCTCTAAGCTGACAAATGCTAAAACGTCCAGTAGTCCAATCGTCCTTCCAAGTATCTTTTCATGGATTGCAACTTTGAATTTGGGTCCAGTCTTATTGCTCCAACCCAAATCAGGCACCTGTTTATGATGGAGCCACTTTAACCTACCTCACCACTACCTAATAGCAAAGGAGCAGCAAACACAGTGAGACACAAAAAGGCAAATATTTTAAAGAAGGAGCTAATATTGGGTGTAGGATTATTCGATGGTCAGGAACCAAGCTTCAAACTCAGCAGCTAAGTTTCTCTGTAGTTGGTAGTTAAATGAGGAATTGATCAGTTTTGCATTTGACAAATCCATGAATTGACAACAGCAGAATAGCTTGTTCCTGCTGCTCACAAGTATCCATAAAAAAGGTGTCAGTTATTACTTCCTTCTCTAAAAATATGTGTGCCAGATAGGGGCATGATTCCAGTTATAGATCATTCATAACCCCAAAGGAAGGACCGGATTTGCATCTCCGTCCTGCCGCTGCTCACCCGCCCTGTCGGCCACCTCCAAAAGTGGACAGCTGCTGCCCAGCTCAATCAGGGGCTTTGGGGTTGGATCTAACCTAATGAAGCCAGTCACCAATCAGAACAGAGTCCCCTCTGGTGTATTTATAAAGCCAGTGGTGAAGTTTTCCATGTGTATTTTCCATCACTGCTGACCCAGTCCTGACATTGATGCAGTGGGTTCAGATTGTTCCTTATTATTTCGGAGATGAGTCACCGGCGCACTGGGCCAGTTTTGCTTTGAAGGTGGCTCACGGGGGAGATAATGGGGCTTTATTTAATGATTTAGCCTGCTGTGCCATGGATACTGGTGGTAGCAGACAATCGGCTGGTATGAAGTCATCGTCAAGTTCAGTTCAGGAGCTCGAGTCTGTTTTCCATGATTGAGATTGAAAATGTAATACCGACTACTTACGGCCTAATTTGGACTTTCTGCTCATAAGACGAATCTCTGTTTCACTTTCTCTGGTTTCCAATGCACAACAGTGTGTTTGAGATAATTCATTCACAAGCGGACCACACAGCAGACAGTAAGCTGATTCACTCATGCAGAAAGCGCCACAGTAAGAGATGTAGGTCACTGTGCTCAGCTGTAAACTGTTTCCTGCTGCAAGTGGCCTACTGTAGCAGAACTGTCCCCCCTTGTCCTGTCCTGTCCAGTCCAGTCCAGTCCAGAGGGGGTCTATTGTCGATCTGCCTCGCCACACTCAAAGGTGTTGATCCTCCGAGCTGGCGATGCACGGGTTGTTTGGCTGGAGGAGCCTTTGATACAAACAAGCTGGAAACACACAGTGCGGGTAATGGCCTGTTTACAGTTTGAAGCCTCCCTTATAGGGAAGGAGTAGATCTGAAGTGTCTTGTTTTCAGAGACTACGCAGTTCAGGGATTTACTGCGGGGATCGCTGTCGGAGGCATCCCTAAAATCCAGGTATAAATCGGCTGCTCCGGCTCTAAACGTCTGCAGAATAAAAGACTAATGGGGTCACAGCCTCCTCCTGTTATGAGAGTGTCTTCCTACTGTGATAATACTTGTCACCTTAACACAGGAAGAAGCCATTGCCATGCCCTTCACTGAAGCCTAAAACTGTCACTGTGGCTTTCTTCCTTTGCATGCCTAATCACTTGCACAGAAGAGAGGCTTTACTTCCCCTTATTTCAATGCAAACTGTAAAAAAAATGGTTGTTTTTCGGCCTTGTTTGGAAATCAGGAGCTTTCACAATATCCATGTTTGATTACATGGCGAATAGATCCACGTATATGTTTATGTTTGGCATTTAAATTTAGTCATTAGAGGCGAGACGCCGTCCCCTCTGATTACAGGGACTTTCCCTTGGCAAAGGGCACGTGATGAGATGGCCTGGGCAAGAGGGGCAAGAGGTGGTGTGGATTTCTCCGGCATGCTATCCCCTCTGAAGTCTGCCATCACTAACATTTACACTTTAACCCACCCTCATGACAAACTAATAGAGACAAACATGAAATTTGATAAGAAGGAGAAACCGACATTTTGTCGAGGTTTTAGGTGCTGGGATGCAAGACTTCGTGACGGTTTGATTTCATGCTTGACGGACGACAATTTTCTGAATGAGTCAGGTGTAATGTATAGTGAGCAGGTGGTTCTGGGAGTTTGAATCCCTTCAGCAACCTTACCTGATAGTTAACATGCTCCTGTGTGTTTGATACTCTCTCCCTGTGTTTCTTTGTAAGTTGACGAGGCCCGATCCTCCCGACACAGCAGGAAAATGAAACATAACCCTACTGTAGAGCCGACACCTGAGCTGTTTTGTCTGGGTGGGCCCCTGTCGGCTGCGATGACTTGCTAATCTGTCTTAGTGCCGCTAACAGTAGCATGTCCGGACAAACAGGTGGGTTCTCGGGATCCACTTGACCTTGCCTTGAGCTGGTCCATGAAGGGGTTTGTATTACACATCAAAGGACTTGATAACAACAGTGAGTTTTATTAGTTTTTTTTTAACAAGTCGGTCAAAAAGTCATCAAAAGTTCAGCCTATCTTTGTGCACATGGTTTGTTTTTTTCAAAGACAGCCGTTAACGTTTATTAGCGGCAGTTGATCATCTCTAGAATTGCTCAGTTGTTGGTGTTGAATGTAATGTGTTGACATCTGTCTTTGTGCTGCCGCAGCTAATCCTCTCAAACTTGCGCAACCCAGTTGCCTCCTTTTGTTCAGATTTGTTGGGCGTCTTTATTTGGATTCCAGTGTGTGAATTTACTTTGCTTTTGTCTGGAGTGTGTCGCTTTATTCTTAGCCTCAGCAGACGTCCATATTTAGGTACACGAAGTTAAAAAAAAAAGCCCTCTACCAGAATCCTGTCAAACAGGAAGGTAAAGACACACACAGGAAGCTGGCAGAGAGCCAGAACTGCTGTCTGCTGTCAGCTTCAAATCCTCAGACCGAGACATTCCCATGCTAAGACTTTTGACGGAGGTGTCCAAAACCATTACGTTCATCCTTCAGTGCCGGGTTTCAAAGTGAGTCTAATACCTGGATCCCTTCCCGCTGAGTATACAGACTTGTTTTGTCAAACCTTGTGGGTTTAAAGGTAGCAGGAAAGCTGGAACAGGCTGTTCTCGGTGTTCCTCTCTTTCACATAAATGTCATTTTAAATCTCCATTTCAAGGCCACGCAGAGGTCTGAGCCGAGGATTTTGACAGTCCAGATATTTTACAATTTGCACACCTCTAAAGAGATGCTGCGGTGATGTAAGATCCTACAAGATATAAACCTCAGTAACAATAAATCTTCCACTGAGCTGGAGCTGTGTGCAGGGTTCGGTTTCTTTTTAACTGCTCTTCACCTGCTTGTTTTCATGGTGCAAATATTTTCCCATCAAGGTTGTCATGCCGCTTATGAGATCGGGCTTCTCTTTTACGACAGCGCACCTGTAATGTGATGCTTCATGTTTAAAAGAGAGAAATAAATGGAGCTTTGCCACTAGTTCCCCTATTTCAGTCACTAGAGTTTTATCTGTAACCGAGCACACACTCCTGAAACCATCTCTTCATATTTATCGTAGAAATTACAAATAAATGATCATTGATTTCTAAACCTTATTAAAGTTTGCTCAATCGGAGTTAAGTATAAGAAATTTATTGATCCCCAAAGGAAAATTCATCTGTCTTGAATCTCATTTCATCTACTATTTATAGAAAAAAAAAAGAAGTCTGATGTTCTTTGGTACATAAGATCGTATGAATCTCTTCGTCCTGCATTGAAAAGAGAGGAACCGTCCACTTTGTTTTTAAACAGAATTCTGATTCTGTATCCTAGCAACAGTATCATAGAGAAAATCACACGGAACTTCAGCCTTTGCCTTGGGTGGGATGCATACAAGTATTGTTATGATGTGACTGAACTCCATGTGCTGCGTTCCAGTTACCTCGGAAGTTGGATGTTTGCGCTTGGAATGACGTTACACCTGAATTGATAGTGTTCCAGGTAACAAGTTAGAAAACCAAGATGGACGCCTATAGTTACCAGTTGTTAGCCGTTGTTAGTTGTTGTTGTTAGCGATACCACTTGTAAACAACGCATAACGCAGTATTTTCCTCTTACAAACACCATAGCACCGTGTTCACAGTTAGATGTTGGGCAGTACAACATATTCCACTTATTTAATTTCACAAAAACAAAACAGAAGTGCTAATAAATAATACATTACGGGGTCTTTCACTGTTAATGTTCACTGTTGATGCACTGTGCTGCCATCTTGGATTATGATGTTGTCGTCAAGTCGGGGTTGGTGAGGATTGTCCAACTTTCGAGTCCAAAATCCAACTACAGGGGGGTGTTCCAGATGAATTTCCAACTCGCAGCTTGGAAATTCCGACTTCCGAGTACAACTGGAACGCAGCATTTGTATGGCCAAATTGAATTAAAATAAGTTAGCTGATACTGAAACAGACTTAGAAACAGATTTTTTTTGACCTGAAACAGAAAATCGCACCATCAGTGAAAATATTCTGTCCTATTATGTTCAGTGTCTTAAATGTAATAGAAAATCCCTCATAGGAGCTTTAAGAGGATGGCTATTGTGATTGATTGAGACATGGTAGAGGGTATTCATTCTTTCGTGTGGTCCTCTGGTACAAAGTGACCAAGATACTAAATCCTTAACTGGTGACTTTGAGGACCCAGAACACAATTTATAAATTCAAATGTCACAGCTGTTGTTTGCTTGCACACATCTGGTTTTCATGTTCCTATTCTCTGGAGTTATTTGCTCGACCAACTTAACCTTTAACCAAAAGGCTAGAGAACTTTAAGTTTTCAAACCCTGAGAGGGATACGTCTCCAAACTGAAGCTGGAAAGTCCTAACCCTCAGTTCTCCTTTCATGAGGCAGTGACAAAGATGAGGAACACTTAATCCTGTTTGGGGTTATCTAAGCTGCATCCTTTACACATATCATTTAAAGTTACATAACCTCTTTGTTCATTAATTCTTCTCTTTGAGTATTGGTGCTGTTGGAGTGCCGGTCGTCATACTTCAGTATGAGATAGCGAAGTTGGCCTTTCGTCGTCCATTGTAAATTTTGTACAACAAAGCGTGTGATATATTTCTCAGCTCAGCCACCTGCACTCTCCTCGCTCTCCACGGACACACAATCCATTAACCTTTCATCCAGAGGAGCATATCGAAGGCCGTGTGAGCTAATTAAACAAGTATTTCTTGTCTTCATGTTCTCCGATCCTGCTCCTCTTCACATTTATCACCCGTCTCGTGTTTGGGGCTGTTACTGAAGCATTCCTCAGACGCCCGAGTGCAAAGAGCGTCTCCTTTTCTGGAAGTTCTTGCGTCCGATTTGGTGGGCTTACACGCGTTTCGCTCTTGTTGCCCCCCTCCTCCTCCTCCTCTAAGCTTGTGGCCTAAGCAGAGGATTACTGATGCCCATTAAGGTGGTTAATGTGAAAGTGAAAATGACGGGGTTCATAAGGTCAAAGACAAAGAGTTCACTTATCGAATCAAAGATGGAGGACGGCCTTTGATCGGCTGAGTTTACTTTGAAGAAGAGCAAACTCTCGAGGACCCTGTGGAGTTTCTTTTTTCGGTAAACAAACAGAGCGAATGTTTACAGTCAGTGTTTCTTCTCAAACAGAACCTCTCGTAAAACATGGCTCCGAGCTTTCAGGGACACCTTTAACCTACTCTTTGAAGCCTGAATGAATGAGCGGACCCACCTCCACCTGCTTTGTTTGCACTACCTCCTGCTGCTGCCGTCTGTAAATTAGAGTTCAGGGTGGATCTGGTTTCGTTTGGACTTGTCTGAAGCAGCGACATATGTGGCTTAGTGTGTTAAGTTTTGAAAGACTTTGTTTTGGCTGGAGACGCGGCTCTGTCTCCACGTAGATGTTTTGAATCATGTTCATCTAAAAAAACTCTGACACGAGTGCACGTCTCTGTTCTTTTCCTGTCTGCTTATTGAGAATTTAGCAGAAACACATTATTCCTGCCGTGCCCTCGGGCACCCCGGTGAGATAGAAAAGCTCGCCCGTCAACAAAGCAGCAGCTCCAACTGAAAAACCAAAAGAGATGGCTTTAATTTCTGCGAGTGGATCCACTTCAAGAAAAGGACTTGTTTGATTTCTGGATCGAGACGTCGGCTGTCAGAGTCTTCCTCCCCCTCCTGCTGGCTAACTTTATTAAAGCTGGCAAACCTTTATTTATTTATTTATTTTAAGTGAACCGAGTTATTTCCAAAACTCCCTTTCTCCTCACTCCCTCCTTGCGGTAGCTGGTGGCGTTTGCAGGCGGCTAATGATATTTGTGTCTTATTAATGGCTGCTGATGAGCTGAAATGGAAGACTCCCCACAAGCTTTATTTACTCGCCTTTAATACTGACCCGTCACTTTGACTTATGACACTGCCATATGGGCGCTGGTTACAGGGGATGAGTCTGGTACGCATGGACATATCCCCGCTCCCCCCTCCCTTCATTTCTATGCAGTTTGGAGCTCTGACTCGACGACTGGATGCTCCGAAATCTAGATTTGTACTTGGGGTCAAAAATGAAAAGTTCACAAAAACATCACCTCTGAGGCGATTAAAAAATTCAGGAGTTTATGACGCATACTTAACATATCCCCCATCATCCATATGGTAAGAGCATACATCATAAATGTGTGCAAGTTGATAAGGGTTTGGCACGGCGCCTGTTGAACTAATGAACTGCTGACACGGCCGACATGTTTGCAGAAACGTTCACCCCTCGGTGCACCTGCACAGCCGAGTGACTTGACTTGTAGCCGCTGTTGTGGGGGTCATGTAGCGAATAATCAGACTCGAGGACTGAAAAGGTTCCGGGCTGAGTGTCGGTACGGCCTCTGAGGTAGACGGCAGCTCTGAGACCCGGCTTTGTCGCCGACTTGGCCCTGGGATTGCCGGGCTGGAGTATCTCAGTGACATTGATTAGCGGCTTTGACATTCTTGAAATTTCCTGACATGTATAGATTTCAAGCAGGCGACTCTGTGTCAGCTGAGGTTTTTCATGTTTCAGATTCATAACAGGACATTGAGTGCTGATGAATTTTAACACAGGGAATAGAAAGGTTTCTATTTTAGCGACGTATTCACAAAACCCCAAAAATCAAGTCTATAGCCTCTTACTCACTTGTCTAATTTCAACATTGTACCTTCTGTGTTTTTAATCGAGTTTTATAAACTGGTTGTCAGATAGGATTTAAATGCAGTAACATATATCTTTACTTTCATTATATCAACTTTGATGTCTCAATACTTTGGTGAGGATTGACGGTTTGTCCACTGGAACAAGACTCAATAAATCTAACTTAAGTTTAGACCGCTCCAAAAATAGAAGTTCACACCTCGGTGATTTGAAAGCAGAGGCCCGGTCTTGTTGAAATGTTGCTCCAAAAGTGGTTTTTGTTTATGTCAAGACTAATTTCACAAACTTCTATTTCCATTTTACTTTCTTTGATGTCTCAGTAATTGAAAGTCAAAGTTCAATTATTTTTTTAGCTTATTGGAAAAAAGAGAGACTTTGATTTGGGCGATTCCCAAAATTAAGATTGACCTGACTGCTGGTTGAAATAATGGCTCAAGTACTTTTTCTGTTCCGGGCATTGATGAAGGTCGCTCTGAATTGAAAATGTGGACCCTGATAAACTGGGATTAGATCGTCATGTAATCAAGAGTGTGATTTTTGGAAAATATTGTATCTGAAATTAAACCAACAGTAAAAAACTTCATGAATCCTCTGGATGAACCACCTCTGCTGCGCTCACACGGTCATTTGCTGCGTGTTCTTGGCATGTTTGGGAGGCACAAGGTTGAAAGACAATCCCAAGTGAACAACTTCTCTCTCCCTTTTAGGTGTTTTCCTGAAGTCATCTTGTTTTGAATCGATTTCCAATTCCGAACCTGACCCAATTAAATCAAGCAGCTGCTTTTATCTGCGAGTATCTGAGATTTGTTCTCTGAAACACAGCGGGCTGAAACTTCTCTCATCTGTTTTAGCGAACAGCGTGTTCTCAAAACCGCTTCTCCCCGTCTACTTTTAACTACGAGTCACCTCCACGCAGACACCAAGGAGCCCGTATGAATACGTGTCTTATGCCTTGTTTTCTGATATGTCTGTACTCAAGTTAAGACAATGTAAGAGCAGGAAACAGCAAAGGGCTCAAAGGAATCTCGTGCAAGTCTGCGGGTAAGAAGAGGCCACTCGGCTCCCCAGAGTCGCACGTCAAACCCATCACATCCCGCTGTCTTCATTCAGTGTCGCCTCTGCCCACACCTACAAGCTCCCCTCCCTCCTTCCGCCTGGATACTCTTACACCCAATCCCACCCAGGATTAGGTTCAGAGTGAGGCGGGGGTAAACGGGGGAGAGCTCAATGTGTGGGTTAAGGGCGCTGACATTGAGGCTCTACTGCTGGAGCTCTTAGACCGAGTCATTGGTGTCTTCTACTGGACTCGTCAAGATCTAAGATTAAGATATAATCTAGTAAAATCCAGGATCCTGAGGGTTTGTCTTGTGATGGAAAAAGCACGACTTCTATAATTTATTCCACCTTTAAAAGCTTTTTATGACATCTGACTAAAAATTCAAACTAAATTTTGTCATTGCTAAAACACGTCTTTGCTGCCCAATCCAGATGTCAGCTTACACATCTAGACGGCGTAAAATGAGGCTCAATTTCTGATTGTTTTCTTGTTTTTTTCCCTATAACAAAGGGATGAAATCTAGCAGGAATTGTCCTTTAAATTTATTGTTGAAAATACAGTCCTATCATACCTCTGATCTTAGAAATCAAAAGCAGAAAAACAAAGTTTTCTCCTGAGCTGTCACTTCAGTCACATTAACCGCTTCAAACATCGTACGAAAATGTTTATCTGACACCCTGTGAAGACGCCATTCTCGTATACGTGACCGCACCCAGAATGCACTGGGGTTAGGATTCTGGGTCTGCTAAATCTATTCAGTCACATAGATTAAAAGACGTCTAAGACGTCTCTGGGGATCAGGTTCAAGGAAGTCCCCCAAAAAGTCTCCACTCACACATCAGGCGCAAACTCCTGGCTGTCCGCGTCTCCCGTCAACTTCTGAGCAGCTTTCCGTGGAATTAAAGACAAAAACGTTTTAATCACATGCGTATATCGAGCTCTAAAAAAAAATTCAAGCATCAGGATTCACTTTAAAGAGAGCAGCTGACAGCTAAACGCTTTTGTTATCAGGTTCTTTTGATCCAAACTTGCCGCCCTCTGTGACAGCCTGCACACAGTTGTTAGTTATGGCAGAGTGAGTTATTGTAAAACAGTTTTTCCTCTTGTGTGTGTGTGTGCCTGCTCTGTCTGTCTGTGTGTGTGTCAGTGTGTGTGTGTTATAAGCTAGGGAGACCTCTGCCATTGTTGGGCTTTTACATCCTGACAACCGGGAGCCTGACGAGGTTAAAAATAACCCAGCGCTTTCCAATTTTGTCATCTTTTGGGACCACGTCTCCCGGCTGTTTTGATTCGGCGTGCGTCCCCCTGGAATGCTTGGGGTCACCGACGGCCACTTCCTGTCACATGGTGCCTCATTGTAGTGCTCTCGACTGTCCCTAAACATACTCAAACATACTTAAAAAAAAAATAGGCCACCAGGGAGGGAGAGGCCTGTCATATTTCTGAATCGCACACTGGGTGGCCCAGCGTAAATGCTGTCAGTGAATGACAGCATTTTATTTTTTGTGTTTTATCTTCAAATTATCCGTTCGTCTGTGATCTAAAGAAGAAAAGTTGGTGCGTGAAGGCTTTTGCACACATGCAGAACAGAACTAGGCCACCGGTATGGGAAAAAAACGACGATAAAAAAAGTTAAACATGGAAAAGTTGTTAGTAAAGGTGTACTTTTATTAACTCTGAAGTCTTCGAAAGCCTTTCAAGTCTGAAGGGATTCACAAAGAAAGTGCAGACATTTCTGTGTGTGTTTGTGTGTATGTAAAACTCAAGTCAAGTATGAGAGTTTTGCCTGTTTAGGTAACCAAACAGCCAAATTGATATGCGTGCTATGCAAACAAAGGGCTATGTAAACTGCACTGGCGAGCTAAGCAAATGAATTATGCAACCGGTTCTCGAGCATCAGATGCTTTTCTGGCTGCGGACACACACTAACACACACACAGCTGATATGAAGGGGTGTATTATGTTGTTGTAATCTTCCCTGTAATAGATTGATTTGCATTTCGTTCTAAGTGGTTATCTTAAAGAGCAGACTCGGTTTATGCCCTGCGTTTTCTGCTTTGTATCCGACATCATGCACTTCAGTGTTCATGACTGAAACCTCAGTAACCTTTCCTGTACTCTTTCACCTTTTTCCACAGTTTTCCTGCAAACAAACTAACATGAAATGTACAGTTCTGGATTCACTGAGGTTTTCTCACCCCGTACTTCACCCTGCGTCTCAAGCGGCTGACACTCGTGATTTAGTCTGAGCTGAAGTTTGTTTGGAAACATCTGCTTTCGAGACTGTTTGTTCCCTTTAGATACTCTTCAACACACCAACTTGACTCCATAATCATATCAAGGATATGATTACCTTTATTTCTCAAGAGTTTGAGATTGGAGCCAAATCGGCTATAGAGCAACAGTTAGCTATCGAAAAATAACACACCACTGAGATTGGAGCCGTGTCCTTAGCAACAGTGAAGCAACGGTCCGCTATAGAAAAATAACACACCGCTGAGATTGGAGCCACATCCTTAGCAAAGGTGTGATCCTCATAGTATCAGTCTGCTATAGAGAAATAACACACTATTAAGATCGGAGCTGTATCCTTAGCAACAGGGTGTTCCTTATAGCAACGGTCTGCTATAGAGAAATAACACACCATTAAGATCGAAGCTGTATCCTTAGCAACAGGGTGTTCCTTATAGCAGTGGTCTGTTTTACAGAAGTAACACACCGCTGAGATCGGAGCCGCATCCTTAGCAACTATTGCAGCAGTCTGCTATAGAGAAATAACACATCAGTGAGATTGGAGCCACATCCTTAGCAACAGTGTGTTCCTCATAGCAACGGTCTGCTATAGAGAAATAACACACCGATGTCAAGTTGTCAAGTTTAAATCACGTATTAAACTTTGCCAAAGTAAGCGATGATGTATGGGGAGCAACAGTTAATTTCAACAGTTAAATCGTTGCAGTGTTGTCACACTTATCTGAGTGATTTTCTTGCAGTAGCAGCTCAGTCGAAACAGAAGTGGAGTTTTTAAAAGGCTAATCTAGTCTCAGCCTGCCGTGTGATACAGTTAGCCTGTGGTACAGTACTGCTGTGAAGCCCTTTGCCAAACGCTGGCATCTTCATTTGAAATGGACATCCTCCCCTGTGTCCTGTCATCCAAACTTAGCTGCAGGCACACATCCAATCAAACGTCTTCTTTTGCTTCTTCTGTAGTTTGCCAAGTGGCAACTCTATAACAGACGTGTGAAGTGTTGTTACAGTAAACAGACCCTACATCAAAAACTCCAGAAGAGGTCTTGTAGATAAATCAAAGTTTGTATTAGGGTGCCGGCAGCAGCTTTGTATTTACTGTACAAAAAGAGGTCTGTCTCAGTTTTCAGGATTTTAAATGTGGAATTGAGTTTACTCTTTTATAAAGATTGTTAAACTTTAAAAATAAACATTAAAATTTGATTTTTGGTGCACTTTTGAAAACATATGTACCACTATGTGAAGACTGGCCCCAGTCACTCCCCTTGTCTCTTGTTGATGTTGTTTCATTATCTTGATTTTCATCACTGAGATTCTTCCTTTGATTAACCAACACTATCCGCTGCCAGCAGCGATTAAAGGCCTGGAGCATGTGTTTGGGTGTGTGTGTGTTGCTCTCTCACTTGTTGTTTGGGTGGTGTTGTGTCTCCCTTTGCTGCTCCCGGACTTTGTGTTCTGATTGAAACTATTGCCAAACAGGGAGCATCATTATTTGTCAGGCTTGGCACGACTTAAATTGACATCAAATGGTCAAAAAGTGATAACTCTGTTTTTCTGTTTCCAGGAATATAAGTGACGTATTTACAGTTGGGTCTTAAATCTTCCTAAAATGAGATTTTATGTTGTATGTATCTGTTGAAGTGTGTGTTTCTGTGGTTATGAGTGTGTGTTTTGTGGCTCCGCTAAGACAGTTTGGAAACTTGCCAGCTCAAACTGTCCAAGACTTGGAGGGCTGGAAGTAATGGGCTCAACTCCCTAGAGGGAAAAGGAGGAGGGGGGGACCGAATAAAAACAAGTGAGGGGGATGCCTGGGGACACTCTGGGAATGACAACACCACTCAAAGGAGTCCTGGAGGAACACAGAGAGCCTCAGACCCATCTAATAACTCGTGCCTTTTCCAAATAACACAAGGAAGTGGCAGGCTTTTTAATAAATGCCTGGAGTGCAGGTGTGGTCATTTCCCAGGTGACATTTAGAGGCACATTAAACCGCCTGTAATCGGAAAATGAGGCTTCAAGAATTCTCCTACAGTCAGAGGAAAAGGCACAAAAAGGTGCTTTGTTGGCATTTGCATGTTTATATTCTTTCCTTCCAGACAACAGCGGCAATAAAGTTTCTTTGCAGGGTCTAGAAACCTGTTAGAAAATCACTGATGGCTGGGGATTTTATAGTTTTAGCCACTAAAACTACAATCTGAATTCAGACTCCATGGATAGTCCAAAGAAATACTCGCAAAATAGTCAAAGTTTAGCCGTGTTTTTTGAGTCGTAGCTCAAAGTGAATCTTTCATTACACAACAAAACAGTATTGTGTAATTTTCAGGGCTGAGATTTGTTTTGCATGTCACGATCACATCATCCTCAGGTATCCCATTTGCAGTCAGTGTTTTTGTTTTCACTCTCGGCGAGAATGTCGTTAGGAATGTAAACTTTCCAGCACATGTGAGTCCAAATATGCAGCTAGCCTGTAATGATTCATTCAACAACGATTCATGGAAGTCCTGGTATGTTTTTCTTCGCCTCTTTGCTGTTTGTGTTTTTGCTCATCTGAAGTTGACGATTACATCCTCACCCTGCGGAGCTCCCCCCCCCCCTGAAGCCAATGTTTGCTCTCATGGACGATGAGTGGTTATGCAGATTTGTCCTGTTTGTTCCTGACAAGTAGTAACTGGACATGTAATCGTTGTGTAAACTTCCTCTAGCTGTTTTCTAAACTTCCCTTGACCCCTCATCGTTAACCCGAAGGTGTTGTTTTTGTTTTTTCTGTCCCCTGCAGACCCCTGTCTTATAGTGATGCTGCCATGCATGGGCGAGGCCGACCGCTTCAGTCTGGAGGCGCTTCGGCACATCCACAAACAGCTGGACGACGATAACGACGGGGGAATAGAAGTCAATGAGAGTGTGGAGGTGAGCCATTAAGATCTGTAGACTTGTTTACATGAAGCACATGATGGATCACAGCAGATTTAAACAGAACCTGGACAAAACTCTCAACCTTTAGGGTTAGGTTAGTAGGAAATATGATTGAAGGCCCTGACACACCGGGAACGACGCAAATATACAACACGAAATTACGAAATATTCTGAGGCAAATTTTGACACGCCTGACTATACACATCAAGCGCAACGTGATTTTGCGACTTTCTGGGGGGGAAAAAAAGATGCGTCCCAACACCAGACTGACAGTTTTTAGTTCTGATTAGACACTAGTGTTGAGATGTCTGTCTGTCATGATAGCATGTACTGAGTCGGGGCCAGTACCAGATAAGAACATTAAACTATAATCCATAAATGTAAGGTAACAACTGAGACCTAATGGTGCTGTGACAGCAACGCGATTGAGTTTGAGACAGTGAAAATACATATGGTATGTTGTATCTGAACAGGTTAGCTTATGAGCTAAAGTTACTTAGCACAGATGAAAGTTAAAACAAAGACGTTTATCAAACTGTTAAAGAACACAAACCATCGTCATATGAGAAATATGACGCTATGACTCTCCACAAGTTGTCCTTCAGGTCGTTATCTTTGTAATGTTTGTGTCTTTTATCAAAAATCACTCTGTTCTCCGACACGTTAACAATCAGCCGGTCGGCCATGTTGGATATACCGGTGAATCTGACATCGCAACAACACGAAATCTAATATTGATGTCCGAAATAATCGCACGAAAAAAACGCTCCTGGTGTGTAAGGACCCTAAAGGGAGAAGAAAATATCAAACATTATGGGTGGGAATCACCAGTGGCCCCATGATACGATATTATCACGATACTTTGGCTGCGATACAGTATTATTGCGATACAATATATTGCGATCTTTACAACTTTTTTAAAACTATTTAGCTAATTTAGCATTTGTCTTTTCTTTATCATCAATGAGATGATACGATATAACACCAGGCAAAATATCGCGATACTATGCAATATTGATTTTTTCCTCACATCCCTATCAAATATGGGTTAAAAAAACAAGTATTTATGTTGCAAATGGTATAGAAAAGCTTTTCAGGAAGTAACAACCATCATTTTTGTTATTAGGCTTTAACTTTTTTAAACTGTTTTTTCGCTCTATTACAATTCCATTCGGGCTGAAATCCAGTATTTTGTAGATCATTAGGTTAACCAAACCCAACTTGCCTGTAAATGTTTCCTGTGTTGACTCAAGAATAGCTGCCTGTCAACTCCGAAAGGGGATCGCCTCTATGCCGGCGAATATTTAGTTTACAAAGCCAACTGTGAGGAACTCCTTGTGGCGGTGGATTCAGACTTTGAGGTGACAAAAAAAAACAAAAAGATAACCGTTAAAACAGAAGGATCCTGAATTATTGACTTAGTGACACATCTGGATGGAGAGAGGACAGTTTTGTGTGAGCGACAGAAGGGGTAAAAGTGACACCTGAGAGCTCTCTGACCCGCTGTGCCCTCCACGTCTCTGTAATCAACGACTGTGGTTACTTTCAGTGTGTGTCTGTGTGTGTGTGTGTGTGTGTGTGTTGCTGTGAGTGCTGGCTGGAGTCATTTTTAACTGGCTGAGAAGTGCTGGTGTGAGAAACACTTATACCCTGCAGCCCTCTTTGGTGGCCCCTTAGTAGAGATCTGGATGCATATGAGTCCTGCCTAAGGACCCCCTGAGGGCTACAGTGGTAGAACTGGCCCCCAGCCCACATTGATGTGATGTGTCTGTGCATGTGTCGCTGTTAGCTGTATGTGCTGTATGTGCTGTAGGGTATCAGAGTGTCTTACAGAGCCGCTCTGTTTTCACCCTTTGTCTTTATAAGGGCATCGGCTCGTTTCTGTTCCTTCACTGCAGAAACTCTCGGTTGTTTTTGGCCGCCGCTCCAGCTTTCCTCTCGCAGACTTTCACAGCACGACGGATGCGGCTTTCGCCAAATTAGTGGCTGTCTTCCAGTTTGTTTGAGTGTTGTGCACCCGGCTAAAACACGTGGAGTCAGGGCCGTGTTGTCCAGTCCTAAATAATCAAATCAATTTCGATTAAAGTCTGTTTAGAAGGAATTAATAAGAGTCGTGATTCGATCCAGTTTTGATTTTTTGGATCAAACTACCATATGGGTCATTCCATGTCAATTCAACCAAGAATCGCCACTCACGTCACAGATTTTGATGAAATTTGGTGGAGTGATTGGCCCTCAGGAGAAACTGTCAGAGCTCAAATATTTTTGTTCAAAGCCATATAATTAGTGAGATAGGGGCTAATGAATTTTTGGCTAACTAGCATGACATGCGTTACAAAAGTGTTCATATCTCTGGAAGTATGGCACCTAGAGAGCCGATTCAGGTGTCATTTTAAAGCTCTCTTCAAGATCTATCTTTTTGTTCATAGCATTTTTCCCCAAATTGGACCAGAAAAAATTTATAAAAGACCAAAGACTTCAATTGGAAATAGCAAAAAATGCGTGTTCTTGGTTGAATTGACATGGAATGACCCATATGTTGCTCAAAACTTCTTCATATAATCAAGGTACTTATAATCCAGATATGGGGGTTATCAGAATACCAGCAGCAGTTTAAAGTAGGAGTGGAATAAAACGTACGAATGTCCCAAAAAAAACTTCAATTTGTCCAACAAGCAATAATTGTAAGATGAAGCTATAATTGTCATGTTTATTGATCATTTTGGCTCGATTTGTTCCCTTGTTTTGAGCTTTTGGTACAGGAAAACAAAAATTAAAGCTCCTGTGATCAATATTTCCGTGAATTTTGGCGACCCCTGTAGGTAACCCAAAAATAAAATAAATAATAATTGGTTTCCAGCTGTTAAAAATTAAGACATAGATATAATTATTCTTCTTACTGATGGCCTTGATTTTTGAAAGGTCATCAGTGAGAAGACACAGGAGCTTTAAGGTAGTCCATTGTCCTCCCCTGAACCCAAACCCTTAAAATCCACATTTACAAAACAAAGCAGTCCAGCTGAAATGAAGTTTACTTTAATATTCAAAATATTCAACAGAGCCACAAAGATCTGATTCTGGCCGTTGTTTTATTAAACTTGTTAGGTCTCTTTTGATTACAAGGAAACACAAGGTAAAGTTAATCCTCAACTACAGGATTATAAAGCACATTCGAGCTACATTTCCAAAGTGATTGTTGGGATAAGCTTGCAACATGATTTTAAGACTCACCAGTGAAGTATGAATTCAAGTTAGAGCTGTTTAGACTGAGCCAAACATCTTCAAAATTGAAGTTAATTTAAGATAGTCATCTGGTAGGAGTGTAACAACGCGCTCTGCCTGCTGATGACTTTATCTGAGAGATGAGATGAAGATATTAAAAACACAAGACTTTAATTTAACTTTGAGTCCGGGATTATGAGATTTACCGCCTGTTTCACTTGATATCACACAGTCAGACTCCTTTGCTGTCAGTTTCGGCACATAGTCAGCCTCTTCCTGGCAGCGGCGAGCTGAAAAGCGTGACAAAGTTATGATGAAGGCTGACGAGTGCCGGCCTCGTCAGCCCTTCGCCCCTCTGCCACCTGGCTGAAACCTTACACTCAGACAACAAAGATCTCGCTGGCACTTCCCGTCCTCCTCACCCACTCATCTCCAACCTTCACCCCAAAGTTCGAGAGGCTGAGTCTGCCGAGTTCAGAGATCCAGTTTTTCATGACTCGCATGTTAGAGATTTTAATGCCGGTTGTAAAAATGACATGTGGTGATGTTTGATTGGAGTGACACCTGTGGCTAACCTCTTTGAGTAAATAATTCACGAGGTCTTTGCACACAATATGAGAAACGTGTATTTGTCTTTGTGTTTTTGATACCCTGCCAAGACCAGTTTTATTAACAAATTAACACCAAAGGCTTTTTTATTCATTTAGAAATCATCGTAGACAAATTGAAATAAAGAGTCACTTCATATTCACAGTTCGCCAAGCTACCATGGCTTCAATTCCCTCAAATTATAAACCAACCGCTAGTTTTTTTTTACCATGTTTTACTGCAAATGTGTCCTTATATGTGGCCTTTTTAGGGCCTCAGATAACTGTCATTGTCTTCAAATGTCTAAAAGACTAAATATTTGTACAATTAGTTGAATTAAAGCCAGATTCAAAAACATTTCGAAGAAAAATCAACTTTTTTCAACCACAAAATTTTGTAAACGATCGATTCAGTTTCAGAAAACCAAACATTTGACAAGTTAGATGAAGCTAATATTTGAAAATGTTGAAATTTTGACAGAAATTATGCAACCAACTAGAAAAGTGTCAGAGAGTGCAGACCTCCGCCAAGAAGCTCATGTCCCCCCTTAAACAAGAAATGCTCTGACTGGCAATTGAACCCAGGACCTTCTGGTTATGAGGCAACAGAGCTAACCACTACACCACTGTGCTGCCTATCTACACCACTCTGCCGCCCATTGGTTATCTTTCAGCATTGAAAATTCCCATGACATCCTTATTTTTGTGTGTTCTGGATCACAGTATCCAGAATTTTGTCCAGATCACCACCACAAAATTTAATGGGATCCTCCTGGGGCTGAGACGCACCTCTGGTGAAAATTTCAGGTCAATCTGTCCGTTACTTTCTCTGTAAAGTTGCTAACAGACAAACAAACTCACAAACAAACCAATGCTACCGAAAACATAACCTCCTTGGCGGAGATTGAGTTGATGAAAGAGCGCCCCCTGGATTAAAATCACACACCTCTTCAGAACAAGTTCCATCATAATTAGCCCTCATTGGCGCGAACAGGCCTACACCTTCACGTAATATCACCCCACACGCTCAGTGTATTTACAGGTCGTACTAAAATGATCCAGAGCACTAAAAGCCTCTGCACAAAAAGAGCACCCATTAACATGTGTACTTAAACATATTGACACTCTTTGTCGAGTGGCGAGGCGAGGAGAGCAAACAAGGAAGTAGTGAGGACGGCGAACGGCTCATTTCGCCGGAATAGTCTCTGACAGGTCATGCCATCGTGTTTTCTATGAGGGTGTTGCTAAGAGTGTTGGCCGCTTTGACGGTGATAACTGGAGCAGACATTCAAGCTGAAGGGTCGATTCATGTCGGGTTCAGTTGTCTTGATAACACCGTTAAACTGCGAAGGTAGCGCAGAGTTCGTTGCGTGTCGTGTGGAGTTGGCATTGTTTCTCCAGGTTGTTTTTCAAGTCTCTCTCACCTCCAAGTCTCCATCAGCCTAAATAAATCTAAAGATGAACCTCGTGACGATAAGTATTTATAGTTTCTTTCGGAAATTTGACCACTATGGAAGAATTTTATTGGGAATCAGATCCAGCTGTAATCCCGTGAAACCTAAACCTGTCTCTGATTACCTTGTGAATCTGCGCGTCTTCGTCTGGGGGGTTTTGAGTGACATCCGGGGTTCTGTTGCTGAGCACAGTCACTGGGGACGGCAGGTGCACGTCCTCTTCTCCGGGTTCTGGGCAGTGCGCTGTCTGCCTGCCAAACAGACGCACGGCTGGATCGTCTTGCATCAACTTTGATATCACAAGACCCGATTCTACGTCACATCAGGGGCCCAAAGGCGCTGCTTATCACTTCTCCTCTGATTCCAGTCTTTCTGCTGAGCATGCATCCTAACTTGATGGGAATTAAAGGCCGTCACATGAGTTGTGAGACAGTATGATGGCAAACTGTACGACTTGAATATGTGCGAGTGAAATCAGAAGAAACACGAGGAGCCACGAGGGGTGTCTGGGTCGTATCTTTAGAAAGGAGGAATCTCAGGAGGTTCAAGAAGCTGTTTGTTGACTCGTCTGGGAATGTTCTGGAAGGATGATTGAAGAAAGACGTGTTATTTATGACCTACTGCGCTCAATTGAGATGTAGAAAAGATAGACGATAATTGGCTTGGCCAGTATCTGGGCTCATGTGACCAATTAATAAAAATAGACAAATTGCGCCTTCAGCCACTGCAGGCAGACTGTCAAACATTGTTTATTTTATTTTATGGCATGATCAATAAAACTGTTTTAATCAAAGCTTGAACACTGAGTCTTGGTTAGCAATCCTTTTAATAGTGACCCTATCAAAAGAAGTAGATGTGCGTCCAACTGGGAGGAGGCCTGGGGTAGACCCAGTGCTCACTGGAGGGATTATATTCACCATCTGGCCTGAGTACAACCTGGGATCCCCCTGGAAAACGTTGCAGGGTCAAGAGACGTCTGGGTTGTCTTACCATGTCAAAGACGATAGATGGATTACTTAGATTTTGTGTAAATGTGATCAACAGTATCATGACGTAAATGAATAAACCCAAAATTGTTATTGAAATTTAATTAACGGGGTGTGTTTTTCATTTAAAAAGGGTCATTATTGCTTCTCGATGAGAGACAAGCATCGCCTGTCGTAACCGTCAGCAGAATCAGACGATCAGTTGTGGACAGATGGGCTGATACAGTAGGGGTGAACGGAGTCAAAGCCGACTGCTGGAGAGAGCGGAGGCTCATGGGTAGCGTCTCGATCTTGAGCCAGCTCCCCCCTAATCTGGAATCTGATGGGAACAAATGTGTCTTTGTGTGCCGTTGAGTGTGTCATACCCTGTCTGTGCTAGGGCCTCTGCAGAGGTTATGTGCCATTGTCAATCCTGTGGTCTTTTTTTTTTACAGGATTACGTTATATCTTCATCATTTACTTTAATTATAAAACTTAAACACAACCTTTACTTCAGGAATATACTCTTCTTTTCCGCGTCGTCAGTCAGGAATGATCTCAGTTGTAACACTATCCAAACACTTAAGCACAGAAACCACAGGGCTCCCACACAAAGATCTCTATTTGAGCAGCTCACCACATATTTCATGACGGAAAGCGTCACAAAGCTGTCATTGACAACATGCAAAACTGCTCCCACAAGTTTAAGTTTCAGTATAAGGTAGCAGTGATTAAATACAGTTTTTTTTTGTACCTCTTTTAGCTATAGTAAGTACGAGACAGTGGGAGCAAGACCTCTTGAATTTCCATTGAAGGTAATGTCAGAGAGTGTGGACAGGACTTCCACAGGAATATGTATGTTGAGAAACCTCTGAGCATTAATGAAGCAACATGTTAGCTTGAGGTTTAAATCGCTTTGTAGGGATTTTCAACTCTGAGTTGCGCTTGCTAGCTCTGCTGCTGTTGCACGGATTGCAGGACAAGATCTGGCGCCTTGCGTTGCTCTTTAAGTTCCCGGGAATAGTTGTTATTTTTCTTGACTGAGATGGACTAATATTGTTCACTCTATAAATAAACTTATTAACCATGTTGTACTATTTTATCTTGAGTTATTGAAGGTAACTTTAATCCATCAGGAGTTTTATTTCCTCATCTGAACACTGTTACGTCCTGTAGTTCTGTCAACATAACTTCTCAAGGCGTAATGAATGGTAAGCATTAAAGGCTTTGGGAGACATTTGTTTGGACTACTATTACACACATTGTGGTCTCTGCAGTGACTCAGCTGACAGCCGGTTCCTTCACTAAGTTCCTGGCTTTACGTCACGTACAAAAACTCATTTGCATCGCTATTGTGTAACAAGAAGGTGAGAGAGAAAAAAAACACACCCGGGCCAAAGCTTGGAGATTTCTTAGACTATTTTGTCCACTACTGATGTGCTGAAAGAGCTTTTCAAACCCTTTGTGTTGAAAGAATTAAGGCAACAACTTCAGAGTTTCTATGGTGTTATGTAAGGCGTGTTACCAATCTGTTTCCCCACAAGCCTGCAGCTGTCTAAGTGCTCTCAATCATAAGTTTAACTTCTTTGTGTTGTGTCATAATAAGCAGTGACGATCATTTTATGAGGTTTGTTGTTGAATCAAAGTCAGTCCAACTTTTTTTTTTCTTTTCAAAGTACGGATTTAATGGACGTAGAATTAGATTGTGTCTTTGGTTACGCTTTTACCCGAGCTTTTTGTCCAGCAACAACTAGCAGTGACCTCCAGTCTTGAGAAATAAAGTGCAAGAAACAAGTGCAGTTCCTCTAGTGTCCACTTGAGGCTGTTTCAGAAGTCCAAAATGTACCTGACAACGGCATTTTGACGTAACCAACACCAAGACAGAATCAGCTCTCACAAGGCCCATAATTACCCTTATCTTTTTAAATATAAAATGTATTTGATAGGTACAATAATGCAGTTTAATAATAACATTAACATTCAGATAACATACATTTTTTTCCACATTTATCTAATAAGAAATTCTACCGTTGTTTTCTCTCATTTGAACGTAATGTATTAAAAAATAACTACAACGTGTCATCATAAGAAAAGTCTGAATTCAGACCTTTTTTCCATAATAACATATTTTTAAAAGTATATATATATATATATATGTGTGTGTGTGTGTATGTGTGTGTGTTTTAGGTGAGTTTGAGAACTACTGTGAGGAACTTGTGTGTTGATTTTGTTGCTGTTTGTTGTTCGTGTATCGAGGTTTATCCAGATTTCTGTTTAAGGCACTTTACATCAGGAGTTGGCACATCCTGACACCACAGACTGGGGTTGGGATTAATCCTCCTCTAAACATGGGCGTACTCCATTTATATTTCAATATAATCCAGCCGTGACTCACACTGTCGTACAATTATACTCATATGATTAATACAAATAATATGACTCCCTTCAGTCTAAGACAAGTCCACTTTTGATTCCAGTTTTTCTTCATTCTCACGTCCTCCCTGATTCTTATGTAATAATTTAATGATGTGTTTGAAAACAGTTGAAGTTTGTACTGTATGTATTATGTATCTTTGAATCCATTTGAGACTGTTTCAAAAGGATTGGTGTAGCCGAGCATTGAGAATAACCCTGTATTAGTGCAGGCACATGACCACTTCAAGCTGTGCTGGAATCTGTCACATGTCAACCTTATAGACCTGGTGCCATTGTGAGTCAAAAATGGGGTTATTTTGTTGTGTTTTCTACTCAAGAGTCAAAAAATTACACTGATTTATTTATTGCAAACAGAGTAAGATTTAAAACCAATCAGTTCATCTGAGCCCTTCAAAATAAAAGACTAGAAAAGAGAATCAGCTTGCACATCTTTAAACAAAAACCCTCACTAATTGTATGTTTTCTGTTTTAATCATGTGGCAAAAGAAATTAAAAAGAAAGGTAAGTGGTAGTTTTACTTCTGGAGGTTGTTGCAGTTTCCTTGTTTCTGGTGTTAACACTAAACTAACCCTGGAGAAAGAACATTTTAACAGTTTAAGTTACAGATAATATAACCGAGGATAACACCCATCAAAGTGACAGTGCAGCAGTAATATCAAAGACTGATTAGCATGCATGGGAAGGAGTACGTTTTAACTCTCTGCCAAGGCCACACACACACACACGTATTACTACAAGACGAATGCTTTGAGGTGTCTGGTTGTCAGCCATGGTCTTTGTTGTTCATGCTGCTGGTTTTCTGGCAATCCTTTGGTGGGTTCCTTTACTGAAGCTTTCTCTGCAGGGGCATTTCATTCTGAGCTACCAAAGGAGGACAGCCGGAAACTGAACACGCACACACACGCAGACACACACGTGTGCACACACACACACACAGGTGGAAGTGGTGCCTCCGCCATGGGTCTCTTTCTCTTTTCAAAGTCCCTAAAAGGAAGAAAGGAGAGAAAAGAAAGTGTGTGTCTGCATATGTGTGTGTGTGGAAGTGTGTGATCTAAAGCTAGACTTTTAGGCTCAGCACACTCTCTCTCTCTGTTGAAACCACACATGGACATACACAGACACAAGCACAGCTTTCTGTATCTCCCCCTGAAGCACTTTCTCAAATATCTTAATCCTATCAAACTCTGTTTTTTTTTGTTAAAGTGATCCGTCTCTGTAAAAGTTGTGTGTCTGTGTTTTTCTAGTTTATTATAGAGGACATGAAGCAGCAGCAGACCAACAAACACAGCAACCTGCACCGGGAAGACCAGCACATCACCGTGGAGGAGCTGTGGAAATGCTGGAAGACCTCTGAAGGTACAAAAGCAAAACTAACAATTACAAAGTCAATAAGCAACGTGCTGGTCTGTTTGAGGCAAGGCCGAGTGAGAAAGTTCTCTGCATAAATACACAGAAGCACATGACACAGGCGTGGTAAAATCCATCTGACAGGCTGATGTACTGGTTCAACAAGCCTGAAACAAGGTGACGTTCAGCCTGGTGCTGCCAGACCCATCAGACGGTTCATATTCACTGAAATGGTCTGCTGACGCCAAGCCAGGTGGAAAAATGTCGACTTCTGCAGGCTGGAGTTTGATTGTATATTTGAGGATGTGAAAGAAGAGTTAAAAAAAACCCAACATAATCAACGATAATGTTGATTATTAATTTTTCTTAACCGGTTTATTTATACAGTCTTTGCTTGTAAATGGCATCAGGAGTTTGTCGGTCATTCAGCTGTTTCCCTCTCTGATTTGAATCCCTCCCTGGGACAAAGTTTGACCCGCGTCTCTTCCTCTTCTTGTTCCTTAAAAACACATCTTCAAACACACACCCAAATACGTCAGTCTCATTCTGCATGCGCTTTTGTTTGTTTTTAAATATTAAGTATGTCAGCCTCAGGGCTCACTTGTGCCTCCTAAGAGGTAGAAATACGCCCTGCACAAAATAAACATCATGGCTTTTGGTTCCCGTGTTTGATGGTTTTAGGAGCTGCAGAATCATTGACACTCATGTAAATCCAGTATTTTTAACACATTTTCAGATTTATCTATAGCATCCACAACTTTATGTTAAATTAGGGCTGGGCAATAAACCGAAAATTTACAGATACAGAAATTTACAACAATTACCGACGTCATTTTGCCCATGTCATTATATTCGGTGTCAAAAAGATAAAAAAATAAAAGTTGGTTTTGAAGTGTGTAGGTAGGCTATGGTCTCATGTCCCTGTAAGACGCTGTCCTACGTCAGACATGTGACTCCACCCCATCCAGTCCGTAACAGAGAGTAGACGAACTTAATGTGGGAGGGGGTGAGCAGCTTGTGGAATAGTTATCGTCCATTTACCGTTATTGAGGTGAACTGCTCAATATATCATGATATTGATTTGAGGCCATATCGCCCAGCCCTAGTCTGTATCCTTGCAACAGTATCATAGAGAACATCACACGGAACTTCAGCTGTTGCCTTGTGCGGGGTGTATACAAGTATTGCTATGATATGACTGAACTCCATTGGAATGTAATATTCAGCAGGTGAACTGCTTAATAAATCTAGATATTGATTTGAGGCCATATCGCCCAGCCCTAGTCTGTATCCTTGCAACAGTATCATAGAGAACATCACACAGAACTTCAGCTGTTGCCTTGGTGTATACAAGTATTGTTATGATATGATTGAACTCCCTTGGAACATAATATTAAGCAAGTGAACTGCTTAATATATCTTATCGCCCAGCCCTATTTTAAATGCACATTGTCACTCACTCTGTAATGTGAAAATACTTCTGCTCTCCAACTTAAAGCTCCTGTAAGGAACCTTTTATCTGCGTTGGATCCGGTGCCCATAACTCTTATTTCTATTTGTTTTTCTTGTCTCTCTTGTTGTTGGTCATTAAAAGAAATGTTTCCTGTCTCTTTCTTTCTTTACACAGTCCACAACTGGACGATAGAGGACACGGTGCGGTGGCTGAGGGAGTCGGTGGAGCTGCCGCAGTACGAGAAGAACTTCCGGGACTTCCGGGTCACAGGGAACACTTTACCTCGGTTGGTATCATCATCATCATCCCCTCAAACAGCATCCTTCTCTCCCCGCAGAATCACAGATCAGCTTGTGTGCATCTGTGCGGCGTGTCCCCGTTCTCCTTCTGTCTTATGAATATTCAATGAGACTGCTGTTCGTTATAATTGCTCTACTTTCTGCACTTTTATGGAGGATAAGCTTCATATCATGGTCTCTAATTAAGATGTGATTCTTTAGCCTGAGCAGCACAATGTTTTCATGAATAATAATACTATTGTAGTCTTTATTGGGATGCACAAAGGAGCCATAGTTTTTACATTGCTTTGTTGAATGCTGCCCTCTGCTGGTCACAAAAGGCAATGAAGGAAAAAAGCATCCTATTAAAACAGGTTGATTCTCTTTCCCTTAAAAAAGCTTATTTTAATATATCTATGTATATTTTTTAACATGATATGAAGGATGAACGTGTCGAGTCTTATTTTGAAGGTGAAAGTGTTAAACGAGTCTGAACAGGACAAACTTAGACGTCAGAGGGACACTTGAGGAATGTGACGGAGGGGGCATGACCGTGTGGGGTCGGGTTGGGGGGTTATTGAGGGGGTCTCATGTTACTCCTCAGGTCTGATGGGTGATGACTCATGAAGTGATGTCACAGTGTGTGCGTTACACTTCCTGCGGGCTGCCATGTTGTCTGAGTATGTTAAGATGGAGGTTAATCCGTCTCAGTTGAAACATAATTTATATGTTTGTGTTTGTATATACTCACAAAAGGAAGTACTGATAACTCTGAGGCAGATAAATGGGAATCTTCTTGGGGAACATGGATACTAAACTGTCAAAACAGAGAAAATCGAACGCTGAATTTTCCTTTTCCTTCGTTTCACAGAATAGCAGCTAATGAACCGTCGTTCATGTCGATGCAGCTGAAGATATTAGACCAGCGGCATAAACAAAAGCTGAACCTAAAGGCGCTTGACGCGGTCCTTTTTGGCCCTCCTCTCCGTAAGTCTGCCACAGATTTTTACGATCACTCATCAACTCGTAAAACTTCACATGAAAAAGCAGATTTCGTCAAAGTCTCTCCTCTCCTCCTCCTGTTTTCTCCTCTTCCGCAGGCCCACAACATAACTGGATGAAAGACTTTGTCTTGATGATTTCCATTGTGATCGGTGTCGGGGGCTGCTGGTTCGCCTACGTGCAGAACAAATCCAGCAAGGTGCACGTCTCTCAAATGATGAAGGACCTGGAGAGCCTTCAACACGCCGAGCAGAGCCTGCTAGACCTGCAGAGCCGGTATGAACACGTAATAATCAGGGGAGGTGTGTGTTGTGAAATTTAAAAATACATGTGGAAAAAAATGTTATTCAACACCTCCTCAGGTTGGAAAAGGCTCAGGAGGAGAACCGGACGGTGGCTGTGGAGAAGCAGAACCTCGAGCAGAAGATGAGGGACGAGATCACCGGGGCCAAAACGGAGGCTCACAGACTACGAGAGCTGAGGGAGGGCGCTGAATGTGAACTCAGCCGCCTTAAATACGCAGAGGAAGAGCTCGTGCAGGTACAGCTTTGTCATAATCAGACAATAACTCGGCACTGGAGCTTTAATCTATTTATTCAAAGAAAATATGTGATAATTTTGACTCTTGCAGGTTCGAAAGGCTCTGAAGCGAGCGGAGAAGGAGCTGCAGTCGGAGCGGTCGGTGCCCGAAGCTCTCCAGAAGTGGCTCCAGCTCACGCACGAGGTGGAGGTCCAATACTACAACATCAAGAAGCAGAGCGCCGAGTTTCAGCTCTGTGTCGCCAAGGAAGAGGTACGACCATACAACCACCGAGGGGTATCATAGCAGACATCGTGTTCATATGACGTGTGTAAGAGCGTTTGTGTTTGTGGTTTTCAGGCAGAGAAGATAAAAAAGAAGAGGAGTTCTGTGTTTGGGACTCTTCACGTAGCCCACAGTTCATCACTGGACGAAGTGGACCACAAAATACTCGAAGCAAAGTGAGGACACAACAAGAATTTATTTGTGCATCCGAACCAGAGACGAACTCGTCCTTGAGTTGCAGGATTGAAGCACAAACCCTCCTCTTGTTTGTGTTTTCTTGTCAGGAAAGCCCTTTCAGAGGTGACGGCGTGCCTGAGGGAGCGGCTGCATCGCTGGCAGCAAATCGAGAAGCTCTGCAACTTCCCCGTCGTCAACAACTCAGGCCTGCCGAGCCTGACCGCCAGCCTCTACTCAGACCACAGCTGGGTGGTGATGCCGCGGGTGTCGGTGCCGCCTTACCCCATCGCAGGGGGCGTGGACGACCTGGACGAGGACACGCCTCCCATCATTCCCCAATTCACAAGTCAGTTCCTTTTCAGTATTTCGCTGAAACTGTTTCATCTACTCTAAAGAGAAATCAATCTCATCTTCGTTTGTTTCCTCCCCACAGCGACCACGTTGATCCGGCCCCCGCTGACCCGCAGCAGCAGCCTGTGCCGTTCTCGCCGCAGCCTCCTCAGCCCCCAGTCCTCGCTGATGTCCCCGGACCCAGACCTGCTCTCCATGGCCAGCTCTTCCCTCTCCTATCGCCCCGAGGCCGACGACGAACATATCATGTTCAGCTCGGATAGGAGGGGGTATGTAGCGGTGGCCGGAACGCCGCGGAATGGTTTTACAGTTTGGACCCACAGGTGTTTTATCCAAAAAGATTCACACTGATGCTTTTCAGCTTGGGGGTTAAAGTGGTGTCTTCTGGTGGGTGGAGGATGCATGAGTTTACCATCAGGTGGTGAAACGTAACGAAATCTTGTTTATTCTTTTTAAACCCAAACAGACTATCGAAACTAAACTTGAACTCTTGGACAGAAACAAGCATGATTAACACAAACTCATTAACAAAAACCTTATTTTAAAAAGATTTTAGATTTCTTTGAATTTAAAACCTCCAGATGCTCGACCTCCTACTCCAGCCTACATACTGAATTCTGTCATATCTTTAGAGGCCTTACAGATGGATTATTCAGACCCTCAGTGCTTTTTGTCCCGAGCACAGGCAGATGAGGATTTTTGAAGGACACTGTTTAATAACCCTCTTACAAAATTAAAGAAAAATCTCTTAATGTCTGGATTTGAGGAAGAAGACCAAAATTACAGATCTATCTCCTGAACCCAAGAACACTATTGCTAAAATTAGTAACACCGTCACTATCGCCGGGTGATTTTTACCTGAAATAATATACCTAAGAAAAAGTACTTATCATCAAAATAGAACAATACATGACAAATTAGTTTTCTTTTATTTTTAACTGTGTAATGTCCAAAGGGAGGGGAAAAAGTGCCATGAGGGGACCATATAAACTCAACAAAATAACTGAAATAATTAAGCATTCATCAACAAAAAATTCTTAAAATATATATATATAGAAAATAAAAAAAAAATAAAAAATTATATATATATATATTTATATATATATATATATATATATGTATACTGTATATACATACATACATACACACACACACACATATATATATATATATATATATATATGTATTATATTATATTCTGGTTCTCTCTCCTTAGTACAATAACAGGAGAGAGAACCAAAATATGGCAGATTTTGAGTGAGTAAAAATGACCAGCTGACTGAAATATTTCTTATCACCGTATAAATTCCCTTGAAAATCACTACTTTGTGATAGTTATTCATAACTACTGCACTAACCAAAGATAACATGCAAATCACTATTGCCTGTTGAAAATCACCAGCACACGTAAAAGCCGGTTTTGGATCAGGGAAACAAATCTGCCTTCAAAGATGTAAAAGACAATGCTGAAGCTACTCAGAGACCCGTGACACTCAGACAAACACAGCATAATGAAAATTACATAAACATGTTTGGTCGGATAAAAATCACCTGGCGATAGTGTTCTCGGGGTAAATCAGGCGTCTTTGGTTTGTTCGTTAGTGTTTCTGAGTTGTGATTGTGGTTCGTCTCCTCGACTGTTTCAGGGATTCGATCCAGGACGGCAGCTCCGACACCGACTCCCTCAGCTCCTCCATCGGCCGCAAGCAGCTGCACAACACGGAGCCCCCGTACCGCAAGATCTCCCGCGAGGAGCTGCTGCTGTTCAGCCAGACCCCGGAGCTCCCCGCCTCCACGTCAGCCAACTCCTCCTCCACCCACACCAGCAGCAGCAGCAGCAGCAGTCTCAGGGACTCCACGCCTCCTCCTCTGCCTCCCACCCCGGCCACCACGCCCTCCGGCCCACCCTCCACCTCGCCTTCCCCCGCCCTGGAGCACCACCCGTTTGCACACAGAGGCTCGCCCGACCTCACGCGCACAATCCCCGAGTCCCAGAGCGCCACCTTCTCGCAGGGGAGCGCCACCTCACCCACGGGTAAAGGAGTGTACAACGGCATCCTGGAGAAGTCATACAGCTACAGCCAGCTGCCCGCCAGCATGCTCCCTAACGTTGGGCGTTTCCCGTCCCTCACCTCCCTGGACTCGGAGGGTCGGAGCATGGGAAGGGATTACAAGCTCCAGAGCACCTCCTCCCAGGACTCCAGCGACAATGGAGAGAAAATCAAGCGCTCCTCATCTAAAATCAAAAGCTTATTTAAGAAGAAAAAATAAAAACTGTCAGAGTGAGATAGTTGTAGAGAGAGAAATTAGAGTCAGAGTTGTTTTGGCCCTTACACTTGGAAAAAGGACATCACTGTACGCTGAAACACGTCATTTTCTCTCTTCTTGTTTTTTGTTGTCAAAGATGGAATGTAGCTCGGTCTGAGGGCCTTTAAGAAACACCTCAGACTGGTAGCCTTATTTTTCAATAATGCCTTTTTTTTAGTCGTCTAATGGTCAAAGAAAGGTCAATGAAAGGTCAAAGGTCATGAAAGTTGTCTTCCATACAGCTAAAAATGAACTCTCACTGTCTCCTGTTAGTTTGAGTTTGATAGAAGCCACCGCTGTTTGGTACAACGAACTATTAGGGCCACTCTGAGGAAGAAACAAATGAGAGGATTTTGAGAAAAAAGTTGGTTTAACATTTTAAGATAAAGCTGTAAATTTGCAAGAATTAAGTTGTAAATTAACACGAGCGAGCTAAATTGTTGCATTGTGATATAAAAAGAGCTGAATTGATAAGAACAGAGTTTTAAATTTACAGGTTAAAAGTTGAAAATTAACAAGGAGGAATTACAAATATTCGTTTAAAAAGCACATTTAGAAGAAATAAGCCTAAATTTTCAAGAATGAAGTTAAAAAGTTTACAAGAATGAAATTGTAATTTTAAATAATTTTATTATAAATTTGCAAGAATTGAGTCCCATCATTACAAGAACAAAATCGGACATGCACAAGATAAAGAAGAAGTGTAAAATTGTTTATTTATATTTACTAGGACAGTGAACAAAGGCCTGGATTGGCAAGGAAAAAGTTTTGAATTTACAGGATAAAAGTTGAAAATTTTACAGAATTAAAATCAAATATTTATAGAAATAAAGCTGAATATTTCCAAGACCAAAAAATGGAATTAACATTTACAAGTCATTTAAAGGAATGAAAAAGGCAGGCATTTTACAGGTTAAGAGATGAAAATTAACTAGAATAAAACTGTGAATTTATTTAGAAATAAATGTATATCCTCCAGAAAAAAGGCCTACTTTTCAAGAACGATGTTTTGAATTTACAGGAATAAAAGTTGGAAATTTACAAGAATAAAGTCCTAAATTGTAAACTTTTAAGAACATTTGTAAATTACTGTAAAAAGGTCTAAATTTTTGACAACTGAGTTATAAATTTTAAGGAATTCAGGTAACGACACTATTTCCAAAAGTAGAAAAGTTGTCATTTTCACAAAAACTGTTAAGTTATTAATTGAACATGAAGTCACAACATTACAAGAATTAAAGTATAAATTTTTTAGCATGCAATCTTAAATAGACAACAATGAAACTGTGTACTCTATGGATAAAGTCATAAAATTTTAGTCGTACAAGAGTACAATAAGAAAGTAAGAACATTTTTTTACAAACTACAGCTTATAGTTGAAAATGTTTGAAAGGTGTAATCCCCCCAAAAAAGAAAAATACTAAATTGAAATGAATAAAGTCGTAAAATTGTGAAAGTAGATAAAATTTGGGGGAGTAAAAGTGTAAATTTATAATGATTGCACATGTGACAGAATAAATGTGTAAAATTCGAAGACTGAAACTAAAAATCCACAGGACTGTTGTCCAAAATTGAAAAGAATAAAGTTGCAATTCTGATGCTGTGATAGAATAAATTCGGTCTCATTAACAAGAAAGTAAACCTAAGGTAATTTATATTTTTTCTTTTGATATGTTTCGATTTTTTTCTCAAAATCCCTGATTTTTTTTCTTCTCTACCTCCATTGCAGTTCTGGTGCAAAGGTGCAGTCCATAAACTTATTCTTAAGCACACGTATGTCCAGATTTAAAGTCTGCTCTTCCTTCTGGAAGTCTCTTAATCACACCTTCGGTTCAGAAGCAGCGTTGAGATTTCTCCTCCAAAAGACTGTCCGGATTACTCCTCACTGCTCTATTTGTGAATTGCATCTTACGAAGTCTAAACTACTTGAATAAGTTCCTCTGAAACAATAAAAATCCTGCTAAATGTTTGTTGCACTAATGCTTTCCTGGTATTTTGGGAAAGATCCGCTGCTTGTGGAGTACATACTGAAAAAGAATATATAGAGATGAGAGGGAAACATGGACAGCAGCAGTGAAGACGCAGTGAATGAAACTAAATTTCAAATCTGACGTGTCTCTACTGCTGCTACTCATGGATGCCTCAACAAATATAATATATTTATATACATATATATATATATATACCTTGTTTTCACGTTATTATGTGGATGTTTTCAATAGATTTATATTGGTGGGGGTTCCTATGAACTGATATTTACTGAAGAAAGTTTATTGAATATGCAGATTTAACTTACGCCAGTCGTTCCCCCTGTACTCTTACCAATATCAACATGCAGTTTCCTTTACTGTCTTAAACACCCTGAAATATTTGGTGTCACTACCAGATTTTGGTGGAACTGTCTGTGCAAATGATTCTGTTTGTGCCATATTAATGTTGGAGAAAGTTAGAGGAATCCTTGTCGTTGTTTTTTTACTGCTTTCTTCTCTACGCCGACGATGTGGCCTATTTCATCTGCGTTTCCTGCCTTTGAAAAACAAACACTAATGTGGAAAAAGAAAAGAAACTTGTCTCCCTCCCCAGCACATACTCACTGAGCTCGAAGCCGACCCAAGCAATACGTCCCCCAATCTCACCTTTGGGCCCGCAACCGAGCGCTGATGTCAGACTGCTGCTTCACACTGTGACTTCTGCTCGTCATCGTACAGGATGGCACAAGGATCCTATGTGTTTCCGTACACGATGAAGGAAAGACAGAACTGCAAGACAATGAGGAAATGAATGTTTGAGACAAAAGATTTTTTTTGAGAACATTTTGTGTGTGAATATTTGTTTACTGTAGGAGAATTCATTAAAAAAAACATGGAGACTTTGGAGAAGTTTCAGAGAGTTTGCTTTAGTGATTACATGCCCTGTTTTTTTGTCTTTTGCCCTGAAACTTGCGGTTCAGCCTCCCCTCCACAGTGGAAGTAGATTGAGAGGCAGTTGATATAAACTTTTTAAATAAGGAAACCATATCCATAAAAATTTAGGTAAACAGATAAATCAAAACTTTCCTATAGGGATTGATCTTTAGAGGATAAGGGCCACTAAATATAAACAATTTGCTGCTTTCTGTCCCTTTTTTGAAACTAGAAAACAGAAGGACAGTTTTTTTTTTTTTTTTTTTTTTTACAACAACCATATTTCCAGTAGAAAATTGTGCTTTTGTCTCTGTAAGTCCATGTGTGGTTTCCACAGAGAGAGCTGCTGTAGGGAGTTGGCTGCTTCTTTGGATCACACACACACACACACACACACACTTTCTTTTCTCTCCTTTCTTCCTTTTAGGGACTTTGAAAAGAGAAAGAGACCCGTGGCAGAGGCACCACTTCCACCTGTGTGTGTGTGCACACGTGAGTGTGCGTGTTCAGTTTCCGGCTGTCCTCCTTTGGTAGCTCAGAATGAAATGTCCCTGCAGAGAAAGCTTCAGCAAAGGAACCCACCAAAGGTTTGCCAGAAAACCAGCAGCATGAACAACAAAGATTATGGCTGAAAACCAGACACCTCAAAGTATTTGTCTTGTAGTAATACGTGTGTGTGTGGCCTTGGCAGAGAGTTAAAACCTGATACTTACTGTAGTGCCTTACTCTAGCCTTTGATATTAATGCTGCACTGTCAAGCACTGTCACTTTGATAGATGGCTTTATTATCTGTAACAATGCAAAGTGTAAAAAAAAAAAAAAAAAAAATCGTATTTGAGCATGAAAATTAATAGCATAGTATAGTATGAAAAAAATGTCAAATTTTAGTGTAAAAAAAAATCATTTTAAGCATAAAAAAATTGTCATAGTATAGTATGTTAAAAAATTCAAAAATTTGTGTCAGAAGAAATTCATTTTCTGGCTTTGTAAAAAACTAAACTATGACATTTTTGTCATGCCTAAATGTGACTTTTTCCCACCCTAAAATTTGACATTTTTGACAAACTATACTATTAAATTTTTATCATACTATACTATGACCCTAATTTTTATGCAATTTTTTTCCTCACAAAAATATAAAATTTTTAACATACTATACTACCACATTTTTTTGGAAGATAGAAAATAATTTTTATTTTCACCCTCAAATTTACATTTTAAACATACTATACTATGACATTTTTTGCAAACAAAAAAATATTTTTTTTCACCCTCAAATTTGACATTTTTAACATACTATACTATGACATTTTTTTTGCAGGCTAAAAAATGATTTTAATTTTCACCCTAAAATTTGACATTTTTAACAATTTATACTATGACAATTTTATCATTCTTTACTATGACCTTAATTTTCATGCTAAAATTTGATTCCTTTTTCACACAAAAATATTAAATTTTTAACATACTATACTATGACATTTTTTTTGCAGGCTAAAAAATGATTTTAATTTTCACCCTAAAATTTGACATTTTTAACAATTTATACTGTGACATTTTTAACATACTATACTATTACCCTAATTTCTATGCAATTTTTTTCCTCACAAAAATATTACATTTTTAACATACTATACTACCACATTTTTTTTTGCAAGATAGAAAATTATTTTTATTTTGACCCAAAATTTGACATTTTTGACATTCTATACTATGACATATTTTTATCATACTTCACTATAACCTTCATTTTCATGATAAAATTTAAATTTTCGTTTCACACAAAAATATGAAATTTTTAACATACTATACTATGACATTTTTTTTGCAGGCTAAAAATAATTTTAATTTTCACCCTAAAATTTGACATTTTTAGCATTCTATACTGTGACGATTTTATCATTCTTCACTATGACCTTAATTTTCTTGCAAAAATTTAATTTTTTTAACACACAAAAATATGACATTTTTAAAATACTAAACTATGACATTTTTTTGCAAACAAAAAATGATTTTTCTTCACCCTAAAATTTGACATTTTAAACATTCTTTACTATGACATTTTGATCATACTTTACTATGACCTTATTTTTAATGCGAAAATTTGAGAAAAATATTTTTTACACAAAAATATTAAATTTTTAACATACTATACTATGACATTTTTTTGCATGCTAAAAAATATTTTAATTTTCACCCTTAAATTTTAGATTTTTAACATTCTATACTGTGACAATATTATCATTCTTCACTATGACCTTAATTTTCATGCCAAAATTTGAAAAAAAAAATTTCACACAAAAATATTAAATTTTTAACATACTATACTATGACTTTTTTTTGCAGACAAAAAATTATTTTTGCTCACCCTAGAATTTGACATTTTTGACACACTATACTGTTACATTTTTATCATACTATACTATGACCTTAATTTTCATGATTAAATTAAAAAATCTTTTCACACAAAAATGTAAAATTTTTAACATACTATACTATGACATTTTTTTTGCAGGCTAAAAAATTATTTTAATTTTCACCCTTAAATTTAAGATTTTTAACATTCTATGCTATGACAATATTATCATTCTTCACTATGACCTTAATTTTCATGCCAAAATTTGAAAAAAAACTTTCACACAAAAATATTAAATTTTTAACATACTATACTATGACTTTTTTTTGCAAACAAAAAATGATTTTTTCTTTGCCCTCAAATTTGACATTTTTGACACACTATACTATTACATTTTTATCATACTATACTATGACCTTAGTTTTCATGATTAAATTAAAAAATCTTTTCACACAAAAATATTAAATTGTTAACATACTATGCTATGACATTTTTTTGCAGGCTAAAAAATTATTTTAATTTTCACCCTTAAATTTTAGATTTTTAACATACTATACTGTGACAATTTTATCATTCTTTACTATGACCTCAATTTTCATGCTTAAATTCAAATTTTCGTTTCACACAAAAATATTAAATTTTTAACATACTATACTATGACATTTTTTTTGCAGGCTAAAAAATTATTTTAATTTTCACCCTTAAATTTTAGATTTTTAACATTCTATACTATGACAATATTATCATTCTTCACTATGACCTTAATTTTCATGCTAAAATTTGAATTTTCGTTTCACACAAAAATATTTAATTTTTAACATACTATACTACGACATTTTTTTGCAAACAAAAAATGATTTTTGCTCACCCTAGAATTTGACATTTTTGACACACTATACTGTTACATTTTTATCATACTATACTATGACCTTAATTTTCATGATTAAATTAAAAAATCTTTTCACACAAAAATATAAAATTTTTAACATACTATACTATGACATTTTTTTTGCAGGCTAAAAAATTATTTTAATTTTCACCCTTAAATTTAAGATTTTTAACATTCTATGCTATGACAATATTATCATTCTTCACTATGACCTTAATTTTCATGCCAAAATTTGAAAAAAAACTTTCACACAAAAATATTAAATTTTTAACATACTATACTATGACATTTTTTTTGCAGGCTAAAAAAAATTATTTTTGCTCACCCTAAAATTTGACATTTTTGACACACTATACTATTACATTTTTATCATACTATACTATGACCTTAGTTTTCATGATTAAATTAAAAAATCTTTTCACACAAAAATATTAAATTGTTAACATACTATGCTATGACATTTTTTTGCAGGCTAAAAAATTATTTTAATTTTCACCCTTAAATTTTAGATTTTTAACATACTATACTGTGACAATTTTATCATTCTTTACTATGACCTCAATTTTCATGCTTAAATTCAAATTTTCGTTTCACACAAAAATATTAAATTTTTAACATACTATACTATGACATTTTTTTGCAGGCTAAAAAATTATTTTAATTTTCACCCTTAAATTTTAGATTTTTAACATTCTATACTATGACAATATTATCATTCTTCACTATGACCTTAATTTTCATGCCAAAATTTGAAAAAAAAATTTCACACAAAAACATTAAATTTTTAACATACTATACTATGACATTTTTTTTGCAGGCTAAAAAAATTATTTTTGCTCACCCTAGAATTTGACATTTTTGACACACTATACTGTTACATTTTTATCATACTATACTATGACCTTAATTTTCATGATTAAATTAAAAAATCTTTTCACACAAAAATATAAAATTTTTAACATACTATACTATGACATTTTTTTTGCAGGCTAAAAAATTATTTTAATTTTCACCCTTAAATTTAAGATTTTTAACATTCTATGCTATGACAATATTATCATTCTTCACTATGACCTTAATTTTCATGCCAAAATTTGAAAAAAAACTTTCACACAAAAATATTAAATTTTTAACATACTATACTATGACATTTTTTTTGCAGGCTAACAAAAAATTATTTTTGCTCACCCTAAAATTTGACATTTTTGACACACTATACTATTACATTTTTATCATACTATACTATGACCTTAGTTTTCATGATTAAATTAAAAAATCTTTTCACACAAAAATATTAAATTGTTAACATACTATGCTATGACATTTTTTTGCAGGCTAAAAAATTATTTTAATTTTCACCCTTAAATTTTAGATTTTTAACATACTATACTGTGACAATTTTATCATTCTTTACTATGACCTCAATTTTCATGCTTAAATTCAAATTTTCGTTTCACACAAAAATATTAAATTTTTAACATACTATACTATTACATTTTGTTCGGGGACAAAAAATGATTTTTTCTTCACCCTTAAATTTTAGATTTTTAACATTCTATACTATGACAATATTATCATTCTTCACTATGACCTTAATTTTCATGCCAAAATTTGAAAAAAAAAATTTCACACAAAAACATTAAATTTTTAACATACTATACTATGACATTTTTTTTGCAGGCTAAAAAAATTATTTTTGCTCACCCTAGAATTTGACATTTTTAACATTCTA